ATGTTGGGAGTTTTGAAACAGTATTGCCACTTTTTTTGTGAATGCAAGTAAAAAGCTTCATTTCAATTCGTCCTTACGTGAAAACAACTCCATAGTGACCAACAATATAGGTGTGGAGACAGGAAAACGAGGAATAACTCAGCTTCGTTATAGCTGAGCCAAGAGTACCGAAATGAATCTATATAAACTGATCCAGGCGTGATAAAGTGCTGTTCCCATGCCCCTTGGATGCACCCCATCTCTCAATTTAGGCTCTTTGCTTAGTGTATCCTTAACTAATCTTGGCATTTGCGGGGTGCTTAACAGCCGGGCCGCCCCTTGAAACGTAGGAAAGAACATTAATCTTAAGATCACGAGTAGTTTTATGTCTTGAATTCATAGGGCAGACACTACAATGCTTGATATTAGCCTATAAGCCCCGGAATTACGGGAGAAGTAGCTTTGCTTAGTGCTGATGATTTCGAAGGTATGGATTGTCCAATGTTTGTGTTTAATTGCTCCTTTAATCCATCTTGGCTGACAAACAGAAGATGAAATAGTGAAAAATAGGAGTATATATGATCAAGTTTCTCACCCTCATTATTCTTTCTTATCACACATTCAAACAATTTCACTTCTTCTTCTTCTTCATTTAGTCTATCTTTTTACTCCAACAACAATATGTTTTCAGCTTTGAATGTTGCAGCTTTGGCTGCCATGCTCGGTCACATCAACCTCGCTTTGGCCCAGAGCCAAGGTTGGGATCAATGTAAGTTGACTCAACACAACAAAAGCACATCATGATTGACCCTTTCAGGTGGCGGTAACGGCTGGACTGGTGCTACAACCTGTGTATCAGGATACACTTGCACACGTTCAAAGTGAGTTAAACCCCATTGAAAACTTTTGGATGAAGCTAACATAGTTATAGCGATTGTATGTTAAGCCTTTTAGCAACATTTACAACCTTTACTCATTTTATTAGATTACTCTCAGTGCATCCCCGGAAATGTCGTTCCCTCAGCTACAGCGACAATCGTCACCCCGACGACCTTGAGAACCGAGATCACAAGTCCAACCAGCGGCGGAAGTAGCAGTAGCATCAACGACAAATTTGTTGCTCATGGAAAGAAATACTTTGGTCTTGCCACAGATCAAAACCTTCTTTCAACTGGAAAGAATGCGGCTGTCATCAAAGCAAACTTTGGACAAGTGACACCAGAAAATAGCATGAAGTGGGACGCTGTTGAGGGTATATATATTCGCATGGTCTTGAAGAGTATATAGCTGACTGTGGATAGGAACACAAAACAAGTTTAACTTCGCTGGTGGCGACTACTTGGTAAACTTCGCTACCGAGAACAAGAAACTTGTTCGCGGCCACACACTCTGTTTGTCATACCAACTTTGTCTTTGAGAATGAGAACTGACATCAATAGGCTGGCATTCTCAACTCCCTAGCTGGGTTAGCTCTATTTCAAACAAGGACACTCTCACTAAAGTCCTTCAAAATCATGTCACCCAAGAGGCGACTCGCTGGAAGGGAAAGATTTACGCATGGGTATGTCATTATATCTTGATTTTGCTCATACAATTAACCATTATAAGGATGTCGTCAATGAAATTTTCAATGAAGATGGTTCGATGAGAGACAGCGTGTTCTACAGAGTCCTTGGCGAAAGCTTTGTGTCCATCGCCTTCAAAGCCGCTCGGGCAGCTGATCCAAACGCAAAGCTCTACATCAATGATTACAAGTAATTCTATCCTTCAAATTTCTACATCCAAAGCTAACATTTCATGAAGCCTTGATTCAGAATCTTATGCCAAACTCACAAAGGGTATGGTCGCACACGTCAAAACTTGGATCGCTCAAGGAGTTCCCATTGATGGAATCGGTTCGCAAACCCATCTCTCAGCCGGCCAAGGAGCTGCTGCAAAAGGCGCTTTGACTGCACTTGCCGCTTCTGGTGTCAGTGAAGTTGCGGTTACGGAATTGGATATCGCTGGTGCAGCTTCTACTGATTATGTCAATGTGAGTTTAAATTCCTTAGGAATTCCCTTCGAGATGAAGTAAGAACCGGTTCTAATTACTGAATAGGTCGTCAATGCATGCTTGAGTGTCAGCAAGTGTGTTGGTATTACAGTCTGGGGTCTCCGTGATACCGACTCATGGCGTTCAAGCTCCAGCCCATTGTTGTTCGATGCCAACTATTCTCCAAAGCCCGCATACAACGCGATCTTGGCAGCATTGTAGAAATATTTCTAACAACGGGATGGAGGGTATTGGTACCCCAAAACTATTCAATGTATATAGTTGAGTTTGAAGGCAGGCCTGTTGCCAACGAGTATGTTCATAGTGCTGTTGTTGTTGTTATTTGTTATCTTCAATTCTTTAGCTCGAAATTTTACATTACCATGCACCACCGGTGGTTGCGCTCATTTAAATTACTTCCTAGACCCTTTTACTTGATCTGAAATTTAGCTATCCCACATCGTGTGATATCCGGCCCGACAAGGAAGCCTGTAACCCCGCACTGAGTAAAGGACAGAAATTTTGAAACATTTTACTTGCTTTGGTTTCGCTGTCAATTCAAAGCTCGAAAAAACGAGGCTCAAATCCCATTGAAATACTATTGGATTATCAAAAGGCCAAGATGAGACTAGTGCGAATAAAACATTGTAGATTGTGGTATAATCTCGGCAAACCTCACACTCAAAAACCACTACCTTCTCTCACAGACTTTGAATTCAAATCAATATATTATCTTCCCAACATGATCTCACTTATTTTGAAAGTGCAGCAGGAGAACAAATTGCTCAACTACTACATCATTACCACCACATCAGATTATCGAGATTGGAAGGCATATCACTTTGATTGTCAACGTAAACTTCCACTTCATGAGATTTTTGGAGGACGCGAGAATCTCTTGCGGGATTGAAATAACCTTCCGATATTTCATAGCTCTTATGGTGTTCCTATTCAGGTGAGTCTCAGGAAAGCGTAGGTAGCAAGGATCTCTGGAGTCATGCTTCAAATCATAGAGCTTATCGATCATGGGCAGTCAGACAGAAGCTTTAATCTTCAATCATCAACAGTTGATTATCATTCGTCAAAATTGAATGTCGCTTGCCTACCTACCTAGGTATTGCTGCCTCTTATTCAACTATGAAACATCCACAACGAACCTGTGTGCATGCCATTTTTCATCCTTGTTTCTGGTTCATTCTATGTCGCAATAAGTACGAAAAAGCGAACCGCTTATTACTGGATTTCATCACATATATTCAAACCCGGAAGTCGCCCTGTTTGTGGACCCAGTGGTCTGTCAACAGGTGACTATCTTGATGAAAGCTTGAAGATTGCAGAAATTCTTCTCTTGTTTTCTCGTACACAATTCACTATCTCTCACTTTGCACTTTTGATTTCCCGCAGAACAGCTGTGATTGTTTTCTGCTCACTTGATCAATCACGGGATGTGGTATTTTTACTTATGTTCAATGAGCAATGCTTGGGATGAATAAGAATATCTTGGACATAAATCAGGAGAGCCGGTGGTGAAATATTGTTAAGAGAATATCTCATTCACTTGTCATATTTTAAATAGAATCCCTTGAAGCCCAGAAGGTCTTTTTTTTTTTTTTTTTTTTTTTGCAAAACGAAGCATAAGATAAATTATGCAATTCAGGTGCAGTCAGCTTTACTAAATCAACTTCAGTCATTTCTATGACAGTTGAGCAAGTATCTACTCAATTTAAGCTACTCAGGTCTTCGATTGAGTTGAGTTAGATTTAGTGCGGCGCAAAGTGAAGCAAATCATTTTTTAATAGAAAGGGACAAGAACGTTATATATTACACTATCAGCTAGAATATCGTTGGAATTTATATTGGAGAAGCAAGACAGTATTACGAAGTGATTCCAACATCAGAAGAATGCTTGTGATCTCAATCAGAAGTTGTATGAGCTTAAGACGTAGTCGCTGTCTTGAATTCAAGAATTTGAAGATGGCACATGATCTATCCATCTTCAGTTTTTATGCAACACATAAATATGGAGCGGCCAGATACAAGTAGATACTGGTCTCATAATTATTCCAAATAATTAGGGATCCCTGCAAAGCCTGAAACAGTGAAGTGGAAAGAGCATTCATATCAAGACTGTATAGCAGCTATCTGCCCTTAAAAACAAGGCAACAGAAGAGTCATTGTATCAACATATACACATCTCCTTTGTAGATTTCTGTCTATATCAAAGCCTGCCACGCGGCATACTAGTGAGCTGTATGAATGTACGCCATTTCTACCCCTGGTTAAGGAACCACCGACTCTGAGGAGTGAACCCGGTTGGATAGCTGGCAGTATGCTTGGAGTAACAGTGAACGTTCCGAACATCAATCGCAGCCTTTTAAGGGCCGTGCTGATGGGGACCTACAATGTGGGAGATCGATATTGAAATAGACCTATTATCTTGTTCAATCCAGCCATACAATGGTTTCGCTCGGTTGAGGCAGGCCATTAATATTGGTCTTCACAAAATGGGTACGGCTATTGAGCCAAATACAATCAAGTCATTCTTTGGTACACTATTGTAATGACCGTGCGAACAAAAACATCAGGCTGATTGGTAATTTGAGTTCATGTGCGACAGTAATCGCTATCTTTACGGCGTCAAGACGCGCCGTGATTTGTGGTTGAATACGGTTTTTGGTAGTGAACATGCGACATTCAATACAGCCAGCTCGAACCGTAGCAATGTTTTGTCGCCGTAAACGACATATAGTTTTTACATATAAACTTCCAAAAATCCATCCTCCGAAAGATCTCAACATCTTCTTCTTCCTATTCTACAAGAAACTTCCAAACCCAAGACTTCTTTCAAGAATATCTTTTGGATAGCGGTTTAGTTATCTTACATTTACAACAAAACAACAACTTCGCTACCTGTTAATTTCTGAGTAATATTAAATCCATTCACATACCGTTTACCATTACTTCACCAAGTAATAAAAACCCATTCACGATGCCTCCTCAACAAAGCAACAACATGGTATGTGCTATGACTCTCGTCAATCTCTGTCTCTCATTTTCTCCTTGTATTTCAAGTCAACATCAATCAAGAAATAGTTCAAGTGCTAACTGGATAGACTAAACAACAGAAGATCAATTCTGGCATTGAAAAGCTTAAGGCAGCACGTGCTGAAGCTGCTGAGAAGAAGGCCCGCGATGTAAGTAACTTGCATTTCTTTGCGATATAAATTAACATCATTTGTAGATACTAATGTGATTCACAGGCTGCAAACCGTCCTACAAAGGCTAGCTCATCCACCGCCGCAACTTCTGTAAATCAAGCTCCTAAACCGGTATGTGATCGTAGTTAATCTTTATTAGTTGAGTTGTACTGATCATAGTATACAGAGCACTTCCAATTCCATCTCATCTCTTCCCCGTATGAAGAAGCGTCCAGGAAAATCAATGAACGAGGTTGCTGAGAAGAAAGCCGCCGAGGAAGCTGCTGCCGCCGCCAAAATCAAGCGCAAGATGGCAGAGAAGGAAGACGGAGAGATCGATAGCGACGAAGAGGATATAGTTTACAAAGGTCGCATGAACAACGGTAATCAAAATCGGAAGTTTGCCCCAGTCAATAACAAACACAACAAGACCATTGCTTCAGTCCCAGCTTCTGGTCATGCGCCATCAAACAACAAAGACCAAAAGACCTTTGGCCGCAATGAAATCAAGAATGAGGCTAAGAACACCACAAAGTTCAAGCCCGATATCCCAAAGCTCTCTCCCAGAGTTCAAAAGTCCCAGGACCTCAAGAGACCTGAAGAGAAGGAGCAATCTTCATTCAAGCGCAAATATTTCGACACGGACTCTACTGAGTCTGAAGAAAAATTCGCTAAGCCTGCCAAGAAGCCGAAGACCACAAAGGCAGGCATGAACTTTGAAATTGTTTCCACCAAGCGCAAGCATACTGAGGAGGTAGAAACAAGTGGTCCTGTAAAGAAACAGAAGATCACTGAAGAAGTTAAAACCCCTGTTGCTGTAAGTCTACTCACAAGCTGGTTCATATTATAAAATCATAAGCGAAACTTACTGACCAATGAAATAGGCTCCTGCAAAGCGCGCCCCTATCAAGGAGACAAAGCTTCGAAACAATCCCACCAAGAATCTGTTCGGTTTTGGTGGTTCCAGATCTACCAAGAAGCCAACAACACCAAAGAAGGGTTTCATGCAACCTAAATCTGTTTCTAAGGCAGCAAACGAAAATGGTGAGAAATCTACAGAAAACGTCTTGAAATCTGTTTCTGCGCAAGTTAAACCAAAAGTTGTCGCATCGAATAGCGAGTCAGCCGCTCCATCGACTGAAGAGCCATTAAAACTCCGATATCTTCCCAACGTTTCCATGGAGGAGCTTTTTGGTGAAGCACCAAATGTAGCAGATAAACCAGCCTCTGATAACGTCTCCATGGAGGAGCTTTTTGGTGAAGCACCAAGCATTGCAGCTCAACCAATCAAGACCCCACGATCAGCATTTGATAGCATCCCACCACGATCAGCCTTTGATAAAGCCCCTGTCAAGACTAAATCTAGTCGTCGTGGTCCAACTCCTGCTTCCAAAGTCGAAGTTACGAAATCATCTGCTTCGTCAGGATCCATGTCTACCATGGCATCAAACAAAGCGGCACAGCCTAGTCGCCGTAAAGTTTCTCCTGCTCCTAATGCCGAAGTCGCAAAGCCATCTGCTTCGATTCAGAAAGCATTACCGGCCTCCACCAGCACTTCTGATAAGGTTCAATCTAGTCGCCGTGGCGTTACTCCTGCTTCCAAGGATGAAGTTACGAGAAAAATTACTTCTTCAATCCCAATGCCCACGTCTTCATCAAGTGGAGTGGTACAACCTAATCGTCGTCGCGCCGTTTCAGCTCCTCATTTTGAACTCAAGAAGCCATCTGTTTCGTCAAAACCATTGAGCACCGAGATACCAACAAAAGAGGCTAGTAGATCTACGTCGTCCAGTATTACAAAATCAACTTCCTCTCCAAGAAAGGTGATCAAGAAGGGAAACGGAACTGACGTAGTGGTGCCCACTCTTGTATCTCCAGTTGTTGACAAAGTCGAAAACACAAAAGACATCATGACAGACAAATCTGAGCCAAAGAAAGTGGAGATCCCAGAACAGCCAAAGAAAGTGGCTGAAATTAATCGTTCTCTTCCAGCAAGCTTGAACATTAAGACTAAGGTGGTACCAGAGACAAAAATCAACAAAGATGTTATTAGTCTCGATCCCAAGGCTGGAACTTCAAGCCAAGCCCAACGACCAATGCCACAATTTCTCGGGTTTCCTGGACTCCCAGCTGCAAATTCGGATAGAGGATCTGTTTTGAATGACTTTTTTAAATTTGAAAATGCCAAAGAAACTTTCAAGACTATTACTCCGAACACTGAACTCTCTGACACAGCGGAGGCTAGAGACGCCATGGAACTTGAGCTTGAGCGCGAAATACAAATCGAACTTCAAAATTCCTTCCATGCTGAGCAATTGCGATCAGCTCTCGAAGATTTGATTGTTCTTCAAGCTGAAAATGGTGAATCATCCGATCAAGATTCATCAGACGAAGATAGCGATGAATATTCTTCCGGGGATGAATCTGATGAAGAGCAATGTGAAGTTCCTCAGAAGATCTCTAAGCCAACTGTCTTGTACAAGGGATATAATGGTGTCTTACAAGAGGAGCCCTTCTATGCCAGGGATCGGGGTTATGAGACTAATATGTCAGACGCTGATGAAGACGAGGGTGAATATTACCCACCACACCACCTTAATGTCGCCTATCAGCTTGCTCACCCGTATATCGAGAACTCTGTCTTCAATATACCGATCACCCGCAAACCTGTCTCTCGTGAGCCAGCCGTTCCCGAATCTGTCCTTGATGAATTGGAGGCCGAAATGGAACGTTGTCTTGAAGCTCAAATGGCTGAGGATGCAGCTGCTGAAGAGAAATTTTCACCACCGGTCATTCCTCGCTCTGCCTTCGATAATTTTGAAGCAGAAGATGATTTTTCCTCTGATGAGAGGCATCAGCAGGATCACTCGGAGGAAATCTCATCAGCCCCTGTTGTGAGCTCAATGGTTTCTCTAAAGAGTTCCACCGACTTTGAGGGAGATTTCAATGATGCAATCTTTGAGTTTAAGGATGCTTCAGGTCAGGAGTCTAGATTAATAGACGAGGATCCATTTTCCCTGCTAGACGCTTCTTTCACTTTCTCAAACGCCATGGAAATGCCAGTAGAGCAATCTTCGACCTCTGAAGATGATGATTCAGATTCTACCAAAGAATCCAGCGATATACTAGAAGAGGAAACCCCTCGGTCCGAATCACCCGAGGTAAGCACTGGCCCATATGTTAGCCTAGATGGCTGCGTCGGTTTGCCTCCACTTGAAGATTTTCCTGACGATTCTGAAGGCTCCGATGACTGTGATGAATCTAGCCACTCCGACGTTGAGGATTCAGAGATGTCAGAAGGCGATGAATGCGACATCATTACCATAGATGACACCACACCAGAAGAGTCCGACGAAGATGGTGATCTCGAAAACTTAGACGAAGATGAAGACGCAGAACTTTACCAAAAGCACAGAGTCCCGGCAGACCTCGCGAATGTCGAGATCACAATGAAACCAACAGAATTGCAATCTCTGAAGGCGAAGACATCATGGGAATTGTTCGACCTTCAAAAATGGGAGCAGGAAAATGAAGTCGAAGTTTATGCAACATTCGACCGCGAGCTTCTCCTTCGCAACTTGAATGTCTCAAAGAAACGCATTGCCAAGTATATGAAGGTGGTGAAAAAATACGAGAATCGCACTGTCCCAAAAGCTGAGGCTGTGATGGAGGACGACAGCAGTGATGATTCGGGTGACGATGAATGTTCTCATCCCATCAATCTCAATTTACCACAAGTTGTTGAGATCATCAACGTCCCAGACAGTCCCCCTGTCGTCGATCTTGATACCGAGGTTAAAAGTAATGCCCATCCATTCGGACCCATCGATTGGTAGTGGTTGATAGAGACTTCACCTTTCCTTCTCTTTTTGGGGACTGAAGGTGGCCAGACTGCAAAGAATAGAAGATGCAGCTGATTATCCTACTGTTTCATGATAACTATACATCATCTCTCGAGAAAGATTAGAAAAAAATTCATCGCGATTATTGGCACATCAAAAGATCTGCCCGAAGAACCCCCCAAATACCAACGCAAAAAAAAAAAAAAAAAAAAAAAAAAAAAAAAAAAAAAATTCCAACAAAAAAAATCATTTGCTTTACAATATTCAGCCTGCTTTCTACGTCCCCAAAAGAGTTGATCACTAGAGCCAGGAAGAATTCAAAATCACCATGCAGTGCTATTTGCTTTTCATATCAGTCTTTCCTGTATACATATCAAAAATCATTCTCCCCTTGATTTCAGGGAACTCGTCGACATCATATCAGCGACGATTTGAAGATATGTTTGGGCACATCTTCCACAAAATTATATTTTAGGGAATGAAGAAATACTATATACGATAACCCGGAGTTTTGGATTATGTCAATCGATCCATGAGTTCGACCTTGTGGTGTTATGGGTCTGGCTCTCAGATACCTTTTCTATTTATTACTGCAGTACTATCATCTCCAGGGTTCTCGGAACTCTCGGGATATGATACATTTTTACGAATCTTTGTTTGGTGGCAGAGTATGGCGACTCTGTCATTCATGGTTTACTATTACGACTAACGATATACCACGGTTCCGTCGGAGAGCTTGTCACTGACTCCACATCCATTTGATTCTGGCAAGTGAAGTGCCATACACGGATTATTACTTTCCGATTTATGAGATGTGGGTTCTGGTGTATAAAATATCTTTATATTTTGGGGGTTGATTTCGGGATTGAGATTGAGATAGAATTCGAATGTATGTTTTGAAATGAGAGGTTTGATTGACCCGACAGTTTGAGATTCGGTTGAAGGAAGAAAGAAAATGTCAAGGCGATGGTTATGAAGAGAGAAGAATATGCAAAAGTGCTGGTGGGGGAAGTTTGTATGGTGCTCTTATCTCAGAATCTTGTTTGGCGGCAAGATTTCGAGGTTCGGGGCCAGAATTTTGGCGGGGTGTTGAGACGGGAAGGACGGAAAGACTTGCGCGGGGGAGGGAGGCGATTTTATTACGCGAGTAAGCAGGGGAGCAGTCGGTAAAATCAACGAGATTCCAAGAGAGTCAAGAAGCCTTAGGTCTGGCCAACCTAAGGTGGAGTCGGCTCTCAAGGATACAGTCGTTTGAGTTTGAAGATTACGCAATTGAGATAGCCGGGAAGTTTGAGATAGATTCCCAGTCGATCTCCAAGGGCAGTCATACTACTAAGGGAATGGTTGGGGAAGGGGGTGGTCTGGGATATAGAAGATTTGTAGTTGGATATTCCTCTGAAAAAGAGTGATTTATATGTAGCAAAGAGCGATAGTAAAGACTCTTCATTCAAGGTCTCACAATTGATGACTCTAAATTTTGACGCCTCGCAATTGAAACCGTGTGAAGCCTTGGTGTTATTCTTACTCTAAAATATAAATCCTTGAAACCCTACCCAAAAACTGACCCAAATTTACCCGTTCCAATCCCTCCATTCTCCTTTTGAATTTGTATTGACCCGCAATAGTTGAATATACCTGGTTTATGGTGATCCTCCAGTCTCTTCCTGCAATCTTAATCCTTAACGTCCATCCAGTCTTGATCATCTTAAACGATATGACTGTTCTTTTGTCGCTACACCAGTGACCTCATCTACTCTCTCTATTAACATGAGATTTTCATCAGATTCTGAAGTAGGAAGTCCATCCGGTACAGGCTTCTTCCAATCTCTCTTCAACTCAGTCATAATTCCCTTCCAATCTCCAATCTCCTCATCCGTTCTTATCCTTCTTCTGAATCCATATGCTCTGATTTCTACTAGCCAGACCATCATCCAATACTGATTAAATATCAGTGCGAATATGGCGGCTATCCATGAGCTCCCTAGGAATGCACCCCCAGCAGAAGCTTCGACACCTAGAGCAGGCCCTACTAAAGAGACCATCTGGCTTACCATGCTGGTAACGGCTGTTAGATTCAGCGTAACAGTCATTGTAAAATTAGACGCGAGGAATGAAAAGAAGAGAGCGCAGTAGACGATGCAAGCCGTAGGTTTGAACATATAGATTACTGATAGAACGATTGTGGCACCCGATCCGATCAACGCTAGACCATAAAAAACGAGGATAGCAATGGTGCCTATGTTCAGCATTCCGGCAGTGAATGGCATTGCGGTGGTAGCAAGACCAAGTAGCGGAACGGTAAGAGTAGTGTTGACAACACGGAAGGTTGATGGAGTAGATGAGGTGAGCTGTGTCAGGCCTTTCCAATACATTAGCTCGGTGTGTTAATTTCGCGGGTAGGATTGAGTTTATGAATTTTGACTTACCTTTCAAAGCTTGAGAATAATTCGAACAGCCATCAACGACCCATTTGTCCTCTGCTGTAATAGTTCCTCGACATATTTTCATCACATGTAGACTGTAGAAATCGGCAACTCCAACAGTATCTGTAATATTCGAGACCAACACCTTTTCGGCTTCGTTGAGACCATCGTTATCGCCAGCTTCAATCTTCTTCACAATACTCTTGACTTCCTTGATTACATTACCGAATAATGCTGTGGCGAAATCGGATGCTGCGTCTCTCTTTTCTATCGAATCTGATGATAAAGCGCGGGTGTCCAGAGCAGATATATCGATTATGCTTGTGGTATTAGCTGTGGTAGAATTGACTGCTGCAAATTCTACCAAGCTCTGACCGAGGTTTGCTGTTTTTAACTATTCAATATCAGACGGGAGTATATGAATATAAGAGGAACAACTTGCCCTTAGGAAATAATAATCTTCTAAAACCCCGTCATTTGAACCCGAGAATATTGTGACGACGCCCAGCATAAATGACATTGTAGACAAAATTAATGATAGGAGTGCATGCCAGCGAATTGGTCTGCCTTGATTAACCTTCATTTTCTTTTATTTAGTGACTTCAGCTATTGGAATAAGATAGAACATATGAGTAAATAAATTGAAATCGGCATTCTCCTCTGAGAATATATGAAGACTCGAGAAAATCCCAAACGTGCCCTATATGCAAGGATTAAAACTAGAAACCCCGATATAACTTCCAGAGATGCAGCAAAACCTTAAACGAGGTTGTGATTGCCGCATACTTCACCGCAAGCATGGCTATGCTAAACACATTCCTACTCAAACACACATTATTGTGGTGATTTTCACGAAGAAAGCCTCAGATTGAAATAGAGTTTGGAATCTTCTATGCAAACTTCTTCGTGTGGGGGCATATTTCGTGCCTGATGCGGAATGCCTGAAGCGAATACTGATACGACAGGACCTAAAGCTTATAGACGCCCTTTAGCCGAAAAATCTAGATCGTCACAGGGTAAACACCCATTTATAGGGCTGTGTTGTAGGGGTCATAAGTGCCGATAAAGTCCGTGTCACTATTCGGATGTTTTTCAAAGAAGACAATGTCCGAGAACAGTCAAAAAAGCTTATAAGTAAAGCTTGTCTCAGATATTACCCTTGCCGCACGATGTTCCTTCCCCGTAGATCATCCTTTCCCGGTGTCAATTGATGCAATTCATATTGTGTAGTCATATATTCCTAAAATAGTTTTGTGTGGTAAGGAAACTATGACTTTTCATGGTATGCAAAATTCGGAAATTCTTCTACTATATCTAAATTCAACAATTACTATCTATCTCACTTTGATCAAAGCCGGGTTTGTCGAACAATAGTCAAAGTTTCCATTTTCGTAATTGTTCCGCCAAAATGAAGAAAAGGGGATCGCTTTTCCAGTGGCACCATGTACATAAAATGTTGTAATGAAAACTAACAACTCCGCTTCTCCACTGATGGCTACAGCGAGTAGATACTTATACTTCAGAAACCATCTTGGGTAGCGTTTTTTTATGTAGTTTTGATAAAAGAAGTCAATGATGAAAAACTCCCGCAGCGATGTAGTCGAGATACCAGCAAATGACTTGCGCAATGATATAGTCAAAACCAATGGTGGGCCACTGTTCTGTTGATGCAGCAGGTAGAACGGTAGGGAAACAAGTAGACTGAATGAAGTGCGAGGTCACTTTACTCTTACTCCTGGCCAACACCAAACATATATGTCGAGAGTGCGTCAAATGCAATAGACTTGGAGTAAAATTTTACGAAAGGGAAAGACTCCCATTGGAATTGAGCGACTGTATGAACCAGGCCGGACATTAGTATCTTGAGTTGAGAGTAGCACTCATCAAGATGTTATTGATGAAAGCGCCAAGAATGATGCCTATTGTGGATTGTGAAAGTACACCTGGTACTTAATTTACCATACTGCCCCAACTTTAAATTTTGAATCAGAAAGAATGCTTGGTCCTGGGAGTTGGCTCCGAAAAGCACGGAGTGTATGTTGGCGATGGGTTAGCCTGGATGAAGGTAGCCACCAATCCAATGAATTGATATACACTGGTGATGAGCAGCCAGAATCCAATTAATTCGGACATAGCCCCTAAGAACAGTGTGCAGAGGAAAGACAAAGCGCAGGCAATGCGGAAACCCCACCAGGGCAAGGTTGATCAGAGGATTCAAGTGCGGGAGAGCCCAACGACTACCGGCATAAGCCCAATTCACATGTACCGTCAAGAAGACACCTCCTTGTACAAAAGCATCTGCTGGCAATGAGGATCTAATTCCACTGTCTCGGAGATCGCAATATATTGGCATTCTCGTTAGATGCTTGCCCATTGCGCTAAACTGAACACATCTCTCACGGCTTTGAAGTTGAACAGAAGCACGTGGACAATAGTTGCAGTAACGCTTAGGTTCGTGGTAAGAAGATAAGTAACATTTTTCATCGAAAAGAAAGGATTCTTCTGAGTCATGCTACCGACTTTCGTTTCTTTCGCTCGCCCCATCTAGCTATGCTATGATACTTACCATGATCTTATGTCTTTTTGGGTCATTTTTTTGTTTTAAAATCTTCCATTAAGACTTTGTACACAAATTTGAAACATGGCGTTGTTCAAGTGCAAGGACCTTCTTTCACTCAATTCTCGGTACGCCACCAACCACCACAGACACCAATTGGACAGTTTTTATAGTGCCAATCCTTCCATTCAATAGTATTTTTAAACGCCTGCGAATTGATCCAACTTATTGTCACTATTACGTTCATCACTCCTTTTATTATGCTTAGTCTTCAAACTCTTCCAATCGTACATCAGGGCTCCCACAATCGATATCGTTGCGAGTAGAAGTCCAACGCGCAGAGCTTCTTTAGTCGCAACACCATACACTGATTGCAATTCTGCTGATGTCTCAGTAGAATAATCGCCAGGAAAAGCCGTCATTGCGCCGTCCAGAACAGAGTGAGGATCCAAGTTTGGGGCCAGCGTTCTTAGTGCCTTGCTGATATTTTCAAGGAAAATTTCCTGTGCAACTGGCACGAAAAGTGCTACGCCGAAAATCTGAGCGAACAAAATAATACCGATGCCAGTTGCGACGTCAATCTCCGGGAGCGTTGTTTGCACCATATAAAGTCCTTGTTCTTCTCCTAGGCCGACTCCAGCTCCGATAAGTATCTGAAATCTAACCCATTTTGCCCGTGAATTGTACTGAGGCTGAACAGCCATCAGAAGACCAGTACTTATCGGCATGATAATTGACCCAGCGTAGACGAACGGCGTATAATATCCAGTTGCAGCAGTCCAAAGCCAGCAAACATAAATCCGCCAACGACACTGATTATGAATGGAATGAACAGAATGGAAGACTTGATGACAGAGACACGATGGACTAATTGAAACCAAAGCGCTATAGCTGGATCAGTATCTGTCATCATTAAACAATTTTTGATACTCTCGTATGTTGAAAACATTGATCTAGGACAGCAATAGTACTTAAGTCATCTAGATGAAAATTAATCTGTGTTGTGGGACTGCATACAAAAAATACCCCTCAAAGACAGAGGCGAACCATATCGCTGCAATTATGCTTCGTCGGCGTAGTAAACGTGAAGGTATAATGGCACTATCTTTCATCCGGTATTCGATACCGAAGAACGAACAGAATAGGACACCGGCGAGGGTTAGTAGCGCTACAATGCGTGTAATTCCCCATGTATAGGTGGTTCCACACCATGATAGTGCTAAGGGAAGAGAAATCGTTGCTGACATGAAGGTGAAAGTACCAGCCAAGTCGAATCTTGCGACTTGGCTACTAAATCCTGTTGAATTGGATATATTTTTGCGGCCACGACTACCTTCATAAAGAAAGCGATGAAAATAATTTCGGCAGATTGATGTAAAAACACCAACGCCATGTCGTGGAGTCTGAGAAAGACCCTCCCTACTCTAGTGTCAATCATAGCAACAAACGATGGAAGGATTAGAAACACTTAAATACTGATAAAGGTCCAGCCACGCTCCCAACTGCAAAGATACTTCCAATAATGCTGTTCCATGTCGGTCGCTGGCGTAGCGGAACACATTCGGCGAGGATGAGTGTAGTGCCTGCTTGTATTCCAGCAGACCCAAGGCCTGCCAACGCCCGCCCAAGGATGAAATCAGGAGAATTCGGCAAAGTAGCACATACAACGCTTTCAATCTCGAAAATTAGCAGTGATGCTAGAAAGACAAATTTACTAGAGAAGAGTGTGTAGATCTTGCCGAAAGCCGGCTGGGATGCGCAGGACGTCAATGGATAGATTCTCGCAAAAAGTTGCTAAGCGCAATACAATTGTGATCAAGACAACACTTGAAAACTTGGCATACATTCCCGTATCTTCCACTTGCTGAGTTTCCTCGCGCATCGCTAAGTCGCTCACATTGGCCACTATAATTTCATTTTCCGTGGAAGGGTTCGGAGACATTTCCTTGAAAACCAATCATACACTTGAGCGAGAGGTTTGGGAAGTAAACACAGGAGAGTATAGAAAGTGGTTTTCGAACGGGAAAGAATTGCAGATGGTAACAACTCCGAACTTCTTCTGGTGTATATCGTAATCACGTCGCCTTCTTTTTGTACGAAGGTTGTATCAATTGTTTGGCATTCACAAGAACTACCAGGCTTGGCTTTGTTGAAAATCAAATCTTCCTCCACTCGTCACTGCTGACGGGTAAAGGGGGCAGGCCAACAGTTGGACATGCCAAATTGATGAAATCTACCAAGTAAAACGATAAGAATCATCCAATAGAGAATAAAGAATTTATCGACTTTTACTTCCTTAGGTAACCCCACTTTCAGGGGTTATCTAACCGAGCTTATTAGGCTCTAAGCCAGCTCCAGCCTAGCTTTATTATCGTCACAATGGAAATGTGGGGAACAACATGGCTGAATTAATGACATCTCATGATTCTCATCAGGAATTTATCATGCCAAAACACGATTTAATAGAGAAACTGGGTAGATTGGAAAGTTCCTGAGTTCGAGGGTTCTTCGCAGCAATTCCAAGGTGAGAAAGGTATGGTACGGGCAGATTCGAATCTATTAGATTCAGGAAGTTAACCAGCCAAAAATACGGAAGGATTCGACCCACGGAAAACATTAAGCCACCATGCCTCCCAATAGGCTATAAAATTCAATTCATCGTACCATATCTTCAATCTCTGGCTTGAGATCCAAACCCCGCAGTCATTCTCGGCGTGTTCCCCGCCACGGGTATTATTTCATTTGCACTGAAAGATCACGAGTTATAGCTTTGGAAACCATTGTGCCACACTCCAGGAATATATAAATCGCAATATTGCCCGAATGATTTATTTGCAGAAATCAAAGTTTCAGAAATGCCTCCTCTATCATCAATAATTTTTGCGGTTCAGGGCTGTTTCAATTTCCTGAACGGAGCTGCCCCTCTTTTATCTTCTACAGCCGCAAGGAAAAATGCCGAAATGCTGCTGACGGACTCGAAACACGCTATTCATGTTTTAGCTCTGTCATGTATGTCAATAGGGTAAGGAAACCGAAGCCTTCTTAGCTAATCTTGAATCTCGAAATTCAAGTGCTACGCTGATCATAGCTATACATAATAGCTCGCTCTACCTTGTCGCTGCTAAGAGAGGAGACAAGCTTGCCATGTGGTTGTCAATTGTTGGACGGTCGATTGCTGTTGGAATCTTTTGGGTTGACGCTGGACCGTGGAGAAAAGTCGCGGTGTTTGAAGGGTTATGTGCAGGTGTGCTTGCTGGAAGTTTGATTTGGGAGTCTCGAGATGGGAAACACGAGAAAAGGGATTGAAGTGAGGGACTCTGAAGGTGAAAAATATTCCCAATACCGAGATAAACAGCCACAATTTTCCTCTGGTGGCAGAAATGCAATGGAAGAATGTTCTCATTTCACTCTAAACGATACTATATCGAATTCGCTAATTGATACCCTTTCACATCCAATAATTCATTTCAGTCGCGAGTTCTGGGATTACGCGGATAATCATATATAATGTTTCCGACCCGATAGCTACTCTATCGACATATTGGGCTCATATCAAATATGAGTTCTCTTCAGTTATGACTCGAGTATCAAAGCTGACGATACTCTGTTTGCTGCGATTCTGTATTTTCGTGCGTTCTGTAATATTAAAGATCCTGATCAGGGCCACTGAGTATAGTATCGTAAATTTCGACTTTGATAATTCTCATAGAAGCTCCTATCTCTTCCGTGCTGGGGACAAGCTCTCAGCAGAATCGTTCTCAAGTAATCACTCATGCATGGTCGGCTCGAGGTCTTCCGCAATCTCTATATGGCCGAGGCTTGGTGCGGACCGTCAGTAATTACTTAAAAATCACTCTTTCGCAAGATCTTTGACTCGGTCCACTGGTCACTATAAAAGAATCTCATGAACGTCAGCTTTGTAGTGGCAAAGCGCACAGGCAAGTATTATTTCTTGTGAAGCGATTTCCAATGACCACTGTCAGCCTGTTTTGTTGCCTGCTTTGGCTTTTGCATCCTCGTCTTTTAAATTATTTTACATTTCTTCCTGCACGAATATAATGATGATGTCATTTGCTGGATTACCCGGGCTGAAGATTTATTTCACACTTGCTACTGTATCAATGCTAAAACTTAAGCTTCGATAGACTTCTCAACATCTAGTTTGCAGTACTTCTGGGATGAAGGACAGCCAGCATTGTATATGCACTATAGTAGAAGAATAATTTTCCAGAAAATTGAAGTAATTTGCAATTGTAAGTATTGATGTTTAACTAAGACTATCGTATTTCTGAGAATCATGCAATCCTGGCATTTCAACAGTCCAGCAGAACTTTTGGTGCATGGTGATCGCGGATATCTTACTGTCTACGAGAATCGTAGGATTTGGCGTAGGTAAGGCCAGCGATGGAAGATTGGTCAGGGCGTACAATAAGTTTCATGCATATTCATGAGGCTCCCCTTCACTTGAGCTGCCCTAAAGCTATCCTGTCATAGCTTCAAGAAATCTGATTGTTTGACCTCATTTCTTTGATTATCGAAAATTTAAGACCTCTTTCTTGTCTCAGAACTTTGTCGTCTAGAATATTTTGCATCTCTTGAGAAACTATCCAACAAGAACATCGACATGTCTGGATTTGAGATTGCGGGAATTGTTCTAGGCGGGTTCCCTATCCTAATTATAGCTGTGGAGTTTTTTGATGAAACTTTCAAGCGTGTGACAACATGGAGGCAATTCCGTACCGATTTCCTGCAATTCATTGATGCTATCAATTTTGAAAAGCAATTCTTCAACGAACTGCTTCGCCGGTTTCTACTCTCCGTGGACGTCCCTAGGGATGAGGTCCACCTTTTTCTTGAGGACAGAAGTTACGAGGGTTGGCACCGCGAAGAGCTCATTGCGATCTTCCATTTGCGTCTTGGCAAGTCTTACAAAGGTTTCAAAAGCTTGATCAAGACAGTAGATTCACTCATGATAGAGGTGAATAACCTGTTAGCGTTCAAAGATGGAAGGGTAAGATGACGTACTTTCCTTACACCCTGCTTATGACTCACAATACATGAATGCTCTTCGTTTTTGTACTTCAATCTGTATTCTTGGAAAACTTTTTGGGATTTACGCTAACAATGGCTATAGATTGACTGGCAAGAAGAAAGACTAAGCGGGTTTGAATACCAGGTTAAACGGGTCCAGCATAGCTTTTCGAAAAGAGGCCCAAAGGCTTTCGTCGCGCTAGAGAAATGCAATCGAAAGCTTCAAGAAATTCTGGACTCGGTTGAGAAGTTGGAGACTATAGGATCGAGAAAAGACGATTTAGCAGAGGCAATTTTTTTCTCGCGCATCAAAAAACACTCTCAGAGTTTGCACAAGGCCATCAACGACAGGTGGAGTTGTGAATGTATATCGGCTCATGAGGTTTCGATTCAGCTACAGAGCCGTACAAGTGTGGACTCCCCCATAATATTCAATCTATCATTCGAATATCCAGAAATATTAAAGACAGCTCTCTACCCATCCGATGAACAACTTTCTCGCACATTTTCTAAGTGTCGAAAAGTCGAAACCACCAGAAAAGCCCGCAGCATAATCGATAGTATTCTACCTGCCAGCCCTCAGCAACTTTCAGTAGCAGAAAATGTTCGCCAAAAGCTGCATCGAAATATTGAGTCGAAGCCTAACTCTACTTCTAACAAACAAGCGTCCCAAGTAAAGAAATCTGGTTCCTCAGACTCACCGTCGTCATCCATCCAGGTATCTTCCACCGTGCTGAATGAAATTGAGATACATAACCTATGCGAAACTGTCTACAATTTTGATATCACCTGCAATTCTTACTTAGGCTACCTCCCGGCTGATCATTTAGAGCGCCATGAATTTCGAGATAGTGATGATAGTGTTACATCTCGGGCCTTCTATCGAGATAAATTCGTTAGTCTTGAAACCATTCTTTCCAAGCCCGATAAATTCTCTCCCCTCAACCGCTATGAACGATATAAAGTTGCATACATACTAGCTTCTTCATTACTACAGCTTCAGAATGCTCCTTGGCTTACTGGCAATCTGCAAAAGCGCCATATCCTCTTTCTATGCGATTGGAATAAGCACAAAATTCTAATCGATCAGCCAAATTTCTCCCACTCCCGAGGTCCTTCTTCTCCACAAAGTGCCAATTTATACCTCTAGAACAAACCCCGAACTTTAGCAGTCCAATCACTGCCATCAAAAACCCACCAAAAGACCTCGGCATTGTGTTACTGGAACTATATTTCGGGCAGCGCATCGAGGAGCAATCGATCCGGCAAGATTTCCTCGTCGATGGAAAAGAGCATGCAAGCACAAACTATCTCACCGCTCTAGAATGGGCCGACGCGGTATATGAGGAAGAAACAGCATTGGAACATGTTATCAAATCTTGCATGTTTTTTATCTTTGAAGGAAAGTCGAATTGGGATAATCTAAGTTTTACACAAGCTGTGTATGCAAGTGTTGTTGAGCCGTTTGAGAAGATAGTCAGTCGTCAGCAGGCCAAATGCATCTTGAGCTGAGGTCCCATATACAAATCACGTGTGTGGCGTATCCTTTTGTACAGTAAGATGACAACCGAAAAGTTTTGTTGCACGTCTGTATCCGGCTCTTGTTCGGCTCTTGTCCGGCTCTTGTCTGGCTCTTGTCCGGCTCTTGTATGGCTCTTGTCCGGCTCTTGTCCGGCTCTCAAAAACGCTCCTAGTATTGAGAACTCGTTAGCCACGTGAGACGTCGTTACAGTAATTCAGCATTCCTACTTCAAACGAAGAGATCAGAAGGAATGAATACAACCTTTACCGCACATATGGTTTATATGTATATACCTTACTAATCATTCAAGCTTACATGAAAGGGCTCCAAACATCATAGTCTACATTTTATGTTTTGAATAAAGCATCTTCGAAGATCAAACTAATGGAACAGAATTAACCAAGAAACTATCCTATCGGGGCGACCATTGATCTAAACGGCAACTATTTATATAGATCTCAGAATTGTTCTAAACAATCAGAGAATTTATTATCTCTAGTTGCTTTGAAACTGAGATCATGAATTCTCTCAAGATTTCAAGTAGACTTTGAACAGGTTAAAAAGTTAAAATATCGACACGATTTAAATCTGCGCCAAGCCCTTCGATCAGAGCTTCATATGACCAACTTTCATACTAGGAGGCAAATCCTCCTCCTTAGTCCCCCAATTACTTTCCGTATCTCCTAGAAACAATTCCAATGTCTGTCCCTCCGTGAAGAATTCATGTCCACTGTGTTACATCAAATTAGCATTACTTTCCAAGTCCCACACGATTGGGGCACAACTCACATCCAACTCTTATTCCAAACCACTCCGTCCACTTTCGCACTCTGTACAAAAACATTCCTCACACCTCCATCCCATCCAATGTTCTTGATCGTACTCTTCTTTCCATTTTCATTTGTGAAACTCAAAGATTCGAAAAAGGGCGGGATGATTAGATAGACATTCTGTCCCGGATTGGGAAACAATCCCATCATTGAAAATGCGGCAAAGGAAGCCATGGCGCCGGTATCATCGTTACCAGGTAATCCAGTGGTTGACGTATTAAAATAGGCGGGTATGTACATATGGGCACGGGATGCTGAGAGAGCAGGACGACCGGCGTACTAGCAAGGGGTTAGCGGCGCATGTAACTGATAGAAGGGGGAGACGAACGTGGTAAAGAAACACTGTCAAGAACGAAGGTTCATTTCCGATGTCCGTTAGACCGCTTGTATGCAAATAATCGAGACGAGCGATGAAGTTCTCTGGTCCACCAATCAGATCAATCAGAGTCGCGATATCATGCGGTACAAAACTAGTCAATTTTCAGTAACGAATACGACACCAAGAGAGAGAATACCCACAATTGATACTCCCAAATACTATCCTCAAAAGTCTCCTGTGGATTACTTGTTAAACTGCAGAAGGAATCCAACGGACTACAAAGTATCGGATCCTGGTAACCCCACGTCCCGTTCAAATATTTCGGCTGAAAGAATCCTGTAAATCCTGTATCTATACCTTTAATAGACAAAGTTTGATCTTCTTTCCACAGATTTTGCCAATTTGTCGCGCGATGCAAATATTTCGTATATTCGGGTTTCCCTAAACCTCTCCCAAGGGTAGAGATACAGAAATCGTTATACGAATACTCTAAAGTCCTGGAAATACTTCTCGAGTTCGTGCCGAAACCCAAGTAATCATAATCCAGGTAGGGTATATAGCTTAGAGCTTTCCATGACATGAGACCACCACGGCCTTCGTTGGACCATTCTAGTGGCTCGTTTTCTGCATCGTTTACCACAGCTTCGTAAGCTAGTTGCCAGTCTATGCCTGTGAGATTCTTTACGTATGCATCAGAGATAACATTGTCGGCATTTGAACCACCTTGAGTAAACCCTTTACAGAGACTCATACGACAATCTGGAAGCCATCCAACGTTCTGGTAGGTATCGAGGAGACTACGGATCATTTCTGATAAAGCAGATGGATCGATGATAGTGAGAAATGGAAGCTGAGATCTGAATGCATCCCATATACTGTGAAAACATTAGCACTTCTTAACTCAACCCAAGTCACCTGAATTATTTACCAGTAGAAAGAATCAAAGTATGGCTCGCTACTTTCCCATAAGGGATTCTCCCCCGTATAATTTTGCGGGGACATCATAGTCCTATAAATTGCACTATAGAAGTTGGTTAATAGTGAAGTATCACTACCGTTGCCAGGCTCTATGGTCACAACACTCAGTTTCTTCCTCCATACCTTCTCGGCCGTCTTCTTGAGCCTAGCAAAGTCCCAATCAGGAATTTCATTTTCTGCATTCTGACAAGCTTTATCCGAGCTAATGAGACTTACGCCCACTCTAGCGCTAATAGTTCTATCAGTTGATGCTTGAAAGCGAACAAATCCTCCAGCTTGAATGTAGAAAAGATTTATGCCTCTCGTGACGAATATTTCCTTTGGTTGTGTTCCTGCTCTATTGTTGACCCATATTCCAGTGTCCAGGATATTTGCCCCGGAAAAATCAACGCAAACATATGACATGTATGAACCCCCACCGAAACTTGGAATGAAAGTCCCGTTCGCTTTGATACGCCCATCGTCAGCCACGCTGATGGTTGCGTTTTGTCTACTAGCACTCAAATCCGTTAGATCCATAAGAATGAGCGGGCTTAGAGCCGTCCCATTCGAAGACTTCTCTACAGGAAAATTGAAATGATAAAGAGCAGCATGCTCTGAAACAGTCATCTCTGCATGAATGCCATTTGTTAGGTTTAATCCAAAATATCCCGGCGTGGCCACCACAGAATTCAACACATATGGCGTAGCTCGATCTGTGATTAAGAATTTGCAATTGTCAACCACATCATCGGGACAGTACGATGGAAATAAGGGGAAGTTGCCCAGGGAAGGATTTCCTCCTGTGCCAGAATCGTGCATATGTGAGAACCCAGTTACATTGCTGCCATCCGTTGAGAATCCAGCGGTATTTTGTCCATTAACATCGGCAACCGCTTTAGCCATTCCATATGGAAGAGTAGCGCCGGCAAAGACATTTCCACCATTGTCAGTGCCGATGAGTTGGTTGACATACTGGAGCGGGTCGAATGTACTCGAAGTTAACGTTGTATTAATGGTGCTCCATTGAGCTATTGCAGGAGATGACAGTAAGAGGGCAATAGAAGCTTCCAAGTATTTCTTAGGTTTCATATTGAAGAACAACGACAAACGATAAGATAGGCGTTCATAAAACTGTTGGTAAACGGGTGAAGACATGCCACTGTTATAAAGCTCAAGTACTTGCTTTCAACGCGGGGTTCTCAACAACCACGTTCGTATCCTTGATGCAGTGCTACATCAATCAATGCGAGAGCCTAGCAAGTGCATTGTGATATCAAGACCTTCCAAAAAGGGCAGGAATGACGAGAATCTAAGATCATCATTTGGATTTCAGGTGTAGCGTTTGACATGGATTGGCACGCGTCTAACATGTGATGTGTACAAGTAATGATGCATCGAGAATGTGATTTCATTCCCAGGGATAGCAAGAAAGGCTTTTATTCATTCCTAGAAATATGGGAATTGATTCGATAGCAACTCAGACAGTAGCATTGAATTTGAATGTTAGCATCTAATCGCGTTCAAAAGGGATGCATGGCTCTAACTTAATGTTTTAGAGTCTGAGAAAATCATCAGACCGAGGTTTTGCTGTAAGCTTTTATTTCTTCAATATTAGATTTATATATAGCAACCTATTTCATTGATATCACTATCCGAGAGTAAAGTATGATTTGCTGTTCTAATGCTGAGTAAAAAATGGAGAGTTACGGCTTCATTTTTTCATTGATTGAGAGAAGATAATGGGAGAAAGATATAAAAGAGGAGGAAAAGCAAGAGAGGAAGAATGAAAAGTTAGGTTCTAAAACAAGGTACGTCATAAATGCGTACTAGAATATTCAAAGAGCACAAAACTCCCCATCTGCTTGTAGGTACTCTGTATAGATTCATTGCTCCAAAGGAATCTCGAGAGCCATGTCGTGGCGCTCACAATGTTAACTCATGTATTGCCCAGGTGAGCTCTTCATATTGCAACCAAAACCCGTACTTGATTGAACCTAACTGTTTAACGTCTCAAACCGAGAATTATATATTTGAAGTCGACATGATATCCTCATTATTAAATTCGTCGATTCAGATCATTCCATCAGTGCTTTGATATTCTATCAAGTGATTGTCTTAAATCGTTTTAAAGTTTCGACCTGTAAGTTATTAGAATGTTTGAGACCATATGATATTGAACGTCACAAATATCGAGTCTATCGAGTCTATCGGTCAAGAGTTTGAACATTGTCATATTTATGGATTTCTCTCCATTAAGAGTCGCACAGAGATGGGAATACGAACTACGGGATATGAGCTGGGGAGTACAGGGCATACAATACAATTAAACTACCTATTGATGTGACATGAGACTACCCGATGCCAACTGCGGAAAATCGCTTTCAACAAGTCAAAGACTGATGAATTTACAAAACTTTGTAGGCATTTTCAATACCAATGGAGCGAAAGTTGAGGAAAGGCACAGGTTCAAAGCTTGGGTTGATGGATTCAAAATGATACTTCTTTCACGTCCACGTTAACCGTAATAACAAATGGGGTATAATGAAAAGCAAAGTGCTTTAGGACGAGCTTTTATTTATATGTGATACACCATATAGCCCAAACCCCGTAAAGATTTCCCATTCCCAGACCATGATGTAAATAATTTACTCGTCATCTTCTTCCTCATCGGCCTCAACGGTGGTTTGTGCGATACGGTCCAAATCACGTTGTCCGGATTGAGTGATACGACGACCTCCCTTCTCCTCATCTTGCTCCAAAACACCGATCTTCTCGAGGGATTGCAAAACGTGACGGTCGACAGATCCGGAGGCGTTGACGTGGTGGGATGGTCTGGAACCACGGTTCTTGGTTGAACCGTGGACCTTGGTGAGACGGCCAACACCGACGGTTTTGCGGAGGTAGATGTGACGGGCGTTGGCAGCAGCACGAACGTAGTACCAGTCAATAGATTGAGGTGGGAGCTCGTTGGATGCGCTGGTCTTGACGGTATCAACCCAACCTGCAGAAGAAAGTATCTTCGTTAGTAATCTGTAAATATCGAGCGCATGCCTGCGCAAATGTGGAAATCAAGGATGGAGATGGATAAATTAGTACGTACCTGGAATTGGGAGCTTTCCTTGTCTCTTCAAGAAAGCAGCATATGCATCAATGAACTTTTGAGCCTGAATTAACCCGTCGAATCAGCATAATTCCGTCAGCGGAGATCTTTCGACCCCCTCACACCTGCTCATTTATCGACGAGAGAAGGTAGTTTGCGAAGTTTTCAAGATTGATCAAATGGGTTGATGTAAATGATTGGAATTCCAATTCGCTGTCGCAAATCGAGTTCTCAAGTTCATTCCTCTCCAATTTCACACCTTGCAGAATTGTGTATACTTACGTCAACATCGCGAACAGTAACACCACCCATTTTTGCGGTATTTGGTAATATGTTCGAAGGGTTTGTCGATGAAGTTCTTTGGGGCGGAATGGAAATTGTCGTGGTTCGAAGTTTCAAAAAGAGATGTTGAAAATGAAAATTATCCAAAGTGCGGGCGACAAATTACGCGAGGGAGACTTTACCAAAAAGAGACTAGTGTCGAAATATCGGACTTTTCTCTCTCGACTTCCCGAATCCCGATCCTGTCTCTCGTATGGACTTTGCTATGTTTATCCGAATCACCCGAGCCGGAAACAATAATACAGATGAACCTGGCTATACGGGCCTAAAAATTTCGAGGCCTAAATGCCCGTATATAGGGGTTTCCCGTATATACAGTTTCAGCCTCGGTATTTAGCCTCGTTTTATACCTTTAGCCTCGTTTTATATCTTCAGTCTCCCCATTTTCATTAAATTTGTCATGTGAATTTATGAATTCATCATGTGATAGGCTAAAGCTTGGACCACTACCACCAATTTTTATAAGAGCATTGGGAAAATTAGGACCATATGCTCTTATATAAAGGTATGCCCATATAGGTCAATTTTACCATATAAATTTTTTTAAGGTTGAAAAATATGCCTGTATAAAGGGGATTCCCGTATAACCCCTGCCCGTATATCCAGGTTCATCTGTATAGAGTTCGATAAAAAATGAAGCTTAATTAATTAAATTCTAATAAGAAGAGCTCGATGTTGCATTAACCTCAATCTTAATATATAAACTTTAAAGATTGGTTTGAACGATCAGATCAAATCCTGTCGTATCTGAGACACAAATTGCGATATCATGCCATCTAGAATCTAGAACGGGTTCGATATCTTTGCCAATATTTTTCGTTCAATATTTTGGCATGAACTGATGCTTCGAGATGTACAGGTTGTATGGCGTCCTAAAACCCTATACAATCATTGTCCAGAGCCAGAAGCAATGGAATTTACTCTATCAATGAACTTTCGAACTTCCGAACCATTGTCCAATTCAAAGAACAGCACCGAATCTGGTCAACGTTAGATCCAACTGTAATTTTCAAAAGCCCATGTTTCAAAGTGTTCATGAACATCGAATCTCTGAAATCTACCACGGAAGTTGTTTATGTTTGAAGACAAATCATTTACCATCATGTTGTTACCAAAAAAAAAAGAATGAGTTATAATTATCATACCCGTTGTTTTGACATAAGTTTATATCTATCCAGAGCTCATGGATTCATCAGCTCATGAACTAGCTATAGGTGACGGCTTTTATCAATATTTATATCATAATATCTCGTTGAGCATTTTGAAATGTTTCACTTGTCGAAGAGTGAGAAAAAAAAATCTTCAAATTGTGTTATTATGTAGCCAGTGCATAGAATATTTTTATATGTATACAGTGTCCAAAAGTTCTAAAAACATTCGTTGAAGGGGAAATTATGTACAAAGTTCCTTCGCATGCATTTAGATGCAATTCCTTCAAGGCACTATGCTGTTTTCTGGACAGATTCGCATGTCTTATATCCTCATCCAAGGATTTATTTAAGTGATACGGAGTAGGCAGTCGTCTTGAAGACAGCATTGCTTCCTATTTTACGTTAGTTTGTCACCGAATCAGATGAGTTAGGGAGTGAACTTACCAGTGAATGGTTCGGTACCAGCTTGAATCGTCGTGAGATATTGGCTGGCTGGGTATCCTTGGCTGGAGGTCAAGTATGTAAGGAATGTCTTCAAGTCACCAGAGAAGCTATTGACTGTGCTGGAAGCGACGAAGGAATAGACTCTGGTGGCACCGTTGAGTCCAGAGTAGAGTTTCCATGACACTCCAGCGATTGTTGGGGTTGCAACGGGTGACCCGGTAGCTGAAATTGGTCCTGCACCACCCTAAAAGTCGTTAGTTTCCGCAACCAAATCAAAGCAAAAGAAAATGCAATGATAATGGAAAACTCACAAGAGCACTAAGCCAGATCATGATCTCATAGTTCGCGCTGCCAGTACCAGTAGTTGAGGAGAACAAATCGTAGGAAACGTCAGCCACGATGTTAGTGCCAGTATAGCTAGAAGGGTTTATGATCAGCTAGGTTCATTGAACAGATATGAAGTAACTAACCTCCATTTCCAAGTAGTTGGGATGGTAGAGATAGCAGAAACCTGCTTAGCTGCCATATTAAGCCCTACATTTGCATAAGACTTGACTTGGGAAGACCCTCCTGCCCATGACCAACTAGTGGACCAGACAAGAGAATTGCTCGTGTCTGAAGTGACAGTTGAGCATTGAGAGCCAGTAAAACCGGTTATATTCCAGAGATTTTGGAAGACGGTATAAGTGCCAGTTGCAACAGTATCCCATTGGCCACAGATTGTTGTAGCTCGCTTCTCAAGAGTAGGAGTAGGAGTAGGAGAGGCAACAGCAACTGTTGCCAAGACTAAAGAAACCAAGGACTGGGTGAACTTCATGGTGATAGGAGTGAAAGGTAAGAGAGTTAGAAGTGCGTGGAATGTTGAATGAAGGGAACGGAGAGCGAGCAAGGCTCATATTTATATAGAATCCATTACAAGTATCATGGTACATGCGCTCACTCGTGGAAACATTGAGAGGAATAATAGGGGATGTTGCCCAGGTAGACCCTGCGCTCAGCAGATTGACCAAGCCTAAGGGAATCGCAATATGCAACTATCTGCACGAGGACAAAGATTCTATTGTGGTACAGCTTCGGTGCCTAAGACCTTTGAATAAGCTCCCTCGCTCCCTGATTTACGAAGTATATCTAGGGTTGTTTGTGGCTGCTTGACAGCCAAGATGCTCTACCCACTTTTTTTGCTAATGAACATTTGAAATTAGGCGATTTGTAATTATACAAAGTACAACAATGATCAAGAAATCATAATATAAAAAAATATAACACTAAAATTAAAAATAGAACCTCCGGATAATTCCTTGAAGACTGACTGACCCATTTAACATCTATTCCATTCACTTAAGTGGTTGAACATCACATAATATCTTAGCATAATAAATTACAATGACCAAAAAGCAATAGACTATACAATCATAGAATTCGCTCAACTCAAATTGAGTTATGAATTAAACCATTAAACTTTTAATACGAAAAAATCTTCTTCGGAGGAAAACAAAAGTAGAAGAGTCAAAAAGGTTATTCAGTTCACTAACCTATTTGATGTCCGTTAAAATGGGTCTCATTCGGCATCCAGGGACCAGAGGCTTGAAACCGCACTTTGGCAATTCTGGCTAATATCACAGGAAACGTGGATAAAGTCGTACAACCTTGACATTTACTAGGGAACAGATCTCATGACTTACCCCGGATTCTTCAAGAGAGGCGAATAGTGAAGATTATGCCTAAATTGGACTGACGTTTATGATGATGAATGATCCCCTTCGTGGTAAAATTTCTCCATGTCTGACAACTGCAGTCGTGCAAGAATATGAGACGACCCATTCTCGAATCCTTACTTACTCGAGAGAGCTTGATTTAGCACAAAAATACATCTCAATGTTCACATATTCTGGTAAGCTGCACTACTAGAGCTTCTCACGAAACATAATTCCATCCTGCCTGTCAAGCGATGTTCGCAGATCATGAACTCAGCGCGAAGGTAACCCGAAATATGTCCTCCAATAACAATTTCCAAAAGAAATTGTGCACTCGGGACCATGCTTAGATTAATTTCATAATTCTCTTCTTTGCTGTAGATTCAGTTGTGCGGTAGATGATCTGTTTAACTCATACGGTGTTGTGCTCGAAATTGGAGTGAGATGCTTTCAGGCGTTCAATTGGTCCAAGATTTAGACGCCTGCGAGGGTTTGTTGAATTGGAAAAGATCAGAATCCGACTTGCATCATATGCGAAGCACCAGACAAATGGTGGAAATGTAGAAGAATACTTTTCAGCTCAAAGAAATATCGACTTAATATTACCTCACAGGAACCTACAAAGGGACACCAATAGTTACATCCAACGTATTGTAGTATTTTAGTATGATAACCTGACGCCAATTGCCTTTTAACTCGCTGCACTCGAAACTTGGTGTAGGATGATGAATGTTGATTTGGGTAATAGTGACGATTAATGATATTAGGATTCGAATGTGCTCTGTGGAGTTTTCATTGAACAAAGAACGTGAATGTGGCATGAAAAGGCGGTGGGGGTACTCTTGATCAGGTGACATAACCTTATTCACACGCTTGGGACTCTAGCGGCTCTGGTCTCCACACCTCACCCCAACTTCCCCTCGAGGAAATCATCAAATTCGATATCACATTGCATCATAGAAGCGCGATAATTTTCCTTTCATATCTTCATAATTGGAAACATAGAAGAGAGTCGCGTCTCTGAATACATCAAATTGCTCGAGAAAAACTGTCGATTGTATTAGATGAAAAAGATTAACGAATCATCGATATCGCGCAGAGTACAGTGACCATTGCGACAAGTTGAATAATTTAGCAAAAGTACATCTTGCTGAGGTTTCGACATCAACTATGGCGCCTGCGGCATCGGTCGCTCAGGCGACTAACAAAGTCAAACGGCCTATGTCTATTCAAACAAACGGCATCAATTCATCGACTTCGTCTCCGTCCCCATCAATGTCCGCTGGAAGACTACCATCCGGCTCCAAAAATTTCCAAAACTCAACTACAACAAATGGCGCTGGAAACTCGTCGGGAGCTCGATCTGCGAATCGAAATCGCTCGGGGCACACACTTGGTCGAGGAATCAAGAATAATAGTGCAGGTATGAGGTCTGGCAGTGTTGCAGAGGAATTCGTTATACAACAAGTTGCGCAATCACAACCATATGGTAAACCTCTTCCTACATTCAGTGGCTCATACAGATACTAAAATCTCCTAGTCAAAACTGAGCACTATATTCTTCATAAATACCGCAAAAGCCCCCCCTCCCTGATCATCCACCTTTACGCGACGCACTTCCGATTCGATCAACAACAAAACAGTTTTTCTTATACTTCTCCAATGAGAGTACTCCTGGATCACCTCAGACAGAAGACCATACCTCATGAGTTGGTGGATTATTTTATACTGAACGAAGTAGCTTTCTACGAAGGTTGCATGATTGTCCAGATCCTCGATCACAAATCTGTGGCTCCCCAACAACCCGCATCTCAACCGAAGGAGGGAAGCAAGGAAGGCGTTTCGATTCATACTCTCAGTAGTTATATTACACCGTCCCCATATGCGTCGTACCCTAGACCCGACCTAGATAAAAGTAGACCGTCAAAAGAACAAAGTAACGATGGCCCCGCGAAATCAAGGACATCTGCTCAGCAAGATAAGGAGAATATGCCTGCGCCGGGCACCTCGAACGATTCCCAGAAAAATAAAACAGTCCCTGCACCAGCAAAACTCAAAGTGACAACGTGCGTTCTCTTTCCAACACCAATTAGTACCTATGTCGAAATTGCTCGTAATTCTACTGCACCTCATACACCAGATATGGACAAGCGCCAAGAACGTTCCGAAGGAAGTGCATCAGCTACATTAGCGCAACCACCTACACCACTTGGAACTGTCCCACCAACTCCCGGCTTAAATATGCCACCAGCCGCGAAAAGATTGAAAATGGCTAAATCTGAGTTTAATTGCGGCAATATATACGCAGCAGAAGCTCAGATTATCCTAGCCACTACAGCTCCCTTGGCTCTTGAGCCTGCAAACAGCGCAACAGAATGTTCACGACTATTAGAATCATTAGCTCACCCTATGCACTTAGAGAAGCCTCCTCAGCCCAAGTCCCGTAAAAGAACAGTCGCAGAAATGGCTGCTGATGAAGCGCTTGCCGCAGATGAACAACGCTATATGCTCATTTTGGACGAACAGCGTTTTGCAACTGTTGCCCGGGGCGCCGGAGGTATCAATGTTGCTGATGGTGCTGGCCAGGCTGGTGGTGGATTCGAAGCCCGCTTTGAGAAATTTAATGCTCTCACCAATATCAGAAAGGATATCGAAGACAAGAAAGCCTTGAAGAAGGCAGCAGAAGCAGAGGCCCAGCGAAAGTCTAAGGCAGAGGAAGAGATTCAAAGGAAACAGGAGTTAGCTGAAGCTCGACAAAAGGAGATAGAAAGACGTCAACTTTTGGCAAGACAACAGGCACAGCAACAAGAAGCTCAACGACGTGCCGTAGCTCAACAGCAGCAACAGCAGCAGCATCCACAGGCTTTGCAGGGTATGCCTCCTCAAACACAAGGCCCCCATGCACATCCATCTCAATCCAATGGAATTGTTTCAAATGGTATGCAGGCGCAACGGTTCCACCCTCATCAAGGTACCCAGGCCCAAATGTCTTCACCAATCGTTCGGAATGGAACTCCGCACAGCCAGGCATCGCCGACAGTCAATAACGGTATTGGCAATAACCCAATGCAACACTCTACGTCGAGCATGGGTGGCAGCCCTCCTCGTCCAGGTTCTGTTGTTCACCAAAATCATCCTGCACCCATTGCAGCTCATGGTATGGTGGCTCAAAGAAGCCAGCAAAGCCATGCAGGAACACCTCGTATGCATAATGCGACTCCTAACATGCAATCCACTCCTTTGAACCGAGGACTCACACCAAGGATGAGCCAAGGGAGCCCACTGCAAGGCGTGATGGCCCAAGCACCTGGAATGGGCCAGATTGGAATGAACTCGGCTCAAATGCATGTTCAAGGTATAAATAGTATGTCGCCTGTTGAAACGCAACAATATTTGATGGCGTTACGAGCTCAACAACAGCAGCAGATGCAAGCTCAAAATATGAGAGTAATGCCTAATGGACAGCAATTGACTCCTCATCAAATAATGCAGCACCAACAAATGAGGCAAATGCAGATGCAAGCTAATGTTAATAACCCAAACCATCAATTAGCTCAAGGTTATCAAAACCAATTGGCTGCTATGCGACAAGCTGGTATGCCTCAGAATATGAACATGAATCAACAATTCATGGGAAATAATATGAACATGCAAAATATGCAGGGCATGGCATTACAGCAGCAAATGCAACAACAGCAGCAACAACAACAACAATTACAAATGCAGCAACAGCAGCAGCAACAACAACACCCCCAACAGCAGCAACCAATGAATCCACAGACCGCCATGGCACAACAATATATGCACGCCAACCCGATGCAAACACATCAGCAGATGGCCGCTGTATATAAGCAACTTTACAGTAGAGAGATGGCATCTGGCGCACATCCTCAAGGCCTATCAGACCTTCTGAAGAAGAAATTACAAATGCAAGCCCAGAATATAGTACTCCAAAACTTTAAAGCGAAGATGCAAGCAGGCGGGCAGCAAGGTTTCCCTCCAGGTATGCAGATGCAAAATGGTATGGGTATGGGAAGACAACCAGGCATGTAGGAGGTGTATTATACAAGTGTAATATTATGGGTAAATTCGCATTTGACCTGATCAAGGAGTTTGAGTTAGGTGCAGAAGGGGGAATACTTTGGCTTGGGCAAGGCGCATTTTAGGCATGATTATCACGGGGCACACGATTGTATATATTACTCTAGTTCGAAGATTGGAAAGAATAAGGCGACACAGGGGGATTGGCTAGGTTCGATAAAGGATTGGCGCAGCTGTATTCCAGGAATTTGGAGGTTATATGGACAGTCCACGGGTTATCTAGGTACTACTAGAACAATAAGATAGTTTGTGACTCACTATTCAAAACATTCAACGCCTTCATAAAAACCGTAAGCTTTCTTTCCGAATTAATTCCCTTCCTGTTATACATGAAGACATTACATATGTCTGATCCAAATAATGCAATACTTGTATGTTAGGCTCATTTCACAGATCACTTTTTTGTGCCTCTCTATGTTCTTTCTCCATCCTCCTCCATTCATCATCACTTCCTGTCCATTTGGGTTCTTCCACACAAAATGCTTCTCCCCATTCTAATCTCTGCTCTCTTCCTTTCCAGACATCCTCACTGCTCTTCCCCAACTCCCTATTTTTATCACTCGGATCTCCATATTTCTTCTTCTCCTTCTCAATCCATCGTGCCTTAATCAGTTTAGCCTTCTCATTATCGGCATATGTTCTCGTTTTCATACAAAACCAAAAGTCAGACCATGACTCACTACAATCTCGTGCAGAGCCATATCGATATAAATTATTGAACTGGCCGCCAAAAGACTGGCAATAGAATGCTGCATCGAAGGCTGTGCGACAGGACATGGTTGTGGGAAGGAGTTGGATAGAGAGCGGTTCCGAAGAATCACTTTGAGAAGGGGCTTGAGTAGAGGGTTGAGAATGGGAAGGCTCTGGTGGAGGTATCCGGGGTACGCGGTTATATTTTGTACTAGAAGGATGGGTGTCGGCCTCCAATTCCTGGAGAAAGGAATTCAGTTCTTGTTCTGCAATTTCATCGCGAGAGAGAGTTTTCGTTTGCGGTTTGGGTGTGGAAGATTGGGGAGATGAGACTGGATCGTTTGAATTCGAGGAAGCTGATTTCTCCGCAGAGGGAGCAGAAGATGAAAACCAGCCCATTGTGTAGGTTGTTGTCGTTGGAAATTTGTCTTTTGAGGGCTACGAGGCTGAAGCTTGTGGATCTTGGAAACAAAATTCAAACACGCGGGGAAATTCCTGCCGACTTTCACGTGACAAGGCTGTCAGTTCTTTTCGAGGTATGACGACACTGCTTCCCGTCTTTTGTTTGGCTTGGTTTGAGCCTTCTTCCAACTAACGCTCGAGGGAATTTCGTTTCTTTCTTTCGAGTGCTGTCCCTAAATAAATGGTACGACAAATCATGAAGATATACTTTCAGAGGTAGGCGCAACTATGAACAGGCGCATCTTGTTCAACCCTACGAGCGTGTCGGCGTTACGTACCCCGCGCCCTCCCATGCCTCAAACGCGTGCTTTTGGCAATGCCGGGAATTTTGCTAGAGTCGGCCTGAAAGGACTGAAGTATGATAGATCGAAGGGCATAAAAGGTGTGAGGAGAGAGAGTACGCAGATTGGGGAGAATGAAAGTGGGCATATTACTGCTGGAACTAATGAGGGTATCCTATTCTTGGATAGTGAGTTCTCATACTTCTTGATGGGGTCATAAGTTCAAAATAGCTTGCTGATGTACTTTTCCAAAGACATTTTTCCAATAAAGCTCGGATGGCTTCTTCGAATACCTTGGTATGGAAGAATGGATTCTGGCCTACCAGACATTCTTTATCGGTTCAATAATAAAGTATTTTCCAAATACGATCCTCTGAGCTTAGTGAAGCGTGCGATACCCTCCAGCGTCCCCTTAAAGGTAACCGAGATTCTACCTCGACTTAAAGAGGGGGGCGCATTCATCAAGTTCTCACACGATCGCAGCATAACGGCTCAGGAGATAGAAGGGCTTATCTCAGGATATCTGAAGGAGAAGCCAATCAAGCCTTGGTTCAACCCCTTTCGACAAATGCGAGCAAAACTTGTACGTGGGAAACCTTGGCTCGAGGATTTGTACAGATTCCCAAGCACTCGAATCCGTGTTGAATTTGTGCCTTCTACCCCTGGCGGCGAAGTAGCCGAACTTTCACAAGAGGTTATTTACAGCTTGTTCCGGAAATACGGAAAGATTGCAGAGATCTCTTCGCAGCCTTCGGATTCCAAAGTTCTACCAAAGTTTGCTATGCTTGATTTTGCTAATATAAGGCACTCGATCATGGCTAGAAATTGCTTACATGGCTTAAAAGTCACTGAGGAACTGGGTGGTGGAAAGTCTGGCACCATACTTCGACTGTCATTTGAGGCTAAGATGCAAGCCCATCATGTAAGAGAATGGCTTACCAGTCACCCACGTGTCGTTATTCCAGCTGTAGCCGCAATCCTTGCTACTGTAACCGTCGCGGTTTTTGATCCAATTCGAACCTTTTTCATCAAGGCACATATCGATCATGCTTTCAGTCTGAAGGACAATAAGATCTATGCATGGTTCGCAAGTCAAGCAAAGGACGTTTTCTCTTTCCGTGTGCACAAAGCAGAAGAAGCAAGCCTTAGTGCCATTTGGGATGATAGAAAGCAAGCTATTGAAGATTTACAAACTTGGCTTATGGAGACTGCCGATACTTTTATCGTTGTACAAGGTCCAAGAGGATCAGGCAAGAAAGAGCTCATCATTGATCAAGCTCTTAAGGGTCGACCAAATACCTTACTTATAGATTGCAAACCTATCCAGGAAGCAAGGGGCGACTCGGCCACCATTGCGGCAGCTGCTGCCACCGTTGGATATCGTCCGGTTTTCTCCTGGATGAACAGTTTTAGCAGTTTGATCGATTTGGCTGCACAGGGTACAATTGGCGTTAAATCTGGATTTTCAGAAACCTTGGACTCACAGCTTGCCAAAATTTGGCAAAACACTGCAACTGCTCTAAAACAGGTGGCTTTACAAAACCGAGAGAAAGATGACAAGGACGCTAATTTGGCTGACGATGATTGGCTTGAAGCACATCCAGAGCACAGGCCTGTGGTCGTCATTGACAATTTTCTACACAAGAATGAAGACAGTAGCATCGTTTACGACAAAATCTCGGAATGGGCAGCTGGTCTCACTACTTCTAATATTGCTCATGTCATTTTCTTAACAAACGATATCTCTTACTCTAAGTCCTTGAGTAAAGCGCTTCCTGATCGAGTTTTCAGGCAGATAGCGCTTGGTGATATCACACCTCAAGTAGCCAAGAAATTCGTCATCAGTCATTTAGAAAACGATCCAGAAAACCCTAAAGACAAGACGGAGAAGCTTTCGGAATCTCAACGTCGAGAAGATCTTTCAGAACTGGATGAGTGCATCGAAGTCCTAGGAGGCCGATTGACCGATCTAGAATTCTTGGCACGTCGATTGAAAACTGGACAAACTCCGAAACGCGCCGTGGCTGAGATTGTCGAGCAAAGCGCTTCAGAGATCATGAAAATGTATCTATTATCTGCTGAGAAGGGAGATCGGAAATGGTCAGTCGAACAAGCATGGTACCTGGTCAACTCTCTTGCTGAGAACGATACTCTACGATATAACCAGGTCTTACTCTCTGATACATTTAAATCATCCCTTACATCATCGGCATCGAACGGAGAAAATGTTCTCGAAGCACTCTCCGCAGCGGAATTGATCACGATCAAGACCTTCAAAGGTCGTCCACAAAGTATCAAAGCTGGGAAGCCAGTATATCAAGCTGCCTTCAAGATGTTAAGCGAAGATCGTGTTTTACGAAGCAGACTTGATTTGGCAGTTCTCACCGAGCTAACTAAGATTGAAACGAAGAGTATTGATAAGTATGAGAATGAATTAGTCATGCTCGGTACTTTACCTAAGCAGCCTCATGAGGTTGGTCCTCGTATCCAATATCTACTGGACAAATTAGCGGCGAGTCAAAGAAAGGTTGAAGCTTGGGAAAAGGAAATGGGATATTTGAAGAAGGTTTTGATGGTCGAATATTGAGATAAAAGAGCATTATATTTAGCATATACCCAACTCAATTAATGTATAAGTATGTCAATTGCAATATGAATTCTGGTCTAATATCCCAGTGGTGAGTTAGACTATGAAATATTGTAACGTTTGAGCCAGCGGTCTATGGCTCGCTCATTTTAGTGACTATCCGCGACATCGCATGCATTTCAATTATGTCCTTAATACTCAACTTCTCCCTACAGAAGTAGGCGCCGATAATGCTATTTTCAACTTGATGGTCCGGAAGTAGCCGATTAAAGCCTACCTACTGTACTAGTTACATAGTTGAACATTTGTATTGTTGCTATATTCCTTTAAATCACTGTGCGTGAATTTGATTCACTGGTTTGAGATCACCTCAAAGATACAAGATCAATTAAGGGCATTTGTTGAGAGTTCTTTGTCAGATCTACTCCATCAGAAAATCACTTCAAATTATTGAATGCGTTTTGAACCACAATTTCAAAAATTCTTATCACAATGATTGTCATCGTACCTGTAATGTGATTTGAAGCCGAGCTTGAATTGGAAATTGTTAGACATGTGTAGGCAGAGAATATGGCTACTGGTGATGGTACTAAATTCACATAGAACTTTGACTGGCTACAACCTGTTATTCACCTAAACTGTCATACCACTCATGTAACTGCAATACAAGCAACAAGCGAACACTACTAGCGCGCCTTTAGCGAGGAACTTTGCATTTGTATTCTTCCTCCTTTCCTTTAAAGTCGCCCTTCTTCTCAGTCTAGAATAACTTAAATCAACTCTTTACAATACACAAACATTCAAAGACTCCAAACACACAATTCATTCTATCTTAAAACAACAGCAATGGCTTCCCAAGTCAAATTCTTCGTCGCCTTGTGCTTCATTCTCATCAACGTTTTGGTCAATGTCCAAGGCTACGAATTTACAATTGGTCCTCATGCTGATGTTGATATCACAAAGGTAAGCTAAAACCTAGCTCATTTATCATTTGAGCTAGCTAACAAACCTAGTTTGAGGCCACACTCACTGTCCCTCCATTCTCTAAAGTCGGCATACACAAAATCGGAGCAGGTTGCACCAATCAAACTCACAGTTATGCTCATGAGAATCGTCTCAGCGATCATAACCCTGGTAAATGGGAAGTGGATATGATGCAGTATGTATTTCTGACGTTGCAAATGACATTAGGAAGCTAACTGGTAGCTTCATAGTGGTAATGGTGGTATTGCCACAGACAACAACATTTTGCCAGGCGATAAGATTTACAATACTTTTGAGTACAACACTGGAACTCATGCTACTATCAACAATGTCACTATCGTACCTGGTTCCCAAGGCATCAACGCCGGTCAGAAGACAAGAACAAAGATTGACGTAGTAAATATTCGTAAGTGTCCTTGAAAGGTTTGCTAGCAGTACTAATTTGTAAACAGCACAAGAGGTTCCCACTGCTGGAAAGTTGAACGTTGTAAGTTTGATTAGATCCTGTTTTCTTCAGATGACCAGCCTCTAACTTAATACCATAGGTCAGACTTTACTTCCGTCCAAGTGCTGGCGCTGTTTGGGATGTTGGACCAATTGTCTGGGAGAATGTTATCATCACTTCTCGAACAACTGATTCTTCGTGGTGCAGTGACAGGTAAGCTCTTTGATCCCTATATTCACGATTCAGGACTAACGTATCAATAATCTAGTTGGAAAATCAGTGATGATCTTAGTATTGCAGGTGGTAACAAGTTTTGGGGAGAAGGAGACCAAACAATGTGCCAGTATGATCGTATGACATGGGAACCTAAGAAAGGTAATTGATCCATGGGTAGGAGTATGGTACACAATATGGTGAAGATGGTCTGGACTTACGGGATAGACAATATTCGTTTCGTGGGATATTCTGATCAAGAACTCCATAAATTGTGTATCAGCGCATTGGCTTTGATATCCTGAGGGATGTTTAAGTCCAATAAAGAAAAATATAATAACATTCTCATTTATTAATATCCAAAGTCTCCATAATGCAATGAAACTGGTGATCTGCTTTCCCAAACATTTGTTGACTCTTCTTTCCTCACACCCGAGTACATGCATATGCTCTCCGCTTCAACTGAAAATCCACATTTCAACGAAATCTCCCTACCCCGATCATCCCAGCTCCCACTTTCACCTTGCAGATATTACGACTAGTCAACATTCCACCGACTTCATGTATTGCGTTAGTAGATATTAATAAACATGTGCATACTGACTATTTTCGTCCAACTCTTCCAAAGTCTCCCAGACCAATCAAATGGGAGATCACCCGTTCAAACTCTGGTAGTCCCAACATTATTTTGCCAGCTAGCCTTCACCATTCAACTCCTTCTCAAGTGCCAACTGGAGTGTTATATTTTTGTAAGGAGCACGTGCAAATTACGCTAGTTTACTAGCCTATCTAGCGTACACTCTGACCAATTCCTCCACCATATGCATGTTGCCACAGATTTCTCTTTGACCTCATCAACAACATATATCTTCCACTGCTAATAATCTTGACTTTCTTATTCATTCTCTTATTTGGTGCGAAAGTCTCATGTTTACATCACTTCTAAGAATCCAGCTTGCGCTTGCCATGGTCAAAATGTTTTACATGCATCTATATTTAATCCCCTGTGGTAGTAAAGTTAATATCTAGGTACGAAAAGAAATTCAATATAAATCTTTATATAATATAATGTATTATATTAATATTTTCTGTATTATTGATAAAATAAATATTTTGTTAGTAACGAATATAATCAATTCAAAATAAGAACTATTTATTATTGAATTTTGATAAATATAAAGAAAACAAGGGTTCTAAAGGGTTTTAGAGATTTCGAGTGTAGGGAAGGTGAATGGAAGAGAAGTGAGTATAGAAATTAAGAGAAGGAGGGGAGCAAGTGTAGAAACTAAGAGGAGGAGGGGAGTGAGTGTAGAAGTTAAAGGGGGGGCGGAAGGCATTAGCCGAAAGTTTACAAGGGAGGTTCATTCATCTCACTTTCGATTTATGTTTTAATTAGAAAATTTATTATTATATTATATAGTATAGAATGTTCTAAATTAACAATAATATAATCCGATTTTAATATAAATATCTGAAAGTGATTGCTTTAGGTTAGAACTTTCGAAAATCAATAAATTTCGAAAATTCATTAAGACCTTATTGATTGAAATAAGTTTCATTAGGTACCTATATAGATTTAGATTAATCATATTAATACTTTAAGAACTATCTTTTCAATATAGTATTAACTATTGAGATTTTAATTATATTTGATGAAGTGGTTGCTTCGTTAATCATAGATTATGTCACTATAGGGATCTACTCAAGCCAGAACTCCTGCCCCTTGTTGTCACCAGCTTGACATGCTTCCAGAATTTCACCCTCCATGATACCTTCAGCGTAACTGACATGAAATGTTAATTTTTTGTCTTTGGATCAAAAAGGACAATCTCGCCAATCTCCAACAAGCTTGTACCTTTCTCCTGGTGGTCCAGGTTCAGCTTCTACACAATCAACTTGGATTTCCCGAAGCAAAAAAGGCACAGTGCTGCCAAATAGCACGACCAGTAGATCACCACTTCTAACACTCTCCGGGCCAAGACAATTAAAGAATCGTCGGCAATTAAATGCTACAGTTTTCCCCCTCGAGCTTTCCCAACACATATTTTGAGAAAGCCGCAGTTCTAGGTCGCAATCTATGACGGAGTCTATGACAATACCCCATACTTTCAAAATCCTGAGGTCGCTAGAGAACGTAAATGGGTGGTCGTCCAGAACATACTTGCCTCCAGCATTATATGCTTGTGATGCATCGTGTGGGTCCTGCAGTGTGCTTTGCTGCATGGCATCTCTAGACTCAAGGGCAATTGGTCGACGAAGCGCATATAAATCTAGGGTCCATGATGACAGATTCTCAGAATTATCGGCTGAAAAGGCACTCTCAAGTATAGTGAGATTTCGATACTTTTTTAAAACATACACTGTTAGTTTTTTTGCCCATCTCCGCTAGAGAAAGACTATAATCCTGCTGCAAGGAAAGATCTGATCGCTCTTTATCGCCCAGTAAATTAAAGAGCGCATATAGCTTATCTCGATAGTCGAATGAAATGTGCCTTCTAGAGAGAAAAAGTAAGGTCGCGAGTTCGAGTTCCATCCTACCATTCTTTCTATACCGATATCGAAGAGTCTGAAGGGCGATTATGGCATCCCACGCGGCTTCATCTGCCTTGAAATATTCATTTGACACGATAAGTGGTAGCCGGCACTCTAAGTCTAGCTTTTTGCGACGCAATTCTCGTACGTCGTGCCAATCATCAAATGATGAAGCGTGGTGGCCACACATTACTGTTAATTCTGTCGCCACAACTGACTCTTGTATCGATCATGCTCTACACCATAGACTTCGTCTAAATAGGGCATCTACTGCATCCCAAGTCTCCCATCAAGGAGTCAAATACCCGTTGAGTGAGTTCTCCGTGTTCAGCACGCTCATGGCTTTTAGATTCGCTAGTTGTTGTCTCTGAGTTATTTCCCGACTCACCAAGCCACTGTATGACTATCCGGGCCTGACTACAGACTCTTTCCATTATTCTCATCTGAAAGCTGCTCTCTTCATAGTTCTGCATATCGCAACTAATTGTATCTATCCAAAGTATGCGAGACTCAGTCTTGTCTCTCAAATCTCCTAAAATAGAATGCAAATTTGGCCTCAGATATATAGAAAATCCATTGCCGTATACTTTCAGCATTTCCTTATTACTTTCACCCCATAAACGTGATAAAGCAGCATAATCCGGACTGTTATCAAGCGAATCAGTACATATGCCGCATTTAAGCGGCGAGTCAGGATCGTTGGATGGTAACAAAATTACAAGCCTAGTAGCATTCGGACAGTGTCCTAAAATCGTTATGTACGGTGTTTTCTGAGAATTTATGCTTCTCTCCGATAAACCAGAGTCGTTGAATGGGAACTCTAAATCTTGAAGGGCAACTAGAACTTCCGCGTACATCTTTGGAGTGAATTTATCCGCAAAGCTTCTCAAGCGCGCAGTCTCCATAGATACAACCTCTGGGCGTCGCCGGTAAAGAATGGGGCTCGCAATACTATTGTGCAAACGCAAAGAATCGGCCGTAGTGCGCGCTCTTAAATCATGAGAATCTGTGTTCGCTGTCATATGCATGGACCAAGAATACCAGCAATACTCTCGTAAATGAAAAGCAGCAGTGCGCCCATCCTTATTTTTGGAGCAATGGAGGAGGTAAGAAAGACAGGCTTGTGCTATTATTTGGTGCTCCTTATATATATCCGTAAATCGAAACAATCCAGGGGGACGATTGAAGTCGTGAATTGGGCACAAATATTCTTGGACTGAGAAATGAGCAAAGCTATAAGTATATGGACTCCTGGGGGCACGGTCTCCACGTCATCTGCTAGTGGCGGTTCTAATTTCACCAGGCCAGGAAGGCTTTCTACAATATCGAGAGCATGACGACGACTTCCGAAATCAGGTGGTTGGTTTAAGGGCAGTCGAATCGTGCAGACTTCCACGATTTCCTCAACGAATAGTGGCCGAGCTGCAAAGATGAGCCATTTCAAAACCGTCTCGAGTTCTGATAACAAGCTCTTTGGTATACGACTTATTATCAAATCGTAAAAGGTATCCAGGTCTCTAGGCAATGAGAAAAAGATATTTTCAAGGTCTACCTTTTAAATCACTCTCAAGTTCCGAATCAGATACTCGATTTCCTTCATCTGAAGTGCCGCAAGTCGAAACCTGTACCTATTAATAAGTTTATAGGAAAACAATGCCGACAAACGAAAACTTAAATTCCCTCAGAGCCTTGACTAAGTCTTCGAGAGATCAGGCTCTTGATCTCGGTAGACTGAGAGTTAAGTCTCCTATGATTGGAGATTCGTGCCCGAACAAATTGTTCAATATCAATGGTTACGTGTGCAACATCTCGCATGAGCCATCTCCATTGGTCCTTTGGGAAGGATGCTTTTAAATCCCCCTCCTCACGGCTCACAATGACAATTCTGAAGTTCGGATTTTGGATCGAGGACAGCTTCTCAATAAACTGAAGATAACCATCCCGTGGCTTTCCAAGGGGGACCTCATCCAATCCATCAATGACCAAAGTAATACTCCGACAGGCTTCGTTTTGTTCTGAATTCGTCAATATGGCGGAGGAACCTTCGAGTGAGCTGATAATTGACAGAAGCAATGTTGTTAGCTGGACTGTCGAAGGAGGAAATGGCGCACAATTATCATATAGCTCTTTCAATTCAGGCAGAAGACCATACTTTTCTCGAAGCTGTGCGATGATTGACCTTTGAAAATTGCCAACATCGAAGGTAGAATTGTCGCTGAATGAGCAGTAATAATAGGCGACTAAGTGAGCATTGTTTGAAGTGACTCCCGGAGGGATGATTTTCAAGATTTTTGGAATATTCTCGATCAGATGCGAGCTGCAGTTATTAGTATTTTCTCTTGCTTTGAAGCCTCAAATGTAAGTAATTACCATATTATAGTTTTTCCGGACCCAACTATTTATTATCGTCAGTACTTCGTATCCCCTTAAATGATCAGAACTGGATCGAATGCTCGAGATAAATACTGAATGACTAGGTACAATCTGAAATATTAGAATGGTATAACATTATTGTTCAAAACTATTCCGAACATCTATCTTCCAACTTTTGTGCTGGATTGGACGATGCGAAGGTCCGTTCGATCCGGGGAATCTGGAAATATAAGAACTGTTTTTAAGATATTATTGAATATCGAGGATTTGTTCACGAAACCGGATAAAAGTACCTTGTCCTCTCAACCATAGAAATCTCTTGTTCGAGGACGCCCATTCTTTGAAATCACCGTTGAGAAAGTCTTCTCCTGTATCGTCCACTCGGTCTTCACGATGCCTAATATGCTCTTTGTATTGAGAGATTCTTAGATTTTCTGGATCGAGCCAGTTCAAGATCTCATCTTTCTTCGGCGCTGGCAATCGAACGTCAGAAATTCTGAACATATCTATATTTGAGCTCGGGGATAGTTACCTGCTCCTTCATATGTTATGTTCGTTCCGACGAAGAGTCGGGAGCCTGCCTCAGCCTTAATGTGGCTTATCTCTTGTGTGATGTTATGTCGCTCGTGGGATCTGGTTTGTCCATAATTCATGAGTCCATTCGGCAATACCCCATGAGAGTCCATGGCGACGTCGACGTCTATTTACGTGAGTCTCTAGCAAATTCTGTCAAATGTGTCTTTGGGATTAAACATAGACTTTATCCTATGATCGAGGCTCTGGAGTTTCTAAATATAGCTCAGAACGCCATGCTGACAGCCTAAATCATGTGCGGTGGCTGCAGTGGAGATTCCGCAAAACCCCTGTATACAGCACAGCTATCTCAGCCGCTATCTGAATATTACTTGTACATCATGCGCATTCACAATTCATTCCATTTACTCAATTTGCTTTGATAAACTCTTAAATTATCAAGTGTCAAAGAATGGCAGACGTCCTTGCTACTGGAAGCGCAGTTGTTGGTATTATCGTTGCTGCTTTCCATAGTGCCAGGCTCCTGCACGATGATTTCAGTGCTGTAAAAAATGCGGGGGAGACCATCAAGCCTATTGTCGATGATCTCAATTCTGTTGTCGGTGTACTTTCATCCCTAGATTCCACTGCGAAAAGAAGCGACCAAGCCCAAGGAGTTCCGAGCGAGATTGACAATGACAATTTCAAGGCCGCAGCTAAAAATTGCAACAGGATATGTACGGCATTTCGAGAAAAATTGGTCAAGTGGATAAGACACCCCTCGAACAATAAAATGGATTGGAGAGATAGATTCAGGGTTGGATTTCTGGCTGAGAAGGAGCTTCTGGAGTTCAACAGACAATTGGTGGCATGCAAAGGGACGTTCACCATCGCACTGCAAATGGCTACACTGTAAGTAAAGAACATTGATATTTCTAGCTTGTCTGTATTGACTGCAACCTAATTCTGTGAATTCCAGCTCGGTCGCTTTACGACAAACTGATAAAACTGAATCAGTTATCGAAAGACTAGACGATACCAACAAAATGATAAACCAAGCGGGTCTTGTTGCTAGAGATCGCATTGACAACCTTGAGTATCAGTTACAAAGAGTTACAATTGAAGAAGTGTCTATATCAGATGAAGATGAAAGTCAAGTCTTATCACATTTGTCAGATGGAGAAGCAAGCCAAGCTATGTCTGATTCAACAACTAATGAAGCATCAAAATCTTTACCGCAGCCGTCTCCAGAAGAAATTATGGATATCTTCGAGAAATCATGGAAAACAGCACTAGTAGAAGTTGCTTCCCGCCGGGTTAAAATTGGTAAAGTGACGCAAGCTTCCAACGCTAAAGCGGTCGTTGGCGTTCACGGACTTAAGAATACCAACGAAATGAATGTGGAAATAGAAGATGTTTCTATAGGACCGGGAAGTTGGTCACTTGTAGGGGTTTCGGATGGTGTTGATTTGAATGTCTTCTTTAAATAATCTAACTGTACAGGAGGACGCTGGAATTTTCTATCTGCTTGATGTCGATGTTGCAACAGGGGATAAGCGAGGGGAGATAACTAGACGAGTCCGTCCCGATGCTTGAAGTCCAGGTTATTTTCGTGGAGATTTTATCAGTGAATCTCACACGCAGGAACAGATAAAAAGATAAATCAGGACTTATATCAAGAAAACTTCGTGAACTAGCTATCTCTCTGGGTGATAGCCCACTTCAATATCCTCGTCATTTTTTCACAAATTCATTACATAGACCGTTTCTCTCTCCTTTCACATTTCCATCATAGTCGAAAAATAGCAAGCTTGAATTGGCAAGTGCTGAAGTAGCCGGAAGAACAGTCGATACTCAAGGCGTAACAATATTGAAATCAGCACTCGGTAATCTGATCAAGGCTGTGATCTTAGTCCACGCATCTACGTCTCCAGCAGTAGTGAGGGCGATATATGGATTATTCACGATAACTGGACTTCTCCCCAGAGCCGTGGCTCCAATTAATCTGGCAAGATTCACATGATCTAACCAAATAGTCAAATCACTCCCCGGATTTGGCTTCTCCGAGGAAGCTACGTATGGAATGGCATGGCCCGTCATGGCAGCATTGCTCAATCTCAAATGCCAACCAGCATTCGGCTTATTGTTTTGTTGGACATCGAAAACCATGAAATCGATGGTGATTTCCTTCACTAAATACACCTCTGGTTTCGTGAAAGCGGTGGGTCCTTCGATTTTGATAGCGATTGTGTCGAATAGCTCGTCAAAACTCAATGTCAGCAATGCTTCAGGTGACATGGAAAGATCTACTTTCTGAGGCCCAAACTTTAATTCATGAGCGCCTGTCAAATAAAAATTACGCCAGGTGGCATTTCCTGAGCCCCATCCGAGAGTATTGTATACAGAAGCCAGGGTTACCATTGCTTGTATCGCAATATCACTATCTTTCTCAACCGAGCTTTGAGTTTTGAACACGAGTTTATCCAAAAGCGTAGCTGCGAATCGAAGATTTTTATTCATGATATATTCGTTGGCCATGTCAAGAACGGCTTGATTTCCGCCCATGCATTTGACAAACTCGGTTGCCTCGTCTGTGGGTTGGAGTGGCCAGAGATAAGCTGGATTCCCATTGAACCAACCCATGTATTTGTCATAAACACCTTTTACATTGTGGCTGATTGAACCATAATAACCTTGAAGATGCGTCTTCGCACTCAAGTTGGGAGGCATCTGAATGTTCTCTGCAATCTCCAAAGGGGTTTGTCCATCATTGATCTGTCGAAGCGATTCATTATGAAGATAGGCGTAGTAATCACGTTGCTCTGATAAAAATTGTAGGACTAAATTTTCATCGTCATTCCAGGTTGGCCAATGGTGACCTGCAAATATCACATCTGTCTTATCGCCAAATAGAGTAATCGACTCATCCAGGTATCGCGACCAAAGTCGGGCATCGCGCACTGGAGCTCCTCGGAGAGTCTGAATATTGTGTAGAGTATGCGTGGCATTTTCCGCCACACACAAAGCCTTATAGTCGGGAAGGTAATAGTTTACTTCAGCTGGAGCTTCCGTTCCTGGAGTCAATTGGCATATGATCTGCAGGCCTTCGATACCATCTACAAGATCGCCATTCTGGGTGATGTAGTGAGTTGGTGCCACGAGTGAGATTTTCCCGGTAGATGTGCACTGTCCAAGTCCACAACCAATTTGTCCAGCGGGAGATTTAGGTAATTTCATACCGTACATATAGATTGATCGACGAGACATTGCTGCTCCCGCGTACACATTCTCACTAACAGCATGCTCGAGAAAGCCCTGAGGACCGAAAATCCGAATAGTCTGACCTTGTTCCTTCGCCTTAAGAACGATAGCAGCCGCTCCATCAAAATGATCTACATGACAGTGGGTGTAGAAGAGGGCCTTGATTTCTGCTTCTTGGCCATTGTTCTCTACATGCCATTGCTGGTAAAGCTCAATAGCTTTGCGGGCAGTCTCAACAGAGGTCAAGCAGTCGATTATGATGATACCATTTGTGCCCGGAATTCTCACAATAGACATATTGGCGAGATCAAGTCCACGAACTTGATAGACACCTTCAGTGACAAGATAAAGGCCTGCTGTTGCATTGCACAACTGCCCTTGCCTCCAAAGTGCTGCTTCGGCTGTATCGGGGCATTCTCCCGCGAGGAAATCATATGCTTTAGTGTCCCAGACAATATTTTGCTGTTCATCATTTGGATTAGGATCTGAATAGATGTGACGATCTTCCATCGCTCGTATAAGACCCCGTGTAGCAAATTTGAAATCATTGTTAGAATCAGGAGCGGTAGTCATGTTGAAAAGTGACGTGTACTTCGCTTTGTGGAAGCGTTAGAAGATTGATGAAGAGAAACGAAATGGGGAGTTTTGAAAAGATGATCATATCACCTTATATATCAGATTGATAGTTGTCTTTGGAAATTATTCCGTGTTCCGTTCAGTGCAAGCCCAGTGTGCCAGCTTCTTGGCCCTTCTAACCCTAACTTTTCTTGTTCAGATAGCTCACGGGGCTACATGTTCCACAGATTACCATGCATCTTTGATCTAATCAAGAAAAAACCCAAGAGACTTACAAGGGTGCGTAAACCCTTCGATCCGCCCTGCAGTTCAAGTAGTGGGATACCTTCAACCCCTTGCATATATCTAGAGCACTAATTTGATATTCAGTCCAACTTAGATGACTTACCTTAAAACTACATCATACTCCCCCTTTTCCACGTCATTCAGATCTCTGAACTTCAGAGTACCCAGTGTAACCCAAAAAACTGATTTTTGTGGTTGTGCGAGGAATTTCAAGCGTGTCGAGGAGAATAATACTCCAAAATGTAGAACAAACCGTACGATTAACCCACAATTAGGAAATTTACCGAGGCTGGCAACGACGGCATTTAGAAATAGCCCCTGGAATAGATTCCAAGCGAGTGAAATAGTGTATTATATAAGGTGTATAAATGACATTATCGAAAACTTCAGTCAGTCACTCTGCTTAGAAAATTTCAATTAATCGAGGTGATTCAGGTTCCACGACTTTTGAAGCTTCAAGTCTATCGTCATTCGAATTATTAATTATTGAAAGGTTACAGCAAATGAAAATAGTAAGCAAAAAGCAAGTGTGTTATTGACAACTTGATAAGAATTTGATCTTCAGATGCTAAGCTCAATAGTGCAATAATCAAGAGATCCCGAAAGTTAAATATATCGTTCGTTGTCGGCGTCGGTGATGCGAATGGCCGGTAGACCCAACCAAGTTGCGATCGGGTGAACATTAAACCGCCTTTACAGAGCTGTCCACGGGTTTACTTAAATATCAATACCAAAATTCTCAGACAGAATCTGCATGGTATTCCTCCGGCTCGGGACACAAAGCATCCGCATCCGAGATCTATTAAGCAACAATAGTCCAACTTGAAGCGTCCTAATCTTTCGTGAATCTAAGCCTGGGATTCCATAACACTCGAAAGGATGACGAAGTGTGTGTTGTCTGATCCCTAGTTTGCTTTTGACCTAAATAATTTCTCTGGCCATCTCCAAATCTCTACATTTCCAAGTAACTCTGATTTTTACACAGCCCATATTGTAAATACCTGTAATCGGGATATGCCGTGAGGATTGACTCTTTCTCTCAGGCAGTTGTATCCATTGTAGACATCTCAAATCTATCATTAGGTCATCAAGTCTGAAAAATCCACCTAACATCCTCATCGTTTTTCAAAACCTCATCTCCTACCTCCCCACTCTCTTCTCTCCTCTTTTTCTCTCTGTTTTCCTTTTCCAAACAAATCCATAACGTCCCCACAACTAACAAATTCGCGACCAAATACCCCAATGCAAATCCATGACCTAAAAACCATCTAGGACTCGTCGCCGGTCTATACAATTGCGTTCCTAACACTGCCCCTAAATTTCCAATAGTAATCGTCATCGCAGTCGCTGTGGCCCGTTTAGTTTGTCCGCTTACGTTTGCCGCGGGCCAGGAAAGCACGATAGCGGTACTGGGGTAAATTCCACCGGCTGCAAAAAAGGTTCCGAGATAGGAAATGCCGGGTTTGTTGTGTGGGGTTGCAAGAAGGATAATATAGCCGATGATTGCAAATGAGGAGGAGAAGAGAATGAAAGGAGCGCGTTTGTGAGTTTTTTCTGCAAGGATGGCGATGATCACTGTAAGTACTGTGGCGAATGCGTAAGGGGGGACAGTTAGAAGTTGTGCGGTAGCCGCTTTGTAGCCAAGGGCTGAGATGATGGTAGGGAAAAAAAGAGAAAGGGTGTAGAGGGGTAGAGACATCGTGTGGAAACCGAGACTGTAGAGCCAGCATTTGTAATCTCCAAAAGCGGCGCGGACGTTGGCCCAAGTAAAGGGTTCAGTATTGGTTGCATCGGTGGAAGACTTGAGACGCGCATGGATAAAAGAGCGTTCTGGTTCTGTGAGGAATGGTGCGGTTGAGGGGTAATTATGGATGAAAAAGTAAGCTAGGAGAGAGACAACGACAGTCAGAAGCCCTTCCTGTTCGTTGGTTAGCACAATCTAATTCAACACTTAGTTCTAGAAAACTTACAATAATAAAAATCCATCTCCACCCCTTCAATCCTCACACTCCATCCATGAATCCAATGCCATAAGCCAAGATTCCACCAAAAGCACCAGCCAACGAAGCTGCAGAAAAGAACAATGCAACTCGATAATGTGTTTCCGTCCTCTTATACCACATTGATAAGTAAAATACCACACCAGGAAACAATCCGCTTTCCGTAACACCCAAGAAAAATCTTGCAGCTAGAAACCCCGCATAGTTTGTAGAAATCCCCATTAAGGTCGCGACGATTCCCCATAGAAGCATGAGTGTTGGAAGCCATATTTTGGGTGTTGTTCTTTTAAGTATGATGTTGCAAGGTACTTCGAAGAGAACGTATCCGATGAAATAAATTGTTAGTGTCAATAGATATTGGTTCCCGGTGATGTTTAAACTCGTCGCTAATCCATCAAGTTTCGCATTTCCGACTGTGTGTTTGGATTTTGGTCAGTATCATTCTAATCATCAATTCGCAACCTTCAATTGAATTCACTTCCACCCTGAATCCGAAGAAAGAGAGGAGATTAAAGCAGAGAAAACGGAGTAAAACATACTGTTACTTCTATCCAAAAAACTCAACAAATAAAGCAATGTAAGCGCAGGTAATAGTTTCCAATCCAGCTTTCTGACTAGTGCCTTCTCATTTATCCCCGTTGGATTCGCAAACGATTCATCGGAAACCTCGCTCTCGTTTCCATTCCTTTTTTCATTTCTGTCAATCCCATCAATGCCTTCCGTTTCCACTGCGGGTTTCTCATTATCCAGCGCCTGTTGTGGCGCCGTGTGCGACATTATGAAAATTGCAATGAATCAATTGTATGTCCAATGTGCACGAAAAAACGCTTCGACGTCGAGGAATGAAAAAGAAGCAGAAACTCTTCGAAAGCAATAGAGAATGGGGGTACGTCAATACACTTATATCGTCATCCTCGTCATATGTAAAAGATCAAGTAGTATCAAGATTGCATGAAAATGGATCAAATCACATCACATCACAATCACAAGGATAACTTCCATCTCCTTTATATCTTATCAAGGTAGTAAACCGAGGTTCACAGCCGTTCCCCATTTGCAAGAGGACCGCTATGTATAATACCAAATGATGTAGCACGCAATCACTCAACTTCGAGCCACCGCGAGATACTCGTAGCTACATGTTACATCATGATCCTCAATCCCCTGTTGACTCATAGGCTCTCCAACCTTATCGTCTTTTCGTTTCCAAAGCCAATAAAACGAAAGCCATGGCCCAGACAATCATATCGGGAAGCTGATTTCCATAGTTTGGCCTGCCATTTTAGGTGCATGGAAAAAAGATTGGTGCTCACTGCTACTTAGCGCAATGATGAAGTTCTGGCTGAGATGTCGTGATTATTTGGTATCGGAATTGCCGCTTTCAGTAGTTGTGTGCGATGATCATTATGGTGGGTGGGGTTCTTCTACGAGAGTATCTGGGGTATTGCATTTCATCTCTTTCGCGTGGTCACGTGTTTTGACAAAAACTCAACAAGACATCCCATCCCGTCGAGATTAATTTGTCAGACTGAACAAGCAACTTCACAGACCTCGGAATGCCATGATATCCCGAAGTCAACAGCAAAGTGGAATCAGGTTGATTGAAAAGTAAAATAAATTAGTCAATTATTATGCTATGAATGACTAGCTAATTCGCAGGATAAACTTCGCAGATTTTTATCATTCAGTGTTAAAAGGAATTTTATTCCAGAATACACACTGGTTGCACCCACTGGATGCACTCCCCCAGGTCTCCTTTTTTCATCAGACGGGGTATCGTAGACATGCCACAAAAACACCAGCTTTTCCATGCAACTCCATCCATGCAAAGTCGTTGTCCATTGATATTTCAGGTCTGAAAAAAGAAGATTTTGAAAATAAATGGTCCAACAAAGTGAGATTAGGCCATCTTCGGCCTTCACACCAAAAAGGAAAGATTATTTAGCATCGATACCAAGCCTGACCAGGTCTCTGGCAACAGTATGTGATGGGGGAGAATGGGCTGAGAGAATTACAAGTTCAGGGTCCAGGCCGCTGTAGGTAAGTCGTCTAAAGTGTCGTGCCTTCGAGGCTGAGTACCTTTGATGAATCGCCCAAGAATTTGGCACGATGTGCAACAATCTCCGAGGCAATGGCATCAAAGTCTTTAATTTTTCTTGCTCGCAGGCCCGAGAGTAGTGATTTCAAACCTTCAATAAACCTATCTCGTTGTTCTCCTTCGAACTCGTCCGGGGATCCCAATTTCGCAAGAACGGCATCATCTGTTAGGATAAAAGTTAGCAAAGGGGACGAAAGGGATACTCAAGGGTGAGCTCAGAGCATGCTGGCTGGAACTACCGACGCACCAGGCAGTCCCATTTCTCTAAAATGCTGAAAATCGCAAGTATTGTCATTGCATATTCCTCCCATCAATTCGTATCGACACAGTTCTTTCTTCGCATCAATCTTGTTAGTATAAGTGATAGACTTCAGCCCACCCGTAATTTGTTGCTTATATTCTGGATGAAACCGAAATGCATGAAACACTCTCAAAGGGCTTTCATATGGTGTGAAAAAGCTTGAGCTATTAGGGTCGCTAGAAAGGGGTTTCTGGGCTCGGGTCAGCCTGGGAATTGCCACCAAGAATGGAGAAGACTTTTACTTCTGTTAGTTGAGGGACACTACCATCTTCTGCCGGCAGACTTTGTTCTACGCCATTAGAGATAACTTCAAGATCGATTGAGTTACCGTTTGACAACTCTGGCAATTCATCGTCTTCTGCTGCATCAATAACTGAATCTGGCGGAGCGGGGCTAAATGGAGATGACGCCACCGACGAAGTCTCATCAGCAGCAGGAGTAGCCTCTGGGGGCTCATAGTTATCCGAGTCTACATCAGCGATCTCCGAGGCATCTACCACGTCAGGAATGTTGGGGGTTGATGAAGTTGCAAGTGGCTGAGAACGCTCAAGGACTGGCGAATAATTGGAGCCTGCTTTCTCTTCATCGGGTGTGGCAGTTACGTCATTAACTCGCGTAGGAGGCGCATTGCTGTCTTCCATTTCGAGGTCACTGGGAACAGCAGAGTCTGCATCCGCGCGCACGGCTTCTTGAAGCGCAGCCTCAAGATCTTGGTTGGTTTCGGATGCTTCTTTGACCTCAAAAGAATGGTCTTCGGTTGTGTTATGCGCCATATCGCTGACACTATCAAGTTGGGTCGGAGGTATAGAAATTGGGGAGGCAGCAGTGGCATCAGTAGTATGAGATTGCTCAGGCTGTTGCTGCTGCTGTTGTTGTTGCTGCTGCAGCAGTTCATCGCGAGCATCATCGATTTGGTCATCTAGCTCCATGGGAACTGATGCAGATTTTGGCTCGGATTCTGCGAGACTTTGTGGTTCTGGCTCACAGTCTGGCTGAGCAGAAGCTAGAGGTGGTTCAGCTGTGGGAATGTGAGCATCTATTATTATGGGCAGTCTGATAATAGTAATTTTGCACCTACCTGGATTGTCTTTTGTCTCTTCACGTGTGAGACTGTCCAACTTTTCTTTTTGCTCCTTCAATTGTTGATCGGTTTCCTGGCCTAGTCTTTCCATTTCCTCAACCAGCTTTTGTTTGTCCTGGAGGTTCTTTTGCACCGCCGCTTCGATTCTGGCAGTTTCGGCACGAAGTTCCTCAAGTCTCGCTTGGTTTTGTAAAGCTTCAGCGTCCACACGGGGGATGGCGCTCGCAATTCTTTCACGTCGGAGTCGTTTGAGTTCGGCCTCTTCTTTTCGAATGTCGGCGGCTTTTTGAAGCTCGGCAGCTTGAGCCGCATTAGACTGTGTTTTATCCTTAGAAATATTGGTTGCCTTCTGCATTTCGATTGAAGAATTTGGCTTATTAGCTAAAAGGCCTATGTTGCTCGTACTAGCTGCGACGTTATTGATGGGGGTTTGTGCACCGCTGCTGCTTCTCTTGTTTGCCTTCCTCATTTCAGCTTCAGCAATTTTTCTCTTCAACTGCTCAATTTCGCTTTCCTTGCGTCGAAGATCCTCGGGATGTGGCTTAATAGCACTTTGTAAATTTGGTGGGGTGCTCGTCGACGATGCAGGAGGTGGGGTAAATGGTTTTGGTGGAAGAAAAGAAGATGCTGTCGGCAATGCCTTTTGTTCGGGTAGCTTGCGAGGTGGTTGAACAGGCGAATCTGCATCAGCCTGAGATTCTAATTCCATTTCGACATCTTCATCAGACTCGTCTTCATCCTCACTGACACAAATGACAAACGGTTTTGGTTCCACACGACTTTGACCAAATGGTCGCTTGAGTGGTATTGTGGATGTCGAAGGTCCGTCAAAGTCAGCAGCTACTGGGCGTTTGCGTTGCCCATTGAGAACCGGGGTTGGCATGATAGTTTGTGGGACAGATGATGGGGCGGGTGGGGCAGAAGCTAAGAACAAACCCGGAATCTTTTGAGAGGTCTGTTGAATATTTGGAGGTGGTGCGTTCGATTGGGGAAATTGTGTTGTGACAGTCAAAGCTGGAATTGTAGTTGAGCTACTTGAATCTGTGGTACCAACCTTGTTTTTTTCAACGACTTTTCCAGCAGAGGAAGTAGAATTTGGAACCGATGTAGGCAATTCAGGAATTATGGTTGGTTTAGCTTGAGCAATCGGACTAGGAAGACTAGTAGCGGTAGTTGTGACAGACTTCGCCGCATTCTTCTGTGCTCGCTCAGCTCTCGATTTCCTGAGAGCGTCCATCTTCGCCTGCATTGTTTTTTCTTTCTCAACGGCGGCTGCACTCTTCGGTTGCGCAGTTGCAGGAGTAGCAGTGCCTGCTCCATTAGTTATAGCTTGTTTAGATCTATCTGTAGAATTTTGGGCTGAAACCTGACCATTCGGATGTCCACTAGTGGCAGGTAGGCCAGACGTAGGCGCAGAAGAAACACTGGTGGAGGGACTTTGAGCAGAGGCTGCATTGATGGTTTTCGTTGCAGTTTTCGACAATCTAAGCTCATCAAACAATTCTCCGACAAGTTTTTCATCAACACCTTCTTCAAGATAGGCTGGGAATCGAACATCATACGACCAAAGATTCAGGATAGCGCCTTCAGCTTTTTTACGAGCTTCAGCGACAGTTTTGAAAGTAACGGTATCGTTATGTGCATCAACTTCAGAAGGGCGAGAGCTTGCAACAGTCTCTGATACCTGACCTTTTGTGGAAGAGGGAACATTTTCCTGGCCAGATTTGGATGCAGTATTATTAGGCTCTCCTACCGGTGATTGTGGCTTTGATTTTTTCTGTCCACCGCCCCTCTTTGTGTTCAATGCTCCCTTACCTGCGCCTGTATCCTTAATCTGAGAATTCTTGCTTTGGTCAAACATTGGCTCACTTTGGGCTACGAAAGGGGAGTACGAGGCCGAAGGTTGACGTTGATTATAGTAATCGGCTGCTGCAGGGAGACGTTAATAAATAAATTTATGAGAGATCGAAATTGCTTACCATTGCGAAGAGTCGGTGGCGGCTGCTGAGGAGCAAGATCTTGGCCTACTGGATAGACAGCGCGATGGGCAGTATCAAGATAGCCATTGCTATCGTTTCCGCGATAGTGGCTCGAGCCCGGCGCGCCAATCGAAGCATTTGGAGCTGCTGAGTGCATGCGGGCAGAAGTATCATCATACTCTCCTTCGCTCATTTCGCGATTTTCAACGTTACCATACGCGGGTGTTTGTGAATGATATGCTGGCTGCGGGGCAGCCACTGGCGCATAGTATTGCGAATTTTGAGCATAATTTTGATGGTTGTACCCAGCATAAGAATGCATGCCTTGCGGCGCTGCATTGTATTGGGGCATAGATGAGTTTTCTTGGTTCCAGCCCTGGAACGCTGGGACTGGGGGTAAATTATTCTGCATAGCGGGCGCGCTGTAGTTGGGAAGTTGTTGTTGATTATAGCCATACGCCATTGCATTATCATATCCTTGAGTCATCGTGTGCTGCCCTGATCGGCCATCATCTTGTGGATAATATGCGGACTGATTTGCATAGGTTGGGTACGGTGGGTTGTTCGACTGGTCGCGATTGCCATAGGCCGCGCCATAGTATGGATAATCCGACATGGTCGGCAAGTACAAAGCAGTACCTAGCTTTACTGAAAGAATTCAAAACTTTAACTGTGATTAGTTCTGACTGATATTGCAAAATTACCTCGAAGACGCGTTTAATTCAACGGTCGAGAATCATTGGCGCAGCGCAATCAAATCAAGGGAGAAAGTAATTACAGATGCAGAAGTCGCAGAGAAAAGGGTGCCGCGACGAGCCAGAAGAAAGGATTGTCAAAATTGAACAATGAAAAATGCAAGTGAGACTATCACTTTCTTCACTTATTTTGTTGACTCGATTTTGATGAACCTGGCTATGAAGAAGACCCGGGTAGAATCTGTCTGAAAGCTTGTTGGAGGTGGAGGTGGAGGTGGAGGTGCAGATGGTAATGGGAAAAAGAAACTTATTAGTACGATCGCACCAAAAGCAAACGCCAGTCGAAGATTCCAAGTTGCTTAGCGCCGGTAAATCCCGCTCGATATTGATGAGACTCATGAGAGTGAGTGAGAGTCGAGAGAGTGTCACTAGACAAAGACAGTGTCATACTAGAGTAAATGTCACGAGGTGATCGCAGCACGGCTCACGGTGGCTGCCCTACGACAAACCGTCAATTCTCTTATCGATATGATTCTACGACTGAAGCGGCACTGGATCAACCGGCGTTGCCAGGGGAAACTCTACCATTCAAACTACCTGGTAAAGCCAAATTAAACTTTGTACCGCCACTTAATAATCCTCCTTCGCGTCGTCAATATTGACTTTAAACACTGACGTTGACAAGAATCTCGATCCAATTCAAGAGTTAAAAGAGGCGAAACAGAAGAATGAATCTTTTTATTTGCTACCCTCTTTACTAATTTCACATGTAATGATTGAAGAGGTTGCATGAACTTTTCTCCCCTATTTTTGCTTTGCGACAGTTTGAAATCTTCCCATGGATGGATGGACTTTGTTTACTTCTTAAGGAACATAGCCTTGCTTCAATCAATTGAAACCCAACAACGCCTACTCCACGATGGCATCCAATTTTCAGATAAAGCGCAACAATCCTTTTGCTAGGTCAGGGACTTTATCCCCGGAACCAGGTGTTCCCAAAGGCAGGCCGAAAAGTGCAATATTTGCGTCAGCTCCTTTCTCATCACCGGCACAAAGCCATCAAACACACAATCGACACCAATCCTACTCCTCGCTGGGAGATATCGTGCCCCCCAATAATAATAATGTTTCACTAAGATTTCGCTCCAATTCTAAGTCGACTGCTCCCTCTTCAAATACATTTGCGCCTTCATTCATCAATTCGGAAGAGATGCGACTCGGCGCAGAAACTGTGATGGCAATGGAAGGAGAGAATGATTTCTCCGGAAAGAGATATGTTTGGTTGAAAGATCCTCAAACTGCATTCGTCAAAGGATGGGTAGTAGAGGAGTTGGAAAATCATCATATACTGGTCCAATGTGACGATGGAAGTGTGAGTTCACGAATGTGTTTTTTCTTCCAGTATAATGTCTGACTGGGTATTTAGCAACGAGAGGTCGATCCTGAAACTGTTGACAAAGTAAACCCCGCGAAATTCGACAAAGCAAATGACATGGCAGAGCTTACGCATCTCAATGAAGCATCAGTCGTCCATAATCTTCATATGAGATACCAAGCTGATCTCATTTACACCTATTCAGGCTTGTTCCTGGTTACTATTAATCCATATTGCTCATTACCTATATACACGAATGAGTACATCAATTTATACAAGGGACGAGGTCGGGAAGAGAGTAAACCACACATATTTGCAACGGCAGATGAGGCCTTCAGGAACCTAGTTGAAGAAGGAGAAAACCAAACTATTCTTGTAACTGGAGAGTCTGGAGCCGGAAAAACGGAAAATACCAAAAAAGTCATTCAATACCTGGCGGCAGTTGCAAACTCGGAATCACCCATGAAAAACAAGGTACAACATTCAACCCTCTCGCAGCAGATTCTTCGGGCAAACCCAATCCTGGAAGCCTTTGGGAATGCGCAGACAGTCAGGAATCATAATTCTTCCCGCTTCGGAAAATTCATCAGGATCGAGTTTACGCGCAATGGCAGTATAGCCGGTGCTTTCATAGATTGGTATCTCTTTGAGAAATCAAGAGTGGTAAGGCTGAATGCTCATGAGCGGAATTATCACGTTTTCTATCAGCTTTTGAAGGGAGCTGATCGCACATTGAAAAACGAATTCCTCATCGAAGGATTAGACGTAGAGGATTTCGCTTATACACGGGATGGTCATGACACCATTGTTGGTGTCTCTGACAGAGATGAGTGGAACACTTTGGTCGAGGCATTCGATGTTATGGGCTTCTCCGAGAACGACCAAATATCTATCTTACGAACAGTTGCTGCTGTTCTCCACCTGGGCAATATAACTGTCGTGAAGGAGAGTAGATCGGCCGATCAAGCTAGATTGGCTCCGGATGCCCGCGCACAGGCTGACAAAGTGTGTAAGCTACTTGGAATTCCGCTCGAGCCATTTTTGAAAGGGTTGTTACATCCTCGAGTAAAAGCTGGACGGGAATGGGTCGAGAAGGTGCAGACGCCAGAACAAGTTCTACTCGCAATAGATTCGTTGGCAAAGGGTATCTACGAGAGGGGTTTTGGTGATCTTGTAACCCGAATCAATCGCCAATTGGATAGGACTGGTATGGGTCTCGATGACTCTCACTTTATCGGAGTACTTGATATTGCTGGATTCGAAATATTCGAAGAAAACAGTTTTGAGCAACTGTGCATCAACTACACGAACGAGAAGCTCCAGCAATTTTTCAACCACCATATGTTTGTCCTTGAACAAGAAGAATACGCCCGTGAGAAAATCGAGTGGAAGTTTATTGATTTTGGACATGATCTCCAGCCTACGATTGATTTGATTGAGTTGCCCAACCCCATTGGTATTTTCTCGTGTCTCGATGAAGATTGTGTGATGCCAAAAGCCACGGACAAGTCATTTACGGAAAAGCTTCATTCTCTTTGGGATCGCAAAACTCCCAAGTATCGTGCCTCTAGGCTTGGGCAAGGATTTATGCTCACTCACTATGCCGCCGAAGTTGAATATTCTACCGAAGGATGGTTGGAGAAGAACAAGGATCCAATGAATGATAACATTACAAGATTGTTGGCTGCATCCAGCGATGCACATGTTGCAAATCTCTTCAGTGATTGCTCTGAAGCAGGCGATGACTCTGGTGCCATCCGAAGCAGGGTCAAGAAAGGCCTTTTTCGCACCGTCGCTCAAAGACATAAAGAACAGCTATCTAGCTTAATGGCCCAGCTGCATTCGACGCATCCTCATTTTGTGAGGTGTATCATACCCAACCACAAGAAAAAACCTAAGCAACTCAGTGCACCACTTGTGCTCGACCAATTGCGCTGCAACGGTGTCTTGGAGGGTATCAGAATTGCACGCACTGGTTTTCCAAACAGACTTCATTTTTCAGAGTTCCGACAAAGATATGAAGTTTTGTGCAGGAACATTCCCAAAGGGTACCTTGATGGCCAGACAGCAGCTAGTATGATGTTAGATAAACTTCAATTGGACAAGTCATTGTTCCGTGTTGGAATCACCAAAGTCTTCTTTCGTGCCGGTGTGTTGGCAGAGCTTGAAGAACAACGTGATGCCTTGATCCGCGAGATTATGACACGGTTCCAATCCCTGGCACGCGGTTTTACCCAGCGACGTATTGCCAATAAGCGACTGTATAGAGCAGAGGCAACACGGATCATACAGCGAAATTTCCAAGTTTACATCGACCTTTGTGAGAACCCTTGGTGGCGCCTCTTAGTCAAGATGAAGCCGTTATTGGGAGCTTCGAGAACGTCAGGAGAAGTCAAGAAGAGAGATGAGATGATAAAGCAGCTTAACGAGAAAATGGACCAAGAGGCGTCAGAACGCCAAAGACTAGACGAGGAACGACGAAATACTCACACTGAGATGTTAAAGATCCAACAAACCTTAGAAAGCGAACGAGCGTTAGCCCTAGACAAGGAAGAGATATTTAAGCGTCTGCAGCTCCGTGAGACGGAGTTGAGCGATAAGTTGGCTGGTGCTATTGAAGATCAGGAAAAGCTTGAGGATCAACTGGATGATTTGCTAGAGGCCAAAAAGCGAGCGGAACATCAATCCGATGAATATCGATCTCAGTTGGAGCAAGCAGGTCACATAATAGCTAAGCTGGAGAGCGAAAAGCGAAACCTTGCTGAACAGCTGGCTGATTTAGACAATCAATTGAAGGATCTCGCCAAGAAGCAAGCGGATCGAAGCGCACAAGAAGCGCAGCTTTCTCAGGACGTCCAGCTACTGCAAAGTCAACTGAGCATTAAGGAGAGAAAGGTTCAGGACCTTGAGGCGAAGCTGATCAGAAACGATCAAGATTCGGAAGTCAAGTTGGCTGCAGCGGCGAAAGACCTTCAAGCTTCTAAATTAAGGGAAAGCAACTTAGCCAGCGAAAACCGCAAAGTACAGAAGCAACTTTCTGATTTATCTGCTACATCGACAGGGTATGAAGATCTCGTCAGGCGCAAGGAAAGCGAGTTGGCTATCCTTCGGTCTGATAACCGTAAATATGAGGCCGAGAAGAAAAGTTTTGACGAGCAGAAGCGATCACTTTCGGCGGAAAAAGAAAATATTGCCAACAGGTTAAAGGAAGTACAGGCCGAGATGTTCGCAATGAAATCCCAGCAAGCCAATTTACAAAAGGAAGCTGCCGACGCGAAAAAACTTCTTGATGCTAGACTGACAGAAGATGCTCACGCTGAACAAAATCGAAAGAGGCTAGAAGAACAGATCTCGACCTTGAAACAGCAATTATCAGAAGTGCAAAAAGACCTTAGCAAAGAACGGCAATCTCGAGACGATGTCCAACTCCTCGCAGAGCATAAATTCCGAGAGCTTAGTGAGAAGTTTCAAGAACTAAATGAGGCTAAAATCATTATCGAAAAGGAATTATACGTCCAACAAGACACTCTTAGAAGAGCAATGGAGAACAGAGTTTCTGCTGAAAAGGAACGCAACGAAGCGCGAAACGAAATCAGAAAGCTAAGAGAGGCGAAGATTGCAGCCGAAGAGGCCAGGATACAAGCTGAAGTAGTTGGAGACCGCAACGCATCACGCCTAGCCCGCGAGCGCGAAGCTAGTTTGAAGAAAGATCTTGAAGCGGAACAGAATCGAGCAAAGTATTTTGAGACTGAGTGCAGCCGCCTGAATCAGCAAGTGGAAGATCTTAATAAGGTCATGATAGAGTCTGGAGATTTTGGTCTCAAGGTCGATCAAGAAAAGGAGCGACTTGAACGCGAACTGAACACAGTCCGAAGTCGATTAAATGCGTCTGAAAATGACAATCGTGCTTTACTCAATAAGCTTCAACAAAAAGGTCTCGAGATTGCCCGCACGAGCTCTAGGGCAAGTGAATCATCGAGAGGTCAGCTAATAGCAGCCCAGCGAGAGAAAGCAAAGGTCGACGAGCAGAACAAGAAGCTCAATAAACAGCTTGGCGATGTACAAATTCAACTGGCATCCCTTCAAAAGCAAAAAGAAAAGCTGGAGCTTAATCTTGAAGATCTAACGCGTGAGGTTGAACGTGAGCATTTGAGTAGTAGAAACGCAGAGAAGACCTCTTCTACTATGACAACCCAGTTAGCAGAGGCAAACCGCAAATTGGAGGATGAACGACAGTTGCACTCTCAGGCTCAATCTAAAAATCGACAACTCCAATCTTTGATTGATACCCGAGATAAAGATATCATTGAGCTGATGAAAATTGTGGACCCAGAGATGCCTGCACCGCCGGTTGTACAACTCGATGGTAGTTTCGATAAGAGCACATCTGAAAACCCAAACCTTATTTCTCAACTCACTCAAAAAGTCGAGGAACTTCGGCAAAATCTCAGAGTTCAAGCTGCTGGTCGGTCGAATGCTGAAGCACAAGTACTTGAACTGCGAAAACGATATGAAGATGAGTTTGGTGACCATTCCGAGTGGCACACGCCCGGTAGGTCAAAACTTGAGGAGATTGATGGCAATGAGGGAACTCGAAATTCATCCCCGACACATCTCAGAAACAAACTCAATGGCAGACCTCTGTCAGGCGCGACCCCACCTAATCCCCGCTTTCCAAGCTCGGGTGACGTTGGGCAAGATTCTGGACGCTCTGATCGTACTGCCGATATGTTAAGTTTCAACAATCGCATGGATTTGAAAGCTGACGTGGAAGAATTACAAAATCAATTGCAGCTATCACAAATGGAGAATCGTCATCTACAGAGCCAGCTTGAGCGTTTTGTTCCAGGACGAGATATCTTTGAGGATAGTCCGTCAGTACGCCGTGTGCACAAACTTGAGCAAGCCAACACTCGACTTCATGAAATGCTTGATGATTCTGCAAAGAAAGTTTCCGCTCTTGAACAGAGTATTCAAACGGGAGAACTGTCATTCCGCGATATTCAAGCCAAATCTCACGAGGAGCTCTTTGAGCTCATCAACAATCAAGAAGAAAACAGACGAATTTTAATGTACGCTCACAAAGATGCATTAGTAGACCTCAATGATACGAAGAAAAATTTTGAGATGTTGAAACACACCCGAGCAGTCTTGGAGGTTGATCTCCGAGATGCTAAGTCTGATCTTGAGGACATGACTTTGCAAAGGGATCAGGATGCCGCCAGTCGAAATCAACTTTTGCAAGAATTTGCCGATCTTCAGATCCGTTTGGATGCTGAATCCTCAAAATTGGCTGATGTTAGTTCTAGTCTCGGTCTCTACAAGAGTAGAGCAGACGAGTACTTTAGCAAACTTGAACAGGCTGAAATTGCCGTGTTGAAGGCTTCTAGGGCCGAACAATTTGCCAGATCTCAAGCAAAAGAAGCAGAGGATACATGTGCCGAAATCATGTCAGAACGGAAGCAAATGGATGAAGCCATTGAAGATCTTCAAAAACAGAACCAACATTATGAAGAGAAGCTCGAGGATCTTTCCTCTGATCTCGATGCTGCAGTACAAGCAAGGAAACGATTACAACATGAGCTTGAAGATTACCGAAGCCAACGTGCCATGGAGATTGAAGACAAAGAATCTAGTATGGAACAAACCAGAAAGAAATACCAAGCTGAGTTTGCCACTCTCACGAATGAATTGGACATTGCTCGTGAGGAGAAGCTATTCAAACAAACAGAGAACACAAGACTTCGGGAAGAATTGGATCAGCTTCGAACGAAGTGGGACGATGAAGTTATGAACAGTTCAACATGGTCTAAAGAAAAGGCTCGCCTGGAGGCCACTCTTTCAGATCTCAATACATCACGCGACGAAGCCGTCAACGCTCACAATGAAGCTCAAGGCAAAATTGTATCACTATTAGCACAAGTGCGGAGTCTCAGAACAGACGTGGACGATGCAGCTGCCGAAAGAGACATTCTTCAACGCGAGAAGCGCGGCTTACAAGCTCGTCTAGAGGAAGCTAAAGCTGGTCTCGACGATCTTGCACGAAGCGATAGCCCTGCGCTACGAAATGCTGCTGGAATGGATCGCGAGATCTTGGAACTTAAATCTAACTTAGCACAACAAGAAGATATTGCAGCTGCAGCCATCGGCAAGATGAGACGATCTGAAGCACTTGCATCTGAAATACAGAAAGACATTGTTGCCGAGAGAGAAATGACAGCACAGTTGAATAAGGAGAAGGCTGCGCTAGAAAAGTCACTCAAAGAAACTCAGGTCCGACTACTGGATTTGGAAACTAAAGGCTATTCAAGTGCCAGCCAAGACGTGAGGTTCCTTCACGGTCGTGTCCAAGAGGTGAGAATTTCCTTCCCAAAAACTTGTCACCAGTCTAACATAAAATAGCTCGAAGCCCAACTTGACGAGCAAGAATCCGAACGCAACAAGTCGCAACGTTCCGTAAGAAATGTCGATCGCACAGTCAAAGATCTTCAACAGCAAATTGAACGCAAAGAAAAGGCCAACACGCAACTTCAAGAAGATATCGCCCGCTCGAGAGATAAGGTCGAAAAACTTCTCAAGACAATCGACGAGCTTCAATCAAGTGATTCGACCAATCAACTTTCAGCTCGTAGAGCAGAACGTGAACTAAGAGAAGAAAGAGAAAAGGCTTTGAGGTTAGAGCGCGAATTGGAAGGCTGGAAGGCATTGAGAATGCAGAAAGGTCCGGGTGGGAGAATAAGTGCGAGTGGTACTTGGAGACCGAGTAGTGAATTTGGCTCCGAAGATGCAGGGATTGACATCCCTAAACGAAAGAGTAGTTTGAGTAGGCAGGATAGCATGAGCAAGGGGTTCTTGTAATTTCTTATGGTAGGTAGATGATAATGTGATGGAGGAAAACTTCGCGCAGAATGAAGTAGAAATTTATTCTCGGGCGTTTGTGATGGGAATAGCAGGAGTAGTGAAGCAGGAACGGAAGGGGACAGTGAAAGGAATGGAGCACAGATTTGTGTATGAATTATATGTTTTTCGTGTTAGAGGTGTATAATATCTTTATTTCCCGGAATGTGTGGGATGGAATGGGCTGGAATAATACCTATGTAGACTTGTGCGTTTTATGAATGGAAATTTTGGTTTCTTGAGAACTCCCAAAGAGGCTTTATCATGGTCGTGGGAATGTGAGTTTGAGTTTGAGTTTGTGCTATAGATGTGAAATGTGGAAGGATGTTCAAGAGAAGAGTGGGGATTTAGAGGTCTTCGAGGGAAAGGAGAGCTTAACAAATGCTTTCTTCCATCTTTTGGAGTGTGGGAGATAGGTGATGAAGTAAGTGATTATTCCGAGGGGGAAAGGTGGGTATGTGAAGAAACAAAGATACCAATCCGCGTTTATACCCGATTTCATAACGTGTGTCCAAAACGTGACTTTTTTTTGATCTAATTAACTTTTTGTTAAATCTAATACGAAAACAATTTAATTGCTTCCAATTCAATCAATATAACTCTAAATTGAAAAAACTTTGTATTATAATATAGATCTTAATTGATAGAATCTATAAATAAAATTTGAATAGAATTAATCAAAAATTTATTGAATTGAAAATAGTTAAATGAATTTCAATTTTTGAAAGTTTAAAAACCTAAAAACTATTTCAAAAATCATAATTTCATTCAATCACTTTTAATTCAATAAATTCTTGATCAATTTTATTCAAATTTTATTTATAGATTCTATCAATTGAGATCTATATTATAATACAGAGTTTTTTGAATTTGGAGCTATATTGATTGAATTGCATTTTCTAATTTTCCAATTTCGATTAGATGATATTGAAAAAGGTGCTTTTTCTTTTGGACACATGTTATGAAATCGGGTGTATTATTAGAAGAGGAATATTCGAATCGCGAAACACTTTAAGTTTGTTCTTTCAAACCGCACTTAGAAGTAACTTTGCCTTAAAAACTTAGGGGTTTAATGTCAGACGGTAGGCTGTGGGTTTTGAATGGAATTGAAATACACGTCTTGGGTCAATTTACATAGGTGTGAGGTTCTGTTCTGCGAATCAGAAATTTGGTTATAAGATTGGATTTAGATTATTATTGGATCGTGGGTGATTTTTGTAGGGTTGGATAAGAATCCTATAATGGTCCGGGGATGATTATGGGTGTATGAATTTCTCACGGAAGATATGCATTTGTAGGCAAGGTCTCAACATCTGCTAGAAAATAGGGATTTTTCCTGAAAAAGCCTTGATATTATCCTAGTCCCTGATCCATGGCCAAAACTAACCCTCAAATTTGTTTGGAGGCGATGACGATATGTCTTCGCAACTTGTGAAGCTCCTTTTAGAGTTTTCCCGGTGTACCAACTACTTCGAATTATCCACTCCCAATGCTGCTATTATCTCATAGAAAAAGCGGATAGTCATAGTCATACCTATTCATACAGTCAGCTTTGATAACATATACCTTGCGGGTAGGTTTCAGGAGGTTCCTACATTCGGAATTCTTCTGAATTATCCGGTTCTGAGAAGATTAAGATTGGCACCTGTCTTCGCTTTCTCCATTCTACTTCTTCTCCTTCGATGCGCTCGTGAAAATCTCTCGCATGTATCTTCTCCGCATATGCATCATTGAGCCATTGTCTCGTCTGTCGTTTGTATAAGTTTTCCGCGCATGTCATGACTACCGCGTCGGCATCACCCTGATTGAAAGATACCAAGAATTGTCTCTCGTGGTATCTCTCTTGGAGATGACATTCGATGCAACCATGAAAATTCACACGCTTTTTAGTGTTGGGGTGGGTATGAGTCTTGCCAAAGTAAGGAAAGGGAATAGCAGTCATGTAACGACGGGCTATCTCATCCTCGCGTTCGAATCCCACGTAGGCATCGTGTGGGGCGAGTTGTCTGCTCAATACTGGGCGATCAGCGAATGGATGCTTAGGGATGATGACTTCGTGTCGCGAGCGCAGCAATAATTGTCTTTCGTTGTTGCTCATTGACATTCCATCGACGTATTCGACATCACCCAGGGGAACAAGAAGCAGACGTTGAGAGCTCTTGTACCTATTGTAGCCGTAGGTACCTGGAAGCGTTCGCAACTTTGGTGGATTTTGCACCTCGGGCCGAATTTTGATTGCAGAGTTGGGACGCTGGAGTCGGATGAAGTCGATATATGGAATGGTTCTAAGAGAGATATCATTCCGGAGACAATAAGCGCAAGCTCGCTTGCCTTCAAAGAGTGATAAAAAAGCACCCATGACTTTTTCATCATCCAAACTTTAACTTAATTAGCACGTCTCGGTACCATTGAAGAGATTTCGGTACTTACTGCTTACGGGGCTCAAAGTCTTCTACGCAGAATTCGCATTCAGGGGTTGTTAAGGCATAATGCAACTGGAGCAGAAGTACATTGGATCCCACTCCAGTACTTAGAATGGCGCGCAATGCCTCTGGAGCATTTTCAGAAATTTCTTGCCATTCCAGGTTAGTTTCAACTGCCAGTCTGCAATATTGAGAACAACGGCGAACATTAACCAGAGTTTCAATGTCAAGATACTTGAGAGTGCGCTGGAAGATCTCCATAGGCATCTTAATAAGGAGGCTAATGTTGATTACACTCTTGGGGCGAACCATAGGGAGCTTAAAAGACTTGGTAGTCTTGCTGTCGAGCGGACATTTTTCTCCTAATTCTTGACTCGAGATGAAAGGCTCATATTTTTGTTCGGATGGAGCTTGATCTCGGGAACAGCAGGTACAAGGCATTCTGTAATGATATTAGTTCTCTGACTATTTCTTGAGTTTACTCTGCCTTAAAGATATTAATACTCCCAAGAGTACAATTCTCTGTTTGTAGCAAAAGTTTGTTGTAGCTTATGTCACCATATGCTATGTGCTCAGAGTTTTGGAGCTCTATATATTTCTCTGGCCACATGTAGATTAAACTGGCAAACCTACATTGTTGTTTTATGAGAGACTCTTGGATCGAATATTTGAGACTCAAGTCTTTGGATGGAATATGAAGGTGGTGTATCAAGGCCAGCTCAAGATAAGAGTATCCAATCTAACGAATGCCAAGGAAGAGGATTGGTAGGTCAATTAAGATGAACAGGTGAACAAATTTCCAAAAAGCTTATCTGTTCTTGATGTTATGGTGTGTATGTGGAAAGGAACAAGACTTTTGAGCTAGATAATATGCTTTTGAAGAGTTTATAGAAAAGTACACTTACTGTACCTAGGTATTGATTGACTGTGGTGCCTGATCCGAGGAGGGAGCCGAGGGAAGGTCTAAACATGGACCGTGCACAACAGGTTACTGTGGCAGCTCGGAGATTTAATTGCCGTCTGTGCTCAAAATGCGGGGATGGATCACACTAGTACTAGTACCAACCATATCTCAACCTCCTTGAAGATTTCTGTGCTTGAGGAGATGGAGGTACAGATAATCTTCGATTTGTTACATTTCCTGTTCAATTCCAGTCATTTACATAAGCCCAGAACCATTGCATTAACCCTTTATATGTATATTCATTATGTTGCTGATTTCAAATGACACTGCCTAACTTGTCTCTATTTACGCTGGGTTTGTTAGAGGATAGATAGGTGGAAAAAAATATCAAACAATTAAGATTTACAACATACAAATATAATGGCAATTATCTTCTAGTAGTCATTAAGCTAAAAGGATGTTTGGGAAGTGAACTATCAACAAGGAAAATGTTGTGCACCTTCCACTTGTACATCAGATGTTAAGATGTGTATGTCTAGGTACATTCATCTTATACCTCTGATATTGGATGTATGTCCCTGGTATTGATATGTATTTCCCTAGTATTGATTATTACTGCCACAGTTTTCTTGTCTGAAAATATGGCTCACGATGTTTGTCTTTGTTCCTTAAGGATTGTTACAGTCTTTATTGTTGTTACATCCTGGCCCACCTTCTATAATTTGATCATGCGACTTGAGAATATGTCAATTGGGGGTCAGACCCTTTTCCTACTTGTTTACTCATCGGGAAGAGAAGAAGAATCTGCCTAGATCGACAGTTCGTGTAGATATGCGATTGATAAGGCTGAATATGCCGTGTCTCAACAGTTTTGGGGGCAAAGACAATCACAAAGAACAAGTCAATACGCGAATCTCACATGAAAGGCCAGTTATGTTTTCATCCGAACTTCTGATCTCAATAAAGAAGACTCACAAGGTACTCAAGGAGAAATTTCTACATCCTAGTGGGGCTCCAAAAATTTATTCGAGTCTTTTGTTGAGCTCTGTATCCACCTAGCTTGTTGCCATGGCTCCCACAAGGAGATTTGGATGTGTGGGATGTCCCACCTTGTTCCTTTCTTCTTTCCTAAGGTTCCTTGAGAATCTTATACTCAGTTTGCATTTTCCTCAGAGACTCGAAGCAATCCGCCAGCTTTACAACCATCTATTGGAAATTCATTTACAGTTGATCAATTCAGGAGCTTGGCTTTATTGACACAAGCCGCCAACTACAAACTAGACGTTTGATAAATCCTTTACCATGTCAAACCCCATTCTGGAAGAGATGCAAGATGCAGCTGCAACAGTTTTTGAGACTGTTACGGAAGGTCAAGAAAATGGGGAACTAGGAGGAGCCATTCAAGTCATTGACCAAGGATTGGGTAACCTCTCGAGAAGATCTATTATAGGAACTCTGTTTGATTTTATTACCTTCGTCTTCAAAACACCATTTCTCGTCATCTCATCGCTCCCTTTCCTCGCATATTCGATTCCCCAGTCAGTCGTCTCCTTTATAATTGTACCTGGTCAGATTTTATTATCGATTCCTAGAGTTATTCAAAAGCTTCTTGAGCTCGCGCTTAATCCGACACTCGCAAGCTTCGTTGCCACCACATTTATTGGAAGCCTTTTCTTTATATTAGTCTCTCTGCCAAATACCAAACTGGGGCGGGGAGTGGAAGCGCTCCATAATTTTCTCTGCTGGGCTCCTATTTATTCTGCAGTACTGCTACTTTCAAGCAGTTCTGAAGCCTCGCGCGAACTCTTCGGTACTCTCCACGAATTCTTCGTAGCAAGACCCTGGTCAGCAGCTTTCGTCTTCCTTTTTGTCTTCAAGTTCTTGAAAGTAGTCGTCCATTTATTCTCCTACAACTTTCTCTCTAGCTACAAACTTCCGCCGCTCCACCCCTCTGTTGTACCAAGCGATGTTACGGTAATTATAGCAAGCGTTGGTAATTTTACCAACGAGTTTGTCAAAACTATCGATTCAGTCCTCGAAAATCACCCAGCTAAAATTATAATCTCGACAGTCGGAACCGAAAAACTCATACAAGCCCGCAGAGTCGTCGAGAGAATAATGAGAGAGAAACGCCTTCCTGGACGAAAGATCGAGGTTATTGCTGTTCACCAGCCAAGCAAACGTGTTCAATGCGTCCAAGCTTCCCTTCAGGTCAAAACTGGACTCATTGCTTATGTCGATGATCATGTCTTCTGGCCTCCTACTTTTCTCCAAAGTGTTCTCGCAGAATTTGAAGACCCAGCTGTAGGTATTGTTGGAACCTGCAAGCGTGTCATCCGCGAGCCTGGAAACAATTGGTCTGATTCTCTCCGCAATTTCTTCGCTTGCATCTACCTTGAGCGCCACAATTATGAGCTCACTTCTACCTACAACATTGACGGTGGATTGTGGGTTATCTCTGGAAGAACATGTTTACTCCGAACAGATATTATGCAAACAGTCGATTACAGAAGTAAATTCCTTTCCGAAACTTTCTTGGGAGCCGGCCCAGTCAACTGCGATGATGATAATTTCAACACAAGATACATGATCAATCATGGCTACAAAACTGTATTTCACAACAGACCAGAAGCTCTCATTGAAACAACTCTAGGCACATCAGGAGGCTGGCCCAAATTCTACCAACAGCTTCTCCGCTGGTCCCGATCAATCTGGCGCTCCCATCTCAAAACCATCCTAATTGATGGAACATGTTGGAAATTCTGCCCCTGGACTAGCTACGCCATGTTTGTCTCCGGATTGTTGAACATCTCTATTATCTATGATTCTCTCTTATTCTTCACACTCTTCGAATCCGACTTCTACACCAAGGATAATCACGCGGGTGCATATCTTTTTTGGGCTATAATTTTTAGTCGTACGATTAAGCCATGGAATTATTATATGCGCAATAAACATGAGATGTGGTGGGCTGTACCAGCAGAAATCCTCTTTGGCTACTTTCATGGAATCATTAGGTTGATTGCGCTATTAACTTGCCGTGATATTGGCTGGGGCGGAAGAGATTTAACAGAGCTGTAAGACGTCCATAACAGTATTACCTGTTCTAAATGCGATATGAGATATGCGATATGGGGTGCTGGGTCGGGGTGAGCAGGAGTTATCTTGCAATCGTTTTACTGGAAAGGAGTATGGGCTTTTGAAGCTATAGTCGCTGTTGCTTCTATGGATGGATATTGCTTGGGAGTGTGGGTTGTGATTTGGGTTGGAGTTGGAGTTACTGCTGGGGCAGGAGGATTTTAACTACAAAAAACCTTTTCTTTGCCAAAAAAATAGATAATGTGTCTATACCTAGGGAGTACCCACAAGGCTCTACCATTCGAAAATTAGATAGTCTCAAAAATCAAGAGATTTATGAAATTGGTTTGTTCAGTGGGAGTCATCAAGGGCTTGCTTTTTGATAGTTGCATATTTGTCTTCCACAGCATTCAAGGTAAAATTCTCATAGGTGATGTTTTGTAGGTTTACACAGTGATTTATTACAATAAGAACTTTACAGCCCATTATATTTGACTCAACAGCATTGGACAAACAAGTCGCTCTCTGATCGTAAATAGACTTCATTTCTACTAACTAATTGTCCCTTTCCTCGCAATACATCATTATAATCATCTTTGATCGCACTGGAGCAGTGGAAACACTTTCTTTTCTTCCACAAAGCTCTGTGTACATATGCTACACCTGAAATTCTAGCAACAGGATACTCAATCTAAAGTAACCTTCATAACCCTAACACACACCAAACCCTCTCTTTGAGAAAAATTTATTCATGCTCTCCAAACCAACCAAGTTATGTATATACAAGAAAGTCATGTTAAGTTCCTTCAATCACATACTCTCCTCCTTTTCTTGTATCATATTTCCTACTAGTTTCTATTCATATATTATCATCTCAAAAGAACCATTTACAATTACCAATTATCAAACATCATGCTTACAATCAATTTTTCAGTGGTTGAGGAGATCCACTATTTGCACAATGATTCACTTAAAAGGTTCACCAAATACCTATTTCCACTATAAGATAATTTATCTAATTTCCGAGACTAGCCGAATTCGAAATGACTCAGCCGAAGAAAAATCAATACAGCTTTTTTTGTTCATCTAATTTATTAATATTATACTTTCCTGGATCTGATCTACAAGCTGTTGCTTGATGAGATTACTCGTGTTCTTTATATACTATATTTTGAACGAATTTGTTTCTACTGGTCATTCTTTTGCAGTTCTTACGACATTTAATTTATTTCAAAAACTCATTATCTCAAGGCTTAGACAACTACCTGTCACTTACTGTGTTACTGAATATTCGCCAATCCTCAACTACTTGCACATTGTTAATCTTAGACTTGAATATCAAGCTCAGCCCTATCGAAATTAGACATCATTCAAGGTTTTAGAGCTCAACTCCCCTTTTTGATGATAGTAATCTAACACATCCTCAAAAGCACAGTCACTTCATTTGTCTAATTGCTATTTGAGTCCCGACTAGTCGATTGTTACACGTCAATTCCAAGTTTTCTGGAACCGAAATGGATTCCGATCTCTAACATCCAACTCCTCATTCCAAATAACGAATATAATCCGAAACCATAATGGAGATCTACAAGCCTGTATGCTATAACATGAGGCATGGTAACCCCAGAGACGCAGATAAAGAGCCATACGCCACAAGAATGTCGAGAAAGTTCGCAAAAATTGACATGCAACGGCCCATAACGCTCAAAGAAGATGAAATTGCCGCAGCTGTCATAGCCACAGAAGCACTCAAAAAGAATTAGGGTCTTCTTGGAAGAAGCATGGGCGCATATAAACCGATCATACGCAAGCGCTGGCCCAACAAATCCAAGGTCAAACGTGCTCAACTTCTGCAAGAAGTATATCCGAAAATTCCAAAGGAGCATGCTCCGGAATTTGATAATCTGCGAGCTCGTTGGACTGACGCACCCCTCAACTCAAACGAGTACCAGAAATCGATAGAGACACCATATATAAATTTAGAGGACCTCACAAAAGGCATGTTTCTGCCTCTTTTTTTGAACTCGAGAGGTCGATATTCCCCGCATCTATTTTTACACGCAGATTTCTACGCTATGCACTTCGGGTTAAATATGTAGGAGATTCCATAACCCAAGATCTATGATGGATTGAAGCCATGGAAACGCGCTATCGTCTTCAATAATCCAGATTCGGGAAAGTACATTGAGTTCCTCGAGTCAGAGAAAAGATCAGATGAGGCTTATGCATCTGGCCTAGGGTTCCCTCCAGGAAAAGCAATGGTGATATTGAGAGCACAGGTTTTCACGTATCGATTCCTCGGGAAGTGTTGCTCAGCAATACTGCATGACATTCCAACGCTTCTGGACGACAATCATGATTTTAATATCGTCCCTGAACCGGAACACATCTCTCCATCCTCTTTTCAACGGCTGAGTACTGTCTTTTCTGCAACCTAGTCTCCCTACAGACCACCGAGTCAAATCGACTTTCAAAGAATAGAAGATCTCCTTGAAACGAGACGTGCCGCAGCAGAAGACCACCTATGGTCTCTAAGGGAAGATCCTAGCTATTTCGCTGAGATGCTTGATGCCCGAGGCGAACGTCATTGCCACTCCAGCGAAGAAGATTCGAAAGGATTTGAAGTAGTCAACATCCTCAAATACGCATGTGTTTCCTTGCTCATCTGGAACAATCTGCGGGATGATTTTCGATACTGGCAAAATCTTGAAAGAGAGTATTCGGCAGAGGTCGCTTCTGACAGGCAGCCTCCATCTGAGTATGAACGCGCATTCGTGTGCTTTTGGGACAATCTAGACCGCGCTAGTGAATACTTGAGAATGGATAACTTAAGGCGAGAGATTTTGTTCTCAAAAGCCTTACAAGATAGCTTCGTTAAAGATATACTGCTTGATTATTCTGTTACCATACGAGGGGATAAAAAAGCCGGAGCCCAGGATAAGATCTTCTCCATACTATATGAGTTATCTCAGAACGAGGCTATTCTCTATTGCTCGCTACCGGATCTAGTTGATCAGCTCGAGCGTTATCTGCTTGTAAACCCAAGTGAAAAGGACCGAATCACGACTTTGGGGTCGTCAATTTTAGCGGACATTAGCATTGTTGCTTCGATAAGTCGAAATTTATATCTTTATCAACCTTGGGCATCAACAGTGAACCAAAAACTTAAGGCCGATGATGGCACCATAAAAGCCATTACGGCCTCCAAATGGAAACGCACGATTGATGTTTTTGACAACCTGGATAACCAAGCCGTGGACGAGCTTACAAAACTTATCGAATCGCTCAACTGCTTTTACTACCCTGCAGAGCGACGCCGAAATGCGGCGAATAATCACAGAATGCAACAGGCTGAGGAGTTGCTTGATAAGGTCTGGAATCACCTTGACCAAGCGTATCTTAAGGCTTCCGAAAAGACCACACTATCTAGAGCCCTTCGAGATCTTATCACGAACAAAAGAAAGTTTATTCGAACACCAGAATGGGTCGAGATGGCTCCCAAGGTCAAGAAGTCTGGCGAAAAACGCACTCCAATTGGTGACGATCTGCTTAGTTCTTTTGAACACGTGCAAATTGACGAAGAAAAGAAGACCCTGTATTTAGAATTAGGCGATTCAACAGTCAAAGCGAAGGTCAAGTCTAAGTCCAGGAAAGCTAGGCCATCTCAAGAATCTGCGACTTTGACTGAAGAATTAACAGAGGCAGAAGAAGATCGAGCAGGGCGAGAAATCATGAGAGTTAATAAAAAGACATACCGTGTTTTCACAGCATTGTTCTACACATCTTCAGAGAAAGATCCACCCGGAGAAATTTCGTGGCAAGAATTCCTTCAAGCAATGGCCGCAGGAGGGTTGAATTCAGAAGCACTGTATGGCAGTATCTGGCATTTTACTCCTCAAGAGGGGCATGCTGATAAACTGGAGAGAAGTATTCAGTTTCATCAACCTCATCCTGGAAAGCTTAGTCTTAGGAAAGCTAGGTTTTTGGACGACGCCTTAATCGAGCATTTGGTTGGAATATTGACTTATTCTATTTAGACTAAGTCGATTTTGGAGATATTAGAGAGGTCTCCATGGTGGAGGAATGGATTGTTCATGAAGAAGTATACGTAAGCGTCTGCGTTAGTGGTCACAAATTCTGTCATATGATAGTTACATAGCAAAGGAAGAATAGACATGTCCAGGGATAGAATGATAGAATATAGAGAGTACTTCAAAGCAAAATAACAACGTCAAAATTGTTGCGTACGAATGAATTTTGGTGGTTGATGATCAATGTGTCAATGAAGTCAAGTAAAATTAATTTGAGTTGAGGTTAAGTCACATGAGCGCCATTTTAGCCCTCTCTTGGAGGAAGACTAGTAGTAGTCCACTCAGGATCTACTGGGTGTCACCGTTTCAGAGAAAACCGTTTTTAGGACTAGGACAAATTTATGCACCCACCATATAAGTTTTTGCTTCAATACAAGACTATTACCTTTCAAATTGCCAAGTTACAATCATTGAACGATGATCGCCCCAAATGTTTCTTCCCCGAATGATATCGAGTGCACAATGTGGATCATTTTAGCCCCTTTCTCTTCTCTAGATATTGACGGTTTTACTTGGCGTAACTTACATGTCAAAATTCAACGAATGTCCTCCACAACTAATCCTTTTAGCATGCAAGCTAGAAAAAACCCATTTTTTTCTGCTGCTAATCCGTTATCTTATTACTACTTAGAAGTCTGGAGCTGTCATTCTTTACTTTGAATATCTTTCACTCAAAACATTTCTCACTTCCAAAAAAAGTAATTTCACATACTCTTCACTTCAAGCCAGACAACCATGGATCTGATAATCAAAAACAACAAAGTTACTCTCATACTTCGCACATCTCTTACTTTTGAAACCGAGCACATCCCGCTGGCACCCATGTCTCAATCATCGTACTTTGATCTCGAGACCGTGAGCTTCACTCCCCCACCACCTCCAACACACCCCCCCGAAGCTTCGGAAACACGACCAAAAATTGCCGATTCTTCAAACATACAAACATCCATTACAACCGTCTCAAATTCTCCAAGCAAACTCCCACGGGAGCCTTCTATACCACAATTTCCACTATATGATCGTTTTCCTCAAGAAATCAAATGTGAGATCATGTACCAAGCCGCGCTTCAAAGCAAGCCACGTTTCATACGAGTCGATATCCACAGCAGATTACTATCGCCCAAAACCAGACGACGCAGCGATCGCATCGACGCCTTCCTCCAAGCTGGCGGAAAGTGGAAAATTCAGGAAGGAGACTTCGAATACCTGACTATCACCCGTGGATGCGGATGGCACTCTCGAGACCAGCTCATGATAGACCAATTCTACTTCCGTCCCGAAAAAGACATCCTGTTGTTCTCTGAAGAAGTTTTGGAGAACTACCAGAACATCAATATATATCCTTCTGGATGCGTGAAACGTTTAGCGATAAACATCCAGGATCTCGAAATGTTATTGACTCTTTACAAGGGCCACATTCAGCTAGACCCCCCTAATCACTCCACTCTGTTTATCGGTAAACTACGAAATCTCGAGTACATATACGTACTTCCGCATAGCGTTTCTCGCAACGCAACGTACATTGAGTATTACGTTCTTGCGGATTCAGATCTGCCCAGCACTTTTGATAGGAATATTCTGCTCATGTGGTGGGTTTCCTGGCTCAGTAAAGAGTCTGACAAAATTGGCTGGAATCCGCCGAAGATTTCTTTCAAAGAATTTCGCTGGGCAGGATTGTCGGAAGAGTAGATGGGTGGATGTCGCTATGTCATAGTCAAGACATAGAAATGGATTTGTTTATGAACAGATAAGAGGAGGAAAGAGATATCTATATGATTTTAATACCAAGTAATCATTAATGTATAACATCAGCGGACATAATTCAATAGTTAATACCTACTTAAATTTTAATAACAACAATCACCATTCAAACACCCATCAACACCCACTCAAGTATCCCATCTGCACAAAACCATCATCAACAACTAGGTATTATAACCCTCAAACAAAATGATCCAAACGAACCCACAACCCCCCTAAGACTCAAAACAAAGACAAGAAAATATAATACAAACCATCCCCGCCCGATACTCCAAGTTGTCACTGCAGAAATCCCATGATTACCTCGAGGATGCCCAGAAAATTACGTATAGCGTATCGCGTATATACCAAATCATACCTAGAGAACCTAGAGACGATATCAATGATGTATTTTGGAGTAATCACGTGAAGCCGAAGAACCTACCTACCTAGTAGGTCTAGCCGTGAAAACAATACTTAGATCATCAACATTTCGATGTCCAAAATACCACATTATATCGTCGACATTTACTACTTCAACACCATGATTGAATACATGGCAGCCAAGAGAAAAATGTGTGATTGTAAAATTTGGAGTTTGAAGATTAAGTACTCCATGCTTCAAAAGGAAGGCCAAATTATGGATAGATAGGTACGCACAGTCACTTGAAGTCACCAAAAGCATGCAGTGTCTAGATAACTGAGAGAGAAAATCATTATGTACTAATCTGCTCAATATTATTTTCACAGTATTGCTGATTGGACAACGCCATAACTGTAATCTATCCTGGTAAAACAACCACCAATGAGAATCACAAAACTTCCTGATATATGTATCCCGTCGCCTATCCTATGCGCGGAGAGTCATACAAACGCCGTCGCATCAATCAATTTCATCCTAAGTATCCACCAATGCCAATGAAGTCTGCCAAAATTCAAATTCTTACTCCAATGTACTGTTCGTTCTGTTGTACAATCATTTTTCCTCCCAAGCGCTGACCAACTTGGTCTTCTTCTTGGGTGGTCCGGACTTACTGGAGCTTCAGACAAATTAGTAATTGGAAACAATAAAAGGATGCGAGGTTCACTCGAAACCATAGACGTTCCAGAGAACCAAAAAAATGGAGTGAAGGGGATATGGAATGAAAGTGCGATATGAGGGAATACTTACTCGGAGTCTGACTTTGCCAAAGCCTGTTCTTTCATCCTCTGCTCAGCAGCAGCCAATGCCAATGGTCTCATTGTCTCTCTTCTCGCAGCTTGTTTGGCGTACTTGGCTCGAGTTTGAGCCTCGTTGACAGGTCTGCCATGTACCAGGTTGGTGAGGGCTGTCTCATTGGCTAAGTTCTGGCCTCGAGTGCGCTTGTACGAATCGGGGTGGTTGGGACAGTTTCTGCCATGTGCTGCGTCGCCGAGTCTGAGGATATTTTCCCAGTCGACACCGCAAAGGTAGCACCAGGAGTTCCCACAGCGACCTAAGTATTAATTGTTAGTAATGAGCCTGTATGAAGAGGTGTATCTATACATACATTGCATATGGTCACAGCCATCGCTTCTCACAACACACTCTTTGCATTTTGGGCAAATCCTAGAATCCTTTGCCAGCAGCTTAGCTGTAGCCTCTTCTTGCTCCAAACGTTCAATTTGTGAGTCGTCGACATCAAACTCGTCGCATGACTGTCCTTCGTGCCATGGTAACTGGTGTTTGACACAAGTCTTGAATTTACAATGGTCGCAAATCATCAATGGCTCCGGGCCTTCATGTATTTGACCTCCACCGCACTTGGGGCCTAAGCACATTACAAAGGTATCGGGTCTGGAAGCTTTTTCTCTCAAGTAGAAGTAACTGTTTGACAATTAGCAATGAACACAAATAACCAATGAGATTCACCGACCGTTCAAGTACGCCCGGAGATGCTTTGCGACGAACATCGTGATCAGTGAGGACAGCTGTACAAAGAGGGCACTTGATACCATTCAAGAGTCCATACTCTATATCTGTGGTGATCGATAGATCGAGACATTCCTTGCAAATGAAAGTATCTCGGTGATGACAGTCACCTGTGACATCAGACCAGGTGTTTACTATCAGGACATCCTCAGCACAAATAACACATTCCACTTTATCAGATTGCTTTTGGGAATGATCATGTGCTTTGCCACTTTCTGGTTCCTCTTTGGTCTCTTCTTCTTCGTCTTCTCCGTTTTCTTCATCGTCATCATCGTCTTCATCGTCTTCCTCATCATCTTCGTCTTCACTCTCTGTCTTATCTTCGCTCTCCTCCTCACTTTCCGAGTTTTCTTCGTCATCCGTGCTGTTGGGCTCCATTCCGAATTCACCATTATCAGGTTCGGCGCCGAAGATATAGTTGTCGCGTTCGGGATTGTCAGGATCTAGATAAAAATTTCAATACAATTTTCAAGCAGATGTACATACAAAAGGTATGGTAATATTAGAGGGTATATAACTTACGCTGAGGGAAAAGATCAAAAAGGTCCATTCCGGGGTTGCGTCTCAAGGCTTCTTCTCTATCCTCCCACAGCAACTCGTCACCGGAGTTGGCGGAAACACCAGAATCGGAACTTGACTCATCATCAGAGCCCTCTTCTTCCTCTTCTTCCTCTTCGTCGTCTTCGTCTTCTCCATCTTCTCCGCTGGAATCTTCCGCAGGTGCAGTCACGGGATGAGTTGATGGAAGATCACCACCATTTTCGAACCATTCCTTGACTTTTACGGAAACTTCTTCGTCAAGACTTGTTTCAAAAGTCTGGAGACGAAGAAAAAGGGCAAGTCTATCACCCTGATTTTCTGGGAGTTTTTGGTAATTTTTTAAGACATAGCGCATCTTTCTTGCATCATGTTCCTTGAAATTGAGTCCGAAGACCTTGCCCGACTGGTAGTCAAATGCCATTGTGGAAAGTGGTTGCTTTTTAAAAGAATTTTGAGTAATTTGTTTCAGTTGGATTTTTCTGGATGTCTTGATCTGGATAAGAATGTCCTTGATCAGAGAGATTGTTGAAAAGGTTGTTGTAAAATTGATGTGTGATGGTGAGGATGGAAGATTATAAGGAAGTTGAGAGACTCGAGATTGCCTAAAGCTACTGTAGCTCGGATAAATTAGGCCAATTTAATACATAAATTAAGTTTAGGCTACCGCTCGGACTCCACCCCCTCATTCTCATTCCATTTGACAGAAGTGAATAACGTGATATATATAATTTATATTCATTGTTGAGTATGAAATTCTCATTCTCATTCTCTTGTCTTCATAATTGGTATATAGAAGTTAGAAGTTAATCACATATTAAATTATATTGATTGGTTTCGAGTTTGAATTTGCTTCCAACATATCACTATGGGTTTCCATCATCTATTTTCTTTCTTATTTTCAATGTTCATCAACCTGCCTACCTAGTGGTTATATGCACATGAACTTCTATTAATCTCAAACTCTAGTAGCTTCTTTCGACTGCCAGATTAGTTCTCGTATTCTTCTTCTTCTAGCCATCAGTCAATTTTCAGTGTCAATACTGTCAAACATGGTGTATGATCGTGGTGAATCCCAATGACTGGACTCATACTGTTCTAATTCAATTGGATTGTTTGTATTGGTCAATGACTCTCATGATTTAATGAGTAATATTGATGTGGCATTCGATCATCAAACACAACAGTAGTTCCTTACCCTACAGCTAGCTAGCCTTGGGTGCTACGGTAATGACGTTTGTTTTTTTCCTTTACTTGCAGACAAACTCAGCACCTGTACATCAATGACTACAAAGCAGGTGATATCTTTCTTGCTTTACCCAAGTTGGAAAACGACATGGCCTCTCTTTCTGCTTTTTTTTAACAGCAATGGTGTACCTGTGGCTATCAACTAGCAGCTTTGTATGGCATACCTAGGTAAACTTTGAAATTTCTATATTATAGCAGTAAATGGCGGAGCTATGGAGGGGCTTTTCTGGCTCTTCAAAACATCTGCTTTGTGGTGTTCGCACTTGAGTAATTCTTAGACAGACCTAGCTTGAGACAATCCACCACTGAATACAAGTTCTGCTCTTCTACTATAGATAGTCATCGAAAGTTTCGACAGAGTATAAAGAGACATGAGAATCTCTGAATGCTATAACATTGATTCGTAGGAGTCAGGACATTATAACAAAATTCCAAGTAATATGACCTTCGAGGCTCAGCCCAAACATGTGAAACATGAGAAAGAATTACAATTCACAGGTTACTACCATCCCTGGTAGACTACTACGTGCTTTATAGATTGAGTCATGTATTTGGATCATCATATTCGCTTTTTTAATTTGCTCCTTCAATGACAAACAATACAAAACTGTTTTACAACCAGACACCTAGAGTCGAAATAACATCGCAATTCAAAGCTTCAGTATCACTACCAGTCATTCAATGGCAACTTACCAATCATAACTGATGATTTTGTTCTGAAAGAGATTTGGCACATATCAAACTTATCAATTTCTAGAATTGGAGCAGGTCACAACTCTATCATTCAGTAACAATACCAGACCTCTCATTTCCGCCTTGAGTTGGCCACAAAAAGGAGATCTGGACAAGGTAGATGTAACTTTGTCTCTTAGGAACTTTATTTACTCATGGTTATAGGTACCAGAGGCTTGAATTTGGCAGGTGGATGCGGTTATTGAAGTGATGCATGCAGACTGGTAACTAACAATCTCATATCTGTTTAGATAGTTTTTGCAAGTGATGAGATCTCCTTGAGCTCGACTCCCTACTAAACACCACTGCTATGATTCCTTGTCTTGCTCTCTATACCTTTCACATTATTCATGTATCTGATGGAGGAAGAATGATGATCAATGCACCACTTGACGTCTCATTTGCGAAAAACATGTATTGAAAATCAAGCATATTATTCCTTGCAAGACACCTTCAGCAGGTAGAAAACTTTGGTCCTTTGAGAACTTGTTAGCCTTCTAGAAAATGATTTCTGTACCTCAATCTTACCTCATCTACAGACCGAGATCCCTGTGGAAATTTCCAGAGATTGGACGAGAGCCTTGTCAAAGAAAGCAAGAAGTTTTCTCGTAAAGGTTCATGGTGCTAGGGAAGACGTAGGAGAATACGCAACCCCCGAAGAATGGTTACTTTTTCTAATACCTTTTTTTACTCCAGCATCTGCCAACTTGCCCACACTTCTCACGTATTCAATGTCCGGCATGTCCGGCCATGGCGATAATGTTCCTTGATACTGAAACTCATGGCAAGAGAATAAGTATTCATGGAAGTTTGAACAGGAGGTCATTTCCTTCAATGAAAATCTCTGAAGGAAACTCCTTATTCGCACATTTTTCTCAATTGCCGAATGAATTCTTGTGATATCAATGCAGTGCCATGGCCGGCTCGGCTCGGCTTCTTTGCTCACCACACCCGGACTTTGTGCCGAATTTTCGGATATCAGCTGGCACTTATCCGAAGGTGGGTTAACTCAGAGATTATGTAAGCAATATTTTCCCGAACATCAAGACTTTTCAATCCATCCCATTGTCGTGGAATGATTCCAATACCCTGAGGGGGGAAAGAATCTTATTGCTCCCAGTTCTCTCACCACCTATGGAAGTTCATCAATTTCTCTTCGTCTTGGAAGAAACTAAAAAAGTGGCACCTGAAGACGCGTGCTTAATTACGACTGAAGCCAATTCTTCACTTGCCTAGAAGCATTGCAAACGTCAATGGAGTGCGTATGAAAGCTTTCTTGACCTTGCAAACACCTCAGCTCAAGTAATAAAAATTGCTAATTCCCAAAGGTCTTTTGGTGAAGAATTTACCACCTCCAACTATCTACTCATTGGTTGCCTCATACAACGCTCGTTTGGATCGTTTTGCAAGACACCATTTCAAAATTTTGATGACGACTTCCAACACCACCAAAGAGCAAAATGTATAAATACAGCCAGCAGTGAGGTGAGGTCTTCTTCAAGAGACATCAAGAGTTAAGCCAGACTATTACGTTTTTTCAAAGCGGACTTTTCAAGAGCCCAGACTCACCGGCGTCATATCTCCACACTTCCAATCGCGCGAATCATCCTTGACATCGGAACCATTATCCACGAAGCACACTAGCCTCGTTCATTCGTATTGGTAGTACTTTTTCGTGTTTCCAGACAAAAACGTACGCATCATCACGTGAAATCATGAGACTGTCCACTTCCCAGTCACTAGCTTAGCACAGAGGCCCGAGAGAGGCTAAATTGGAGTGCTGAATAGTGCTGGCGTCCCAAATATTACAAATGTCAATATGTAAAAATAGCATCTTCGCGACCCGACTTTATCCCTCGCGAAAACCAGGATCCAGATTTACTTTCAACATTCGATGCACAAAAATCCCTCGGTCCTGTCAGTAAGCCATGTGCAAACTTCTTATGACGACATGATCCTCCTCAACACCCTCTCCATATTACAAACTTTGACATCTTATCCACATCTTCTTAACTGTTGATATATTTGTTTCATGTATATTGAAACCCCAAAGCTATGGGTTTTTGAGACGGAGATACTTTGCACAAGGCTGTATCACGATAAGAAGAATACCCCGCCTTCAAAAAGTTACCACATGTTTCGATGTGGATAACAATCTCATCTTCTCCTAATTTCGGTTTGTGAAGCTTACCCCTTTGCACAACGCGGTAGCCGGAAGAACAGTTTCGTCATGGTCCACTTAAGGTGAAAATCTGGCTAGTGCATGCTTAACCGATCTTTTGATTACGTTCCTGAACATCTCATGCCGCTGTCCGCAATTTGTCCGTTCGTTCCTGGTTATTTGTGGATCACTCATGGATTGTCTATGAAGACATTGTTCAATCAACAAATCGTCCATCCCATACTATGGGTCCCAGCCGAGGGGTGCATTTTGTGGGGTGTTGAGGTTACGATGATAGACTCGTAGATCATGTCAAACTAAGTAAAGCGCATTGCATTGTGAAAATCATCTTTCTCGGACGAATGTCACTCGATGAGCTGCATATTGATCAACACTTTAGCTCATGAGAATACTGGTTTCCACAGGGAATCGATGTTCGATTTGCATTGATTCGGTTCTTTCGGTGAGCCATTTCTTGTAGACTTCGTATGTACACAAAAGTCGTTACAAACCAAATCTGCGTCATCGTTTTTTCTCGAAAATCAGTAGCTTAGAAAAATGCCGACGAGAAAGTATATAGACAGCAGCCGCTTCCTCTCGGATTTTCCCAAGCTAACATCTTCCAGCTTATAAGTACAACATCAACCTAGTAATACAATAACTTCCACTCGTTAATCATGAAGTATTCCGCATCAGCATCACTCGCTCTCGCCGTTGGCGTTTCAGCTGCTTCTATCAAACGGGACACTTGCTCATATACCCTCACTTCATCAGGAGGTCAATCCAGTATCGTTGGTCAATTGGACGATGGACAACTCCGTGTCCTTGGCAATCACCCCACTGCAACCTTCACAATCAACAACGGTGAAACTACTGATTCCAAAGGCCGACCATGTTATTTAACATCAGAGGCTGACCAATACCAATGCGATACTGGTATGAGCGCCATAGGTGGTTTTGCTATCGGCGCAGATGGCACATACTCTCACTCTGGATCATCGGTCTTTTATGCATGCCCATCTTCTGACAACGATTACAACATCTATACTGCTCCTGTTGCTGGTCAGGACAAGTGTGTACAGATTGGATTGACTGCTAGTGGATGTTTCGCTCCATCTTCGTCCTCTTCATCAGCAGAATTAAGCACATCCGCATCCCAACAAGCTTCGTCCTCTACCTTAGTTTCATCAACAAATGCCTCATTGTCTGCTCCTGTCTCAGAATCTTCAAAGGCTTCAGTCATTACTGCTACCACGACTCGGCAACAGACTTGTGCTGCCTCAACCGTTACTGTAGCTCAGACCGTTGTTGTCACCCAAACTCCATCTGCTAAGACTATTTATGTCACTTCGACTGCGCCCGGTCAAACTATTGAAGAGACTCAAACTCAACAGCAGACTGCACCAGCTCAAACTATCGTGGTTACCCAGACTCAACAACAATCATGTGCTGCTCCTTCTACAATCACCGTCACCCAAGTTCAATCTGCTGCTGGCCAGACTGTCCATGAAACTCAGACTCAACAGGAGACTGCTCCCGCTCAAACTGTTGTGGTTACTCAAACTCAACAACAAACATGTGCTGCGCCTTCAACAGTTACTCTCACCCAAGTTCAATCTGCTGCTCCTTCTACAGTTACCGTTACTCAAGTGCAGAGCATGACTGCTGTTTCCACGAAACAGGTCACCGCCACCGAGTCTATCAAAGTTTCTAGCGCCCCAGCTACTTCCCCGGCTCAAGCCACTACAAGCGCTGTTTCCACACCAAAGGTTTCGTCTGCTAGTTCAATAGTCTCCTCAATTATCTCTCAAGCAAGCTCAGTTGTCTCTTCGGCCACATCTAAGGCCTCGTCCACAGCTTCAGCTTCCAACTCTTGCCCTACTAACCTTGACGGCACCTACTCTTCCCCCAACCTAATCATTCCCGTCTCATCTGCATCCCCGGATAAGGCATACGGTACCTCTTACGAGGGAGTCGTCAACAGCACTGTCTCATCTCTCTTCAACTTTGACATTCCAACTCCATACGCTTCCAAGACTTGCTCCCTCGTTTTCCTCTTCCCCACTCAAGATATGCTCGAGACTTCCTCATATACCTTCTCCGGTTCCGGGGCCATTGATTTCAAGCAATTGAGCACCACTGTTACCACCAGCTCTACCTATAACTCTATCGGAAGCACTGCAACTGATTTCGGTAGCAAGACCATCACACCTGGTTCCTGGACTGTTGTTGACACTTTCACTTGTCCAGCTGGACAGGCTATCAGTTACGAGATGACTGCTAGTGGAAGCGACACTGATTTTTGGTGGTTTGAGGATTACAACCCATCCCCCATCGGTCTTTTCATCACTACTTGCTAGATTTGAATCTGAAATGATCTAATATCAAGAGCAAAGTTGAGATAAGTTAAGAAAAGTTTTCGAGATATGAATTTAAATGAGATGAGATATGAAATGCATCATAATGTTCGGTTTCTTTCTTGGGTATGGCTCGTATTGGATGGTAAGGATCGAATGTATACACCCAGGTAGGGAATGTATTCTGGGGGCGGTGTTTTGGGTTGGACATGGATGAACATGTCTGGAAAAATGAAAGACCTAACACCATTACGTTCATTATGATATTTGAGTACAGTACGAATTTTGTACATGATTTGTATGTTCTTTTAAAAGAGAAGAGATTAATACATAGAATGATAATAAAAAAATAATGACTATCAGTACTCAAGAAAAAAACGGTTTGAAGATCGTTGAATCATCAGAATGCTTGAACGAAGGGCAAGAATGATGCTACTCATTGGGCCAACTTGTCAAGATTAAGTTGTAATCTTCCTCTCCAATTGTCTGAGAGTTTGCCATACAAAATCTGACAATTCTGAATCTAAGTTCCAATCTAGATGTTGAGGGTCTTTGTGTCTGACAGATCAGGAAGACACTCGACCTTAAGATTTTCTGAGTTCTACTCATGTAAAATCAAAGCGAAAGGTTGATTGACCAAATTCGAGAATCGGAAAAAAATATGATCGATTGGCAATCTCCTCTCTAAGCACGAATTTCAAGATCTGAATGCCCATCCCTCATCAATGGCCTCCAAAAGAGGACTTTCCAACACGTAAACCAGTTTATCTACTCTCTCCTGCCCAATTCTCTGTTCCCATTTATTTCCTTGTTTCATCACCACCCCACAAGCCACAATATCACAACCAATCTTCTCCAACAAATCCCAGGTCGTCTTCAGTGTTGCACCAGAACTCACTGCATCATCAATAATAACACATCGTTTTCCTAGAACCAGAGGCAATTGATGCGGATCCAGATATACTTTCTTCAACCCCAGTTCGGGGGATGTAATGGATGATACTGAAGCGGAGAGAGCATCATCGTACCAAAATTTGCGGGAGTAGCCGAGGGGTATATATCTTTCTAACAACCGTTAACTCTATCCTTGATACATTTTCTCAAGTAGTATTCTTGACATGTGACAGATATACTTAAACCCAAATTCCTAGCAACAAGCGGAGCCAGACTAAGACCCAAAGTGGGAAGCCCAATAATAACATCCGGCTCAAAACGACGCACGAGATCGGCAAGAAAATCGGAAAGTATATCTACTACTTCCATGGAAGCTTGGTTAACCAGAAGTGAGGCAACCGCATGCTTGGGATTATCTTTCAACGGCCTGATTGGGAGAACCAGGAAACGGGAGTCGGGTAGCTTGGCTGGGAACCCATATTTATAGGGCGGATTTTGCGGGGTGTGGTTGGATGGGAGAATGGTTTGCCAATATGTGGTTGTAGGTTCCGTGAAATGGGCAATTGGCGGAATGGCTTGTTTTGGAATATTACTCGAATCGCTGATAGTCGTCTGGGTGCTCTTTGGCTTTTCGGAAAGCTCTAGACTTTTATCAGAATTCTCCCGATCAGCATTCTCGCCAATAATTACATCGTCGGTAGACTTATCATCCACTTGGTAACTCTGTATGTCTATGTTGGGTTGAGACATTTTTTCTCGAGATATTATATTGCAGGAAGGAGGTGAAGTTGAAATGTAGGACGGTACAGGGTGGGGTTGCTGACTCATGCGGAGATTTTGTTTGTACCTTAAACAACTACCTCCCGGTAGATGATGCGACGACCAGGTAGTATGGAGACGAGATCTTTAGGAATCTTTCTATCATAATACCTGTTTCGATAGAAGATTGAGCACAGTTTGTTCAATCTGCATTCAGCCCTTCTTTTCCAGAAAAGGTTCACAGTGATTTACGCGACAATGATCTTTAGTCAAGTCGTTGTAGATTTCCATTACAGCCGACAGTTTCTTACATCTGCCAGATCGTCGCTAAGCTAGGTAAGAATAATGGAGTATCTAAAAGCTCTGCCTACTTCTTGCCAATATGTGAAGCTTCTCCAGTTCTTACATGCCGCGATGCACGTGGTCCATCTGGGCTCACCACGTTCCTGCTCGTATCGATAATCATTTTATGATTAAAATTTCCGTTCTGCGTAGTGGCTTGAATTGAGAAATTAAGGTTGAGCCTCATGAAACCGATGAGTTGATAGTAATTTTTGCTGTCTAGATTGTGAAAGGTCAGCCCGTTTCTTGGCGGTGGTAGATTTTCTAACACATGAAAGATTTTATCGAGGTGAATTTGCTCCATGGTATGTATATATCATCTAAGAGTTCTGGGGAGCTGTGTGATATTTTCGGGTAGTTTTTGGTCTCGATGACCTGTAACGTTGCCAGATCAAGTGGCCAAGAGCAATAACGTCAAGTGACAAGTAATGGTATTGATCTTCTTTACTGACAAGTGAGGAAGAGCTAATACGATACTGGAGGAGCTTCTCTGGGTATTCTGGATAATAAAGAAAAGTGCTTTGAAGTGTAAGAGGAGATAGGACGCTCATGCACTACAGCAAGTTTGCTGTCGAGGTATGCAGTTATGTTATATCGGACTTCAGCCTCCCAGCAATCCTGGTAGGCCATTTTCTGCAGAGCTCGGATAATTGTCTCAACAGCGATAAGTAGGAATCTTATTGAGGGCCGTAATAAAAAGGCCATAAATAATGTGGTGGACCAAGTTCACTTTGTTCAAGGTAAGACGAGATCAGTTTATTGTGTAAGAATTTGAATCCTCACCATATTTTCACACCTCAAGCGTTTTTTTCTTTTTCTGATCTTCTAGACCACTGTTTTAGGTAATCAAACGCCAGCATTCGATGTTTTGATTTCCTCGAAGTTTCATTCTTTTATAAACAATGGTGCAGCATTGGCATCTTTTGACGGGCGTTCTTTGCTGAAGTCATGAATAAGTCAAGAGTGCTTACCTGTGAAGACCCTAGATATAGTCTATGCCTCAGTAAGCTATCTTCAACTTTGTTTTAAGGAAATTCTAACAAATACCAAGACAACCTAGGCTGTTGTCCAAGAGACGAAAACTGCTGTGGAAGTTCTGCGTCAAACCTGGAGAGAGTTGTTGTCAAGGTTTCACACGCGAAGTTGGATGGAACTGCTTCACTTATCTTTATTGCTACCCGGATGGAGGTAAATGCTGTTTGGATGGAAGCTATTGCACTGCTGGAAATATGTGTGAATGAGTAGCATCAAATGTTGCACGGATTTAACATGTTCTGAACATGCTTCTGGTAGTGTAACTATCAGTACACCTGGTGCCACTACCGCTTATACCGGCATTCCATCGTCAATTACAAAAGTTCCAGAGCCATCTATTACTTTGACACCAATAACGGTGTATGAATATTATCATTACACAATTACATGGTTAGTTCAAATCCCGATCCATATCAGCATACATGCCGACTAACGAACACTCAGGTATTACTGGAGCTACTACTATTACTACTATACCACCAATGCAGACCTAAGCACATCTACCCGCTCAACCCAGATGACAACCACAACTACAATCTCCGTCTACGAAACCAACTCCGCAGCCGCTTCATCCAGCTTCAAAAAACTCTCTGTCACCCTCTCATTCCCAACTCCTGCTGCTGCAACACTTCCTACGCAAATTTCACCAAGCTCGCCTGTACAGACTGAACAAACCACTGATCCTCACACTGAAGTCAGCATGGATACAAATTTTTTGCGAGGGACTGGGCCAGCTTTCTATAGCGTTTTTTGGCACACCTTCTACAACAACTAGTTCTGTGACTTCGGGATCGATTAGTTCGTCAACGGCTACTCTACGGCCGGCGGAGGTTACAGTTAGTAGTGCTTCTGGAATGAGAATGAATGGGCAATTTTAGTCTATTGCCGGTTTCACGGTTTGGTGCTTGCATTTTTTCGTTGTGGTTGCTTTAAAATGGAGAGGTCTTGTTTCTGCTGGGTTTGTGATCTTGTATGATACTGGAAGATATTCGCTATTTGATAGTATGTAATACAGTTTTTTTAGTTCGAAGGATATGTCGTTCGTGTTCGCACTGGACATTATTCCATTCGTTTACAATCTTTAGGAAGATCGTTATTGGTATGCATGTCCTCTCTATTTAATTCTCAGTACTAAATCGATACCTCGAATGCGTCAGTTTGGACAGATTCCCTACTATCAAAGATGAAAGGTGATTTTCCATTCTAACCTTCTAATTTCCATCTGCTACTCTACCAATTAAAAGCCAATTCATGTATGCCAAACCATTAGAAAGTATTTTATATTGATTCGATATACATAAAGCGAGTGTACCTTGGGATCAAAATGGGGAAGAAACGTCTAGTTTCTTTGTTTTAAGGCAATATATATATATATATATATATATATATATATTCCAATCTAGAACTCGAATTCTCTTGAGGTCTGAGAGATCGAGAAGACACTCGACCTCAAGTTTATATCTATTCATACATATACATCAAGAAAGAAGAAAGGGGCCACATCTGACAATCGATGGTCGACATTAAGGTGGAGTGTTACAAGGAAATTTGAATATTCAAACTTACCAAAAAATTAGATTCAAATCCAGCGCATCAATGCCGAAACCAAATGAAAGAATATACCATACGTGATTGAAGACATTTTCGTTCCTCTTACACCTCACAGCAGCAAAAAGCTCGTTTCTAAACCATGAACTGAATCATAAAATCCGGATTTTAACTTCCAAGACTTGAATGGACTAGCTAAGCCGCTTTCTTTGGAGAGCTCAGCATAGTGAATTCCCGCTCTTTCTTGAACCAGTGCGCGATAAATAGGATGACAATTTTCCTAATCTGATGCTGTTCCCAACTAAAATGCTGTAGGTATACTAATAACTTCACGATCCAGTTGTCGTGAATAAACCGTATACATTGATACGGCAAATAACATGTCAAGTTCAATACTGTCGTACCATGAATCCACATCAAGCAATATTTAAGAACCTCTTCTTTCGTCCAAAATATTGAATAACAAACAACGTCTCCCACACATTACACCTTAAGTTATCAGTGTAATCAACTCAAATAATCGACTGGTTTCCATATCGTCCGCAAATTTGAAGTTCTTTTATTAACGATTTAAAATCTTATTACATCCCTTTGTGTGGTCTACTACAGTGTATTGTCGAACTTTCGAACAAATGGCTTCCAACCCAGAAGGACCTCCTGGCGACGTTCCAGAGAATAGTCGCCCGTTGACAGCGTCTACATCAACCGGCGAAAGAGCTGCGCTAACAATCCATGAGCTATCGAGCACCGTGAGAAGTTCCACAATGTACACTTCGGCAACTCGCATTGCAGATGAATACCCGCCGTCTTTAATCGTCCCTAGAGCGCGTAATAGGCTATCTACAAATGAAACAACAAGTACCTCGACGGTCGACGGATATGGATCAGAACGCCTCAGCTATACAAATCCTAGGGACAGAATTGTTTACCGAACTCAGCGTCCCGTTAATCGAGTTGAGCCTTACATCTCAATTTTTCAAACTGACAGACGTCATACCTCGCGTGTACGTTTCCCGGACAATCTCGATGAGACAACCTCTGGTTCACGTCCTACGGTTGGTGCTAATTACGGTTCACGTGTACGACGCATGAGGGACAGTAATGGAAGGGATCCTGATCGAGACTATACTCCGACACTATATGATCCTTCGCCGGCTGTAGCAGCCAGAAACTATCCCAATACCTCAGATCCCAGCTCAGTCTATGTTCCGAGAAGATCTAGGCCTTTCCCGCTTGTAACAGCCAGAGATGCGCCGGATACCGGTCGAGTCTACACTCCGAGAAGAGAAATCTATCGCCCGCGTGTGAGAGCCACAACTCTCAATTTCGGGAATCTCACTCCCGTTTCTACTCGCAACAGTGAGCAAACACAAACAACTCCCGACGTCAACTCACCACAAGATCCCGAGGCATCAACCACCGTCGGCACAAACGAATGTCCCATCTGTCTCTCTCCCTTCCCCCCTCCTCCCAATGCCGTCCTCGTGCACCCATGCAATCACGAATTCTGTCTTGTATGTATCCAGACCTGGATTCAAACCCAACGACAAAGACCCAATGCCCGACCAGTAAACTGTCCCTTCTGCCGAGGTCCCATCAACAGAATCGTCGACCGGGATGGAAATATTGTAGAATATCAAAGAAACAACGTTCCAGCTGTGGTTGCGGGAGCTCAGGGAAGATTGAGTAGATTGCTTGGAGGTGCAGTTGCGAATGTTGCTGATTCAACACCAAGAGCGTCGAGCACAATGGGTGGTGCGAACTCGTTTGATGAGTTTAGAAGAACATTGAATAGGGTGGGACCTGCGGGAAATATTAGTGAGCAGGTTACAAGAGCACGAGAAAGATTGGATGATGCAGATGCAGATTCGAGCCGTCCGGCAGATTCGAGTCGTCCGGAAAACCCACTTGATATACCTAACGGGGCTTTGGGCTGGTGGGTTTGAGTTGTAGCTTGCATTGATCGAGGAGCATGGAGAGATGGGGGTTCTGAAGGTCGGATAGAGGAGCTACAGAAAGAGGACGCATTTTATTCTGGATGCAGGGGAATTAGCATTTGAGTGCCAATTGACGTTGCGAGTACCACATTGACATGATATATAGCTCAGATTAATCTGAAGTTATGGTCGAGGGCATATAAATATATTTACTATCTAGTAATGCAAACCGATTGCAATCGTGAAATATGCGCAACCCTCTTCAATTCCAACAACATGAAAACCTGACCTTTAAACTTCTCATTTATAAAACTAGGCATTGACTTCTCTTAGTTGTAATTTTGGGGGTTGAAAAGTATAACGAGACATAACAAATTTTCAACAAGAATCTTGATATCCCAAGGAAATCTCGATTTACCCATCAATTTTTACGGCTTTCTTTTGCTTTCGTGGCTCTTGTGAAGGACCTTGCCTCCATTACAATTGCCTATCTCCTCGTTGTTTGTTTGGCTACACTTCAATTCCTAGACAACGTCGATGGTCGAGTTCTTTCTCACTTACTGCGACTTCAACGAGAACTAAATCTGAAATATCTTGAGCGGCGACATTAATAGGAACGACAGGAACAGAACTAAAGATCACTATCCACTTGTCTGCCCTTTGTTTAGGTCAAGGTAAATGAAAGTCTCACCTCATTTATTATATCACAAACTGACTACTCAGATCAGTTCATCGATCTTACATATAAAGCTTTTTTTCTGCGCCGAAATTCCAAGAGTGTGGCACCTATCAATGATTCCATCAGCAACTCATTCAACATCCTCAACCAACAACAAACCCAAGATGTCTGAAAAGGAAGATTCTGGCCACGAAAAGGAACCAGTATTCCAAAATCGAAACCCTCCACGTGCTTGGATGACCACATCAGAATTCATCGACAGGAACGACGGCAAGCTCCTAGAGCATTATCTTCGCACCAATAATTCCACAGCTTTGCAGCAGATCAGACCATGTTTGTCAGGTGAAGGGAAGGTGACTACTCCAATGATGGTTGCCGACCTTGGTTCCTCCATCGACTTCTTGCAAGCTCCGAGGGAGAATCCTTCGTTATGCGGAGGTTATGGCAGTTACCTTCCCCTTGTTGTACTTCAGGCTCATCTGTGTAGGTAAAACTTTGTGTGCGAATTGTTTGCGGGCTTTCATCCGCCGGGAATCTTTGGCCCCAACTGGTCAATTTGGGTTTGGTGTTGGGTCCGCTGCAAAAATCTTCATGAAATCTGATCTCGACGACCGGTATCGACCTCAGCAGTCTTCGGATTATCAGTTACCGCCTTTGTTTTGTGAGAAACCGAAGAGACTTTAAGATTTCCGCACAACGGTGTAAAATCTCAGTCCGGAAAAGAAACATGGTGTGCTTTCTTCATGGCGAGGAAGAGTATGCTCCGAGCCTCCGTTGAGATATTAAAGCAAAGCTTAATTGAAAGGGGGGTGGGACCACTGATCTGCTTTATTGATTCCTAGACCCTTGAAAAAAGTAACTGGCACAGCCATCATATAGGTAACGAATGAGAGTTCTTGTTCACCTGTCTCCCGATTTTGCATTAATGGCGTGAACGCTGATACCTTGTAAATACCCAACACACTCCTCGTAATGATCCAAAAGAAGAATCTAGAAGCCGCCAAACACGAGGAGCATGAGCCGAGTGGTAACTAAAACTAGCTTTTCTAGGATGCCACTAGAAGGGGGAGAGCTTCCATTTCACCACTTTCTCACATACTATGTGATCTGATTCTAGGTAGACCCCGCAAGGCCAAGAAGAAGTTGTCGTTGCGCATAAAATTCCAAGAAGGTTGAATGCTACTGGGTCACAGCTTTGAAGATCGTCATTCCCAATAAACAATGTGCAAGACGATTCTAAACCAACTGAACTACCAATTCACTCCCTTTCCTGCAATTAGAGAACAAGACGGGTTTCTTTGAGAGGTACACGTATTGCAGTGCCATAGAACTCAAGTTTCTTTGCAAGACTTCAACGAACAGAGCAAATAGTGCATAATATCTGGAAGATAGCTGTATGTATCTAGTTCTTCAGCATGTTATATCCAAGTGATAGACCTTGAAATGAGATGTTGAGATGTTTGTAATCAGAGGAGATATATTGAATGTCTTGGAGAATAAGTGATCCTAATTAGCATTCACGAGGTGTGGAGTTAGAACGTCTGCGAATTCGCGATATGCGTACAAGGTGCGTCTATAATAAGAAGACCTTTGAGCTTATCATCTCACCGCCGTACTTTTTCCGGTGGGACTCGGGAACATCCGAGAACACTTTCCTATGAAATTGATCTTTAATATCTATGATATTTGATCGAATGCAATCATCCGATAATATAATTTACATATGGAAAATACTATACCCGGCTCATATACCCGTGGTAACCGCCTTGCATTTCCTTCGTCTTCCCCTTTATCTACCGAGTTCGAACAAGTAGCAGAGGAGAGCTACTTCAACTACACACGTTTTGTCCCTGTTTTGTGGGATTGGCCCAGCAAGGTATTGTATATGGATGGATGATCATATAATCACATCTCATCAACCTCGTACCTCGCATACCAAGAAAGCATATTAAGATTTCCAGCTGATTGGCACAAACTATATCTTCACTCTATGAAATACCAAGCAACGATACTTTTACGTTAGGTTTACAGTTGAACCTACCGTCAAAATACCCCTGGCTAGGATCTATCCCAAAACGCCACCACCTACATGACAATAGGATCATTTTGATCATGTACCTGCTTTTCGTCGAAGCTTTTCAATCTATTTTTTTGACAGAACGAGAAGCATACATGAAATAGCTTATGAAGAGATTTGCGGTCAACTCAAATATATGGATCATGCCCACCTTTCTGGATGTCGGCTACTATGGAAATGCCCGTGCAACCCGAAAGCTCCGTTGACTTTGGACCCTTTGTTTGTTTCTGAACCTCAATAACCATTTGCAATTGTAGGCTGACTTACATTCCAGTATCAACGACGAGCAGGTAATTTGAAATGTCTCGGGAATCAAAAGATATATGTAGGGAAATGTACAAGCCTTTAACCCTTAGACAGTGGGCCGATTGAGCATCTAGATATCCACCGCGTTTTCGGAAATTTAGCATGTCCTTACTTTCCTGAAATTTCTAATCGTTTGCTTTTTGTGGCAAAAGCTTGCGCGGCGCTCATAGCAATAGCGACGACGAGCATACGACCCTTAGTAGGGTCAATGTAAGCACTTGGGCAAGTACCGACAAACTGGTAACCTATACAAATCTTCACACTCCTGAGCGGTGGACCGGAAAAATATCGGAATTTTATCATCCATCACTTGTTGTACAATTTCTCCCCGCCATGGCAATTATTTCGACATGTAATGCAGAGGAATATTTCCGACGAGAGTGCCTGGGCCCTGGAGAGAGGTATGGGCTTTCAATTTCATCCTCTAATCTCGGAGGTGCGGTCGGTTCGGGCTGGTCACTGCTTGGGTGCTCATTTTAATCAATCTATTCCGCAGGTTATCAACGGCGTCCGTTGCGCTACTGATAAACATAGTGGAGAATTTTCCGTTGAGAGGGGGGGTTATCCGACTTTCATGCACCAATCATCTTGCGAGATGCAGGGGTGTTTTTCCGGGGCAAATGTCATTCAATTCTTCTTGGCGCAGATGGCGACTTTGGTCTCTTTGTAAAAATATAAATACATTGACGCCCTGAGAAGGCTAATCACTTCAGTCGCCATTCTCCAACCTTGAATCAACGCATATTGAAGTCAGGCCTCCCTCAAAGAACTTTCCAATCATGCGTTCCTTTGCCCTCCTCTCCTTTGCAGCTTCTTTGCTCGGAAGCGTCTCTGCCAGCCCTGCTTTAGTAAACCGCGCTGTTTCATTCAACCGAACTGTTGCTCCAGCCGGTGCAATTGTCATTGACCAAACTGGTACAATTGCAGGCTCCTACACCACATTCCAAGCGGGTGTCAATGCACTATCCGCCACCACAACCGAAGCTCAATACATTTTCGTAGCTCCTGGTATCTACTTCGAGCAAGTGTATCTCCCACAAATCGCATCCAACCTTACCATCCAAGGTTATACCAACGATTCCCGCGAGTACTCCTACAATGAAGCAACGCTCACCTACAACCTCGCCCTCATCAATACCACCTCAGATGATTTAACCGCCACGTTCCGTGCCCACAACACCAACACCAAGGTGTACAACATGATCATCAAGAACACATTCGGTCACATTAACTCCAATGGACAGAATCTTGCTCTCTCCTCCTACGCCTCCAACGTCGGTTACTACGCCACCCAATTCTGGGGGTACCAAGACACCGTTCTCGCCGAGGCCGGTTACCAGCTCTACGCCAAGTGCTTGATCGTCGGAGCCATCGATTTCATCTTTGGCGAGAAAGCTCTCGCCTGGTTTGAAAAGAACGATATCCGCACTATTGCCAACGGAGCCATTACCGCTTCCGGTCGCACCAGCGACGCTGTTGATTCCTGGTATGTGATCAACAACTCCAACATTGCCAATCTCAACAACAGTCTCACTCCATACAACAACTACCTCGGACGACCATGGAGAGATCACGCACGTGTTGTTTTCCAGAACAGTTTCTTGGGTGATAACATCAAAGCCGCCGGATGGCAACAGTGGAGCACCTCGACTCCAAACACCGATGGAGTTACTTTCGGAGAGTGAGTGATCCTATCCCAACCCAAATATCAAAATCTGCACCCTCAACTAACCATCCCCACAGATACAACAACTTCGGACCCGGAAGCGTTCTCGAAGAAGGCCCCCGCGCAAACTTCAGCTCCCAATTGACAGCGCCCATCGACATCACCACCGTCTTGGGTACATCCTACACTAGCGAGTTCTACTACGATGCTAGTTACATGTAGAGAATCATCGAGTGTGGCTTGTGAAATTTCTAGTATATAATTTTTAAATTTTTATTGAAGAGGAGAGAGCACATGGGGAAGTTTGTAGATATAATATCTGATGTATATATGTAATGAGAATTGAACGGTCTAACCATCATACGCTATCCCGATTTCCGAGGATTCTTGTATCTATTGTGCTTTGTTAAGTGTTATATCATAAGTATTAGATAGACAACGCTATTCAAACATCTCGAAATAATTCACAGCTGTGTAAAATGATTTTTTCTTCTTTCTCCTGTGCTTGTAGTACATATATTCAACGTCAGTTATATCCAAATGCACTAACGATCTACTTTGCAATGGCTCGTTACTATCCTACAATGATTATATACCCAATACCCCTCAAAATATTGCGCAATATTCATACTTCTTGTGATATACAATGAATTATATAAAAATAATACAGTCAGTACTTATATCGATATCCCACATCTCATCCTATAACTTATACAAGGCAGAATAAAAAAAACTCTACACACTTATATATAGATAAAAACATACAAATATATCTACCTACCTACTTACTATAAACACACATCTCCCCCCTTCTCCTCCTCTTCCCCTCCTCTTCCCCTCCTCTTCCCCTCCCGAATTCCACACCTCCCCCCCCCCAATCTTTCCCACCCATCAATCCCTCTACATAATATGTAATATCCAACCTTCTCGCCCAATTCCACTCCCCCCTCCCCACCCAGCCCAACCTTCCCAAATCACCTAATCAAATCATTCAACCCATCCAACCCAGCCCAGATCGCACCAACATCCTACCACAACCGAATATCCCAATCCACAATCTGTATCCTATCTTTTCCAAACCAAACCAACCACCCTATCAATCACAGTATCCCCATTCCCACTCCCATTCCCAAAGCCACACCAATAAAACCTAACCCACCTCACCCCTACCCCTCCATATCATAACTCCTCTCCCAAATCTCAAATCACAAACCCAATCACCCCCACCTCTCTAAAAAAAACTCAACAAACTCATCTAGATAGCTAATATAATACAACATTATATCCTATATATATCATACATACCACAACCCCAGTAAAACAAGTTAAAAAAATATAAATAAGCTGAGATGATGTAATCCATATATATAGTTTACTTCCTGAGGTCCCTCATATCCTTTCCATAGATTCTATCTCCTCTCCTCCCTTTCCAACCCCTATTTCTTATTCCCCCATACTCTCATACTCCCTTAAATCACCATTTCCACTCCTCTGACCTCTCCATTTCCACTGCACTCCTCTCCCTCCTCTCCCTCCTCTCCCTCCTCTCCCTCCTCTCCCTCCTCTCCCTCCTCTCCCTCCTCTCCCTCCTCTCCCTCCTCTCCCTCCTCTCCCTCCTCTCCCTCCTCTCCCTCCTCTCCCTCCTCTCCCTCCTCTCCCTCCTCTCCCTCCTCTCCCTCCTCTCCCTCCTCTCCCTCCTCTCCCTCCTCTCCCTCCTCTCCCTCCTCTCCCTCCTCTCCCTCCTCTCCCTCCTCTCCCTCCTCTCCCTCCACCCTCCCCCCCTCTCCAAACCCTCTAATCCTCATCCCCAAAGTACTTTCTTTCATCCAGCCACTCTACCGACCACATAACATCCATCCACAACATCCACAACATCCACACCACCCACCCATAAATCTCAACACCACCCCATCACAAACATCATATCATCCTTCCCAAACCCCCAGATTCTCTCTCTCTCTCTCTCAAAGTCTCTCCTTACATCTTCGAATCACCCACCGGTTATCCCGTCATCGAATCCCATCATCGAGATATACCAACCTATCAAGCTACAGAATCAAAAGCAGGAACAAATGCCCTGATGAGCAGTAATATCATCAATAAAGACCCGAAATCACATATAAAGCAATCTTCACAGCTCCACTCAACTCAACTCATCATAACTCAACTCAACTCAACTCACACCTCACACCTCACACCTCACACCTCACACCTCACACCTCACACCTCAAATCCAATATAGATAAAACAGATAAAGACGTATCTTATTATATTCTTCATACATCATATCCATATCCATATCCGTACCCGTATCCACCTCTCTTCATCCCCCCTCATCCATCCAATCCTCAAACCCAATGAATACCAATCCATCCCTCATATAAAGTAGAAAAAGTTCATTATCTATGTACAATATCCCCCACGATCCTATTCCATTCCATTCCAACCGATCCCATTTCATTGCAAAAAATATCCGGATAAGTTCATTTCAATTCAACTCATCTCATCTGAAATGCCAAAAAATATCCCTCTCCCCCTTCCAAAAACGCCTTGTAGTATTGAAATTCCACTTTGCCAAAAAGGTTCAAAAAAGAGATTACTCCACCAAAATGTTCGCCATTCGATAGCATTGCATACGATATTCTTCCTGCAATTCGCTTTCTTTTCAATAAGCCCATCAAATTCCACTGAATTCCCATCATTAACCACAAACAAATTTCAATCTACGCATGCAGACACGCACACATTCATCACGAAACTGTCTTTCCTCCACAATCAGGAATTTTCACTCCATCCTTCAACACTCTATTGACATCCATAATACCCCAATGATCTTCCCAATTTTGATCTCCTGAATTGTATTGAATCTTCCAAGGTTCATCAAATGCTTCGAACCAAAAGTAATTCGTTCCATTTGTGATTGCATCGCAGACCCAGTTCTCCATAAAAGTGTTCAGTTCCGTGATTCCTGCCACACTACCTTGAGCACAAGTAGTAGCAGCACCACAATCAGTACCACCTTGTGTAGGCCATCCAGTTTCCGAGATAATGTTTTGAGATGCATTAGTCTTGAAGGCCACATCATGGTTTTGCCAAAAGTCCCATGTCCAACCAGCACTTTCCTCAGCCGTAACACCAGCGAAGAAGGGATGAATATTAGCCATTACAAAATCGACTGCATTAGCGAGCTCTGCGGTCCAGTTGTCTCCAAGATCCGAAGAGGCGATTGGGAGATCGATACCACGAGTTGTCATGTTAGATTTGACGTCTTGGATAATAGATGTAAGCTCGGAAGCAGTCATATCTTCTCGATAGAGAACCTCGTTACCAACAATAACACCAACAAAAGATGCTGATCCATGTTCATCAAAGATCTTGTAGAGTTGCTCGAGTTGACGAGTATTAGTAGTAGTGTTTGAATCCTGCCAAACACCCAACCAAACTTTAACGGTACCATTCAATCCTAATCGATCAATAGCATGTAACACCATCTCCGTTTGATTACAATCAGTGCCATAGAGACGAAGGGTGTTGCTGAGTTGCGAAAGCACAGCCACATCTCTTGTAATGTTGTTTTGACTTGCTGGGTATGTCAAGCAAGCTGGGTATTGTGTGTACATTGGTGTGTAATCGATTCCGGGGAAAACCTTGTGCAGGTCAGGATTGTTCAACAACTTCTTAATCTCTGCTGAATCCTTGTTAAGATCGCCATTTTTGGAAGTATCTGACGATGCAGATTGTCCGTTGGTGACCCCATTTTGGGAGACTCCTGAATCCGATCCCCCTTTTGCATTGCCCGCCAGTGTACCACCGACAGCTCCTCCAATCACTGCCGCTAAAATTAGAAATCCAACCAGTAAAGCGATCCATAGCCTCATCTTTTTGTTACCCCCCGGTGGTTTCTTCAACCATTCGTTTTTTTCCACGCTAAGATCATAAGTATCCGTCCCAGTATATCCGTTTTGTGCATTTGTAACATCATTGTATTGTATATTTTCACCATTCGCATTCGCATTCTTCTTTCCAACAAGACCACCCAAGGCTCCCACAACACCGCCAGCCGCTATAGCTTTTCCACCCGGAGGTGTTCGTGATCCGCTATCTGACATTTTATTCAAACTCAAGACAGAAGATCTATTAACGCGTCTATATCCCAAACCGTCGTCTCCGTCGTCTGCAATTGTACTCGGGTCAAATTCAACCAGTTCCGGGTCAATTGCCCTTGAATATCGATTATATGGGTAAGGAGAATCCGTGTAAGGATCTAAAGGAGGATTTCGACCAGAAATAGTCGAACGTGAAGAAGGAGTTGACATTCCGGTTGGGAAAGCAGCCGCATTTAAAGGAGTCAGAGATGATGTTGATGCATCTTGTCGTGGAAACGGGCGTTGGAATGGAGACTCTTGGTATGAAGGTTGTGTTGGATCATATCCCGGGGTATGTCTTGTGGCTGCTTCCACACCACCTTCCCTGGCATTTGAATCTGCGACACTCATAGCAACGCCGTTTCTGCCACCCGCAGCTTGATCACTAAAATTACCTGGACCCGACGTAACGTTTGTGTTATTGTTTTGATTGCGTATTCTAGATTCCTGACTCGATTGTGACGACCGATGTGGTGGAGGAATTGGTGGACTATCTATTATCGGACTCACAGGTTCCACTTCCCCATAGTTTTCTCGTGAATGTAACAATGAAGCAGAATTTGACATTCCAATCTGTTGGTTATGTGATTCTTGAGCTTGTGATGAATTTGATGATGAGGCGAAGTTCAAAGGATTACGCGGTTGCGATTGAGGTGGTGGTGGTGGTAAAGGATATCTTGGTGGAGATGTTGGTGGAGATACGAGTGAAGAGGAATCTTGAGGATTAAGATGAATATCTTCGAAAGAATATCGCGACATTATGAGGAAAGAAAGAAAGAAAGAAGAGGAGAAGAGGAAAGACTGGGAAGATGAGAGTATCTTGAAACCGAATTGTAGCTCGTTTTTCGTTTCGGACGATCTTTTACTCTATTCCAACTAATAGTAGGCACTCATAGATTGAGAGGAATCCCACTTGTTTTTTTTTAGGAAAGGGAGGGGAGGGGGGCAGTGGTCGACGGGTCGAATAGGATTTTGCACTGGCTCTGGGTCGGATTCTGGGAATGGTATTTTGGAGTTTTTGATTTATTATGTGGGACGACTTGGGTTTTCTGGTGGTGATGGTGGTGAAGGTGGATTGAACTAAGAACGGTATAATGGTACTAAGAGGTGTTTTGATGTATTTCTGCGATTCTTATCGATCAAATGTGAAAGCGCAAAGCAAGGATGGCGGAAAGCTTATTTGTCGAGAATGGAGGGCGATACGATGGATAACAATGATCATAATACGAGAATTTGAAAGTTATGAATTGCCGTTTGTTTTGAGAGGGATGGCGAGGGCGAGAGAG